TCGTTTTTTTTTTTTTTTTTTTTTTGATATGGCAACAAAATTGGACGATATCGCCTAATGGGCCTGCTTATTCTTTCTGATCAGGTATCGACGATTTTTCAGTTTCGGGTCATCGACTACGGCATGGAGAACTGCTCTATAACGGTCGCGATACCAGCTCTCACGTCTTCGTCCATCAAGTCCTTCTCTCCGTCCTCCGCTACGTCCGGCTCATCCTCCTCACCCAACGTGCACCTCGAGATTTACAGTCTCGATACCACCTCCAAGCTCGACCTCAGCACACTCTCCTGGAAAACAAAACCTGCTCGCTCAACACATCTCGGAACACTCGTTGCCACGCCGGGTACTACGGCAGAGTTAAGTTCGGCATTTATATGTAAGAGAGGGACGTACGTTACGGTTGAGGTGACATGCCCGGATGAGGACAAAGATTGTACGGTGGAGGTGGTAAACGATGCACCGGAGGCTGTCGGTGAGATATTTTTGATTCTACTCCTAGTGACCTTTACGCTCACTAATGTCATGATCTGGCTTCCAGGATTGTACATGAAGCAATACCAGACGTTGTGAACCATGCTTCGCACAACTGGTCTCCGGTAGTCTGCACGCCGAAGTGGCACCCCATTATAGTATGGTGCCTCTGTATGGTGCCTCTGTATGGCGAATGTCTTTCTTTGGATTCACTCTGAATTGGGATCTGTAAGGACTGTGGGTATAGTTTCGAATCCGAAAAGTGTCAAGCAATGTATAATGATGTTTGTGTTCATCGAGAAACGAATGCAGATACGTATAAAACTAACACAAAGGGAAGGAGTGATGAGTTTGACGAGACCGACATTGAAATATAACTAAACTCCCCAAAATAAAAAATCATACAACCATCCTGACAACGGCGAGCATCCGAAAACGCAGATCTCACCCGTTCACCAAGTCTCACCCAGATTCGTCTTATCTCTACGCCATATTCGCCGACCCACCCCCCGAGCGCGACGCAGAATAATCCGACTTCTCCTCCATGTCCTTCTCATCCCCTTCAGTCCCCAGACTCCTCTCCGATCTCTTTGACTTCGCCACAGTCCCGCTATCCACCGCTGTCGTCCCCCTCCCATCGCTTCCCACATCCCCCGACCACGTACTTGTCGGATCCGTGGTCTGCGTCTGCCCACCACTTATTGCCCAGGAAATCCCCGTACCGGTTTCCACTGTCTCGCGCTGACTGCGTCGCATGGGGTTCCTAAGCCGTGATCGTGGTGGCTGGACGTGTGACTCGTCGTCGGGATGCGCGAAGGACATGGTCGTGGTGAATTGGGCGGCGGTGCCTCTTGTCCAGCCTTGACCCATTGCGATACGGAGGATGATCATTTGCGGGGAGATAGCCTTAAGACGTCATATTGTTAGTTCGTCCATGTCAGAGAATCGCCCGCTTCCATCAAAGAAGCTATAGAGGATGTAAAACGGAAGATGAACGCACCGTGAAATTCCCCCAAATAAAGCCCCATGCCAAATCCGTCGGATCATCCAATGCATACGTGACCAAGAACCCGATCCCAAGCACAGTGAACGGCAATGCGCTCTCCACCAAAATCGCCATCAAACCCGTATACGTCTTTCCCATATCCGCCGCCAAACCTGGCGCCACGAGCACCTGCTTCCTCATCGTGTACAAACGGAAACATATGAGAGACGTGAGGATGACGTTGAGGGAAACGGTGAGCGCGATCCATGGGACACCGAAACCTGCGACGAAGGAGTCGAGGAGGAAGTTCCCTGGGAGTGCGGATTCGACGACGGTGAGGATATTGAAGACTGTGGCTGCGAGCCAGAGCAGGAAGGGGACGGCGATTATCCAGAGGCGACATTCCCAGATCATGTAGGCTCTGTAAAGCTATTCGTGGCAATACGGGCCAAAGTCAGATCAAATCGCAGGCCAGCATCAAGCTTCTACGCACCAACAATGCATCGGCCAAACAGTTGCCTGCGGAATCTGCTGCGCTACCGAGTGTGTTGAACCAGATGGTGGTATGGTCGACGAAATAGGTGAAAGGGCCTCCTGGATAGTCTCTGTGTTCGATCCACATCATCTGTCCGATGAGAACATCGCAGCCCATAGCGAATGAGAGGAGGATGAGAAGAACACCGCCATAGATGATGTAGAACTTTCGGCGTCGTCGTTGTGTAGGTGGTAACTTCCAGATGAGATAGCAAGAGTAGAAATAGAGGGTACATTCGACGCCTTAGATGAGACGATAGGTTATTGAAGACGTCTTTCAACTGTCGGTAAATAGAGGGAGAAACTGACCATAGAGAATGAGGCTGAGGCTGTTCCCAAACCAGATCGAGCGTTCGAAAGGCAGCTCGATCGGTCCAATACCAGTACCAGAAGAGTCAGACATGGCAAGCGGCGAGAACTATGGTACAGGACGTCCAGAGCAGCCAGCAGCGACGATCCACCTGAGCGCAAGGTTTATCATCCTTGAAGCGAGATAATCGCTGGTCCATAAGCAGGCTTCGAAGTACCACGCAGTCCGGGCAGCTTTGCCGTAATAGTGATCCGAGGATCATTCAAAAAGGTCAAGGGACAGTTATCAAAAGGCAGCTGCATGGACACAACTCGCGCTGTGGGAAAATGAAGCGAGGGTTCGGTGAGTGCACAGTGCGAGGTCTGCCTCGGGCGGGGCTAAGTCGTGGTCCAAGCGACCCTGAAGTATGTAGATCGAATCATCCATACTTTCGGAGTTTTTTCCGCTAGCGCCTTGAACATATTGCTGGGAAGAAGCCAAGAAGGAGGCGCTGCAAGGCGTGGTATTCGTTCTTTAGGTGCATTGCTTGCAGTGGGCCCGTTTGATATGCACAGATCGCTTGCTTGTATAGAGGCTTGTTGCAGGCAGTCGACTAGTATGGCCACGATGAAAGGCAATTCTGTTGCGGTGTTATTCCCTCTGCTGAGTATTGTGTCCATCGTATGGACGTACTATCTGTTTATTCTCGCTCAGAACATCCACGAGTTCGTGCCTAAAGTCCCAGTACGACCAAGAGAATACAGTCAGTACCATTGTCTGTGTCCGTCCATCTCGATATTTTGTTCAACGGAGACGAACACACAGCCTATGCATACGAAGACTTCCCCGAAAGCCTCCCCCTTGAACTCACACAACCCGTCGAACTCCTCACCTCCGAAACACGCCACTATTCCCTGACCCGCGATACTGTCTCCAACAACGAGTGGTTCTACACCTCTCCGCACGAGCAAGGCGCGGTTCGCATCGGTCCACAGAACCGGACATTCTTCATCACTATGTTTCACGAGATGCACTGTCTGCGTTACTTCCGCAACATCCTCACGGACCGCACGGATGCGGACTGGCCGCACGTCCAGCACTGTTTCAACATGCTGAGGCAATGGACGCTGTGCGCACCAGATTTGACGTTGGAGAGTGGGGATTTTATGCAGAGGGATTTCGAGACGGAGAGGGTGGGGGAGAGGCACGTGTGCAGGGACTGGGAGGCGATATATGATTGGGAGACAGGAGAGTGGGCCCATTGGTACAAGTATCTGAAGACGCACAATATTACAGGCAAGTCGCTCCGATTGACTTATCCTTTATGAAGCTTTTGTTCATGACTACTCGTGTATTTAGGACCAGACTTGCAGATCCAAGCACACAAGTCGGTTGGTATCAATGGCGCATGAGCCTGAGACCGCCTCAAGTTTCAGTGTACAAATGGTGTCGTGTACGAAGATATTGATGCAGTCGAGTGATGAGTCGGAAATACTCTGTAATGTTCATCCAGAGCGTAATGCCCAAACGGGAGACGTGTTCATGGTGGTCGTGAAGAGAGAAATGTCAAGGAAATTCTGGAAAAATGAGGCCAAAAAGATCGTGTGGCACCAAGTGGGCCTGGGAAACTGGGCCACGCAGGGCCACGCTTGAAGCTCCTTTTGACTTTCGCTCTCACTGCACTCCCGTCTAACCCCAATTGTCAAATGTTTACCACAACACAATGCTTAGATATCGATGAAAGAAGAAATTTCCATCTAGACGATGGTCGGAAGATCTGGACGCTTGGGGCTTGAGATGCGAACGCGAACACGCCGGTCCTCCATACTCCCCGTCCGAGTCCCGAGAAGATTCAGCGTCATGCCCCGAATGTACCGCTCAGGTTCTGCTTCTGGACATTCTCTTCCATCTGATGGCCTTCAGGAAAAACATGGTGCTTTGCATATCTCAGGCTCAGGCGCACGCATCATGATCACATCCGAGAACAGCTTGGATCTTTATCGGCCCCTACCTATGAGCGTCTTCGTAACTGGGCCTCTACCGTGAACGCTTCCAATTACGAGTGACCTAGTTATGTCTCACATTATTGTGCGTCAACTTGTCAACCCTACAGGCAAGTAAATGCAAGCATTGTTGCTAGTTCTAGAGCCTGAGCTTCTGTCGAGCAGATGCCCAGCTCGAGGAAGCAGTCCAAGTATGCACTCGCTCTTTCCACGACAGTTCGTCCACTTCTGCTACCCTCTCAGTCTATGACTCTCTTATTGACATATGTACCTCGTAGTAATCCTCACTCGAATCACTTGTGGAACCGACACCGAGCTTGCATCCCTCCAATGGCGCGGTCTCCTCCGCGCAGGCCTCTACAGTGGTGAAGTCTATGTTGCGAGCGATAGCTCGGTCGAGGCTGGAGAGGACAGGATAATGTCCGTGGCGATATGGTGGGGTCCTGGAAAGATAGCTATGGGCACGTACGTTCACTTTTCTGTGGAGTCTCTTCACTCCGGACGGGCTTTGGAATAGGGGTCTGAGAGGTATGCGGGATGTTGATGCGATTTGCCATACGTAGGAGCGAAGACAAGGCGCTTGGATGGAACGAGTTCTGGGAGAAGCTGACCCCAGAAACGCGGGAATGGTATGCGAACGTTGTGCGTAGCCTTTCGCCTCCTCCATCGTTATTTCCTAGATACGTTGAAGTAACATACTGTGTTTATGTATACCCAGTACGGCGCTAAGGCTAAAGAGTCCATGATGACGGCCATGCCTGTCCAGGTATCTCTTCTTCCATTCACGCCCACCATTTCACTTCATCCTTGACTCACTATCACGAAACGCAACTCCACTGTGATCCGCAGACGCAAATAGATTGTCACTGGGCCCGCGTCCTCGCCACCGATCCTGCGTATCAACGCCGAGGCCTCTGTACCGCCATCATCGAGCAAGTAGCAGCGAAGGCGAAAGCGAAGGGGGAGATCTTGGGGTTGGCGACTGTAAATGAAGAGAATGTAAATCCTCCTGATATTCTTCGTTGATCCCTCCAGCACCAGCCTCATTTTCCCTTTCCTTCGGTCACATCCATTCCATATGCTACGTATCCTGAATGAACGTTGAATACTGACTAGCGAACTTCTTTGTCGATGGACGGAACAGGCGGCATATTATCGCGGTGTAGGTTTCAGGGAGACGGGAAGGATAGATGTACCGTCCAGCGAGGGAGTTTTTCCGATCATTTGGATGTTGCGAGACTGACCGAAGTGGGTTGTGCGGGAGGATGAGACGGTACTAGAAGTGGGACGATTTAGGATTGTAGAAAAATAAAATTGTACGCCCGATCATCATGGGAGGATGGATTCATACATATAGTAGAACAGATCAACGTAAATACTGCATATACAGACACACGAGCCGCGGTATACTGGAACGAAGCTAAATTAATCGTGAAGGCCGTAATTCACCAAACCAATACCACATACATACAGAGCCGTCAAACGCAGCAATAATCGCATTCGTTACGGAGACTATCATAGCTCTGGGAGCGCGATCCTGAAAATTAGCACACTTCGTATTCAGAGTTCAGGATCAGGACGTGTCCCCAACTTCAATACCACCCTGGGCAATTTCTTCTCTGCGCTGACACTGGTAGGGATTGACGTAGCCAGCTCCTTGTCACCCTCACCTTTAACCTCTACGACACTCTCGATTTTCACCTCCGGCACCACACCCCCATCGACATCAACCTCGGAATCCTCACTGGTACTGAAGCTCGACCCCGTACTCTCACTCATACTCACTACCCGCACCTCCTTGACATCCTTTCTTTTACCTCTCGGACCACCAGCGCTCTTGATCCCTTTTGGAGATTGTCCCGGCGACTTCAACTTCGAACCCATCGGATTTGGCGACCTAGTCCTTAGTGTCCTGGTACTTGGCGGGACTAACGGTGCTTTGTTCGCACTACTAGACGGGTAGTTGGACGCGGGATCGAAGAGTTCGAGGAGGGCAGCTGTACGGTTGTACCAAGGACTATTGTTCAGGGCAGAAGAAGAGGCTGCTTTGCCGGTGGAAGAGCGAGGAGCACGTCGGGAGGGCTTCTTGGTGAGTTTGTCGAGCTGGTGAGAAGGTGAGCATGGTTCAGTGCCGAGCTCGACACGGAAGAAAAAAAAAAAGGGGTAGAAAGAAAGCGAAGGGATGCTAATAAAAACCAACCATTAACACATTATCCTTACTCCACCATCTCTCTCTCGATCTCGTCTTCTCCTCCACCGACTCACCCTCTTTCTCAGAATCAACTAACCCTACGATATGGGCCATCCCGCCACTCAACAACGCCCTGCCGCTGTACCCTCCCTCAAGCACGCTGATGAGTCTGCCTTTGGCGTATTGAGAGGCGAATGCACAGGCATCGAGGGTGAATCGGTGGAAGAAGGAAGTGGGGACTTTACGAGCGTGGCGGGACATTGAGGGATATTCGTGTTCAGAGGCGTCGAAGCCGCAACTATAGTAATGTCTTAGTCAAACTGCGGGTCAAGCAAGGGAGGAGTAGGGAGTAGGAGGGACAGTACCTGATGAACACGAGAACATCGTCACTCCCTTCCCCCGTAGTTTCGACGAACTCTCTGGCTTTTGTCAATAGCCGGCTATAAGCGCCTTTATACAACACGTCAAAGAACTGCGTCTCAGACTCGTAAGGCTCGAGGTGGACATTTTCAATGTATTGTCCGTGAGGACCGTGAATGGAAACGGAGGCTGCTTGCACGAGATGTGGTTTGCCGTCCTGGAGTCAAAGCACTCCGGTCAGATCATATTACCACGATCAAGACGTCTGAGAAAATATGAAGATATTACCTCGCAGGGATAGGAAAGTATGTCGTGGACGGATCCATAGAAGATCTGGGCGCCGGGAGGTGGTGGTGGCGGAGCGCCCAGTCCTGCTGCTTCGGTTTCGATCTTAGAGCGATAGGTTTCTTCGTTGATCTGCCAGGCAATCGATTGGGTGCCGTTCCCTGTCAAAGGATGTAGTAGATCAAAGGTGAGATGATACGATGACTGTCATGTTCCGTCAAAGGACGGTATGAAGGAGGTGCATACCATGGTGCAGGTCGATATCGAAAATGAGGATGCGCTTGATGTTATGTTTGAGGTGGGCTACAAGGTGATAATCGAGCAGCACCGAATAAGCGTCCATCGATCTCTATCCCAGACGGGAAATGAAAGTATTGAATTACCATGAGCAGCCCCGACAGCTACATTGTTCACGAAACAAAACCCGGAAGGCGTGTCTTCCCCGCAATGATGCCCAGGAGGTCGAATCGTAACAAAGGCTCTCTTCGTAGGATTGTCGTCACGTATTACAGTATCGACAGCTTCGCAAACTGTCCCAAGGGCACCTTGCATTGCGTCCAGAGATTGCGGGCACACTGTTTCAAACACAAGGTACGTCATGAATTAGTGCTGCCGCATTCTCAGAGGTTATGTGAATAGTGAGATCATACGGTACAAATCGCCTTGAGACCACTCGTCCGGAATCTCACTCTGTCCTTGCTTGATCTTTTCTGCACTGTCTCTGGCCAGATCTCGAAGTTTCTCGAGATAGACGTCACCTTCTATATCACCATGAACGTACTTGACAGCTGCGTTATTGAGGATATCAACCTTGGCCGAGGATCGAAAAATGCGGAGTGGTGGAGGTGTGTCAGAGTTCGAGGAAAGGAGAAGTTCCTCAGAGACTGTGGATGGGCTTGAGATCGAGGATGAAGCAATGTTGAGATCTCCCAGGGCCGCGGCGAGATCGTCAGCAGAGTCCGTGGACAAGTTCGTACTGACAGCAGAAACTGTGGACGCAGTGGAACCGCTGGTAGTCAACACGTTTGGCTTCTCCACCGACGATGGTGAGCTCGAAACCATGTTGTGCTCATCCTCAAGCCGCGCGACAGCAGCTGCGATACCCAACTTGACGGCTCGAAGCCGTTCTGGGAGCTCGACAATATTAGAAGTATCCCTAGAGCGAATATAACGGTGCTGCAAGCATGCATCTTGGAGGAAGACTGCAGTGGCTGGCCCTCCGATTCGCGGTTGGGAGATAGGCCCGGAAGTGGACGGTGTCTCCATGTTGTGGTGAGCGGGATCTACACTAGGAACGAATTTGTCATGCAGAGTTCAAGGGTGAGAAAAAGGGCCAGGATGGATAGCCTACCTTAAGTTTATATTTGTAGGCAAGATTATAAGGGCACCTATTATATATCTTGATGAAGAGGCAGTGGTGTATGATGGTCAGGAGCAACTTGGTTCGGACAAAGACAATCAGGGGCCTCAAACCCTTGTCACGCCAAAACGCGTTACTGGTGGTGTCAGTCACACAGAGTCACACGTGATGTTTGGTGACGAGTCGCGTCATGCTTGAGCGCGCCGCGTCACAAACACTCACTTTCGTTCCCCCACAGTCAACGATGGGTATCAAAGGCCTTACCGCTCTTCTTCTAGAGAACGCACCAAACTCCATCAAAGTATGTCTCATTCTTTGCTTTTGACTGACCTGAAGATACCTGGACTAAGGGTGAAAATAATAGGAACATGACATAAAGACACTCTTCGGTCGAAAAGTGGCCATCGACGCGTCCATGTCAATATATCAGTTTCTTATTGCTGTCCGACAGAAGGACGGCGAGATGCTGACGAACGATGCCGGAGAGACGACTAGGTGCGTAGCTACTTTCTCAGCTCTTTGCATCGATGACCGATGCACCAGAACGTTCCGATACACAGTCATCTCATGGGATTCTTCTATCGAACGATACGAATCGTCGAGAACGGTATCAAACCTGCATATGTGTTTGATGGGAAGCCTCCAGATCTGAAGGCCGGTGTGGTGCGTACATTCCAACTTTCTCAGATGAAGTTTATACCAACCAATCTGGACTATAGCTCGCGAAGCGTTTCGAGAAGCGTGAAGAGGCCAAGGAGGAGGGAGAGGAGGCTAAAGAGACAGGTGCGTCACTTATTTAGTCTTTTACTAATACATGTGTCTTGTACTGATGCGTTGTCTGTATTGTGGCGTTCGTATAGGTACGGCGGAGGACGTCGACCGCTTCTCTCGTCGGACAGTTCGTGTCACTCGTGAGCATAACGCAGAGTGTCAGAGGTTGTTGAGATTGATGGGGATTCCTGTTGTCGTTGTGCGTCCGCCTACTTCGACCATAGTTATATATAGAGCTAACAATAGGTGCTGCCCGTTTTCTGTTACCGCAGGCTCCATCAGAAGCGGAGGCGCAGTGTGCAGAGCTTGCACGAGGAGGGAAGGTGCGTTTCGTCTGTCTCATTCATCTCCCTTTTCTCGTACACTTCGCACAGTCCAGCAAGCACGGCTCGCCAGCTTTGAGCCAAACCTACCGCATATCGTTGCACGCACCTCCGAATATTACGCTTTAGTTCATAGGTTCCAGTCATTGACGTCACCTTCGTGTCTCGCTGTCTAGGTATACGCAGCTGGTTCTGAAGACATGGACACTCTCACCTTCAGTGCACCTACCCTTTTCCGCCATCTAACCTTCTCCGAAGCCAAAAAGGCGCCTATCACCGAAGTCACGCTCTCGAAGGCATTAGAGGGATTGGGGATGAAGATGCCGCAGGTGCGATCATTTCTTTTTCCTTTGAGCTTATAGTTGTCCACCCCCTTCCTCTCCCATGTTGTCTGGATTTGAGCTGACTATAATTAATCTCTTAATCTCTGTGCTATTGTGGCGACAGTTCATCGATCTCTGTATTCTCCTCGGCTGTGACTATCTCGAGCCCATCAAAGGTGTAGGGCCGAAAACGGCTCTCAAACTCATCAGGGAACACGGTGGGTTGAAAGAGGTCTTAGAGCACTTGAAAGAGAAGTACGTCCCAACCTGACAATGTTTCCTACCCTTTTCTTCTGTCACTTCCTCCGTCACACCTTTGCATCATCTACCACGCCCATCTCCGACCCATTGCTTGCCAGACCAATTGACTTCGATTTACGTTCCGTGGAATAGACAAGCAGAAAAGGAAGCCAAAGACGCAAAGTCGGAACCTAAATCTTCAACATCAAAATCAAAAACGAAAAAGTCGGTATCGAAAAGCGCATCAAAACCGAAAATCGACATCGAATCGGAGGACGAGGACGAGGACATTACGCCTCCGCCTGCTACCTCCGACGTTGACCTAGCTGACGACGCTGACTTCAAAGCCGACGCTGATTCGGACGACGACGAGCAGCCGAAGCCGGCGAAGTCAAAGTCAAAGTCCAAGACGAAAGCTAAGAAGAAGGCGGTCGTAGACGAGGACGAAGACTCGGATGCAGATGTGAAAGAGGGGGCTGAGAAAGATGGTAAGGAGGCGGAGGCTGAGGTTGAGGAGGAGCAAGAGGAGAAGAAACCGAAGAAGGCAGCGAGTGCACGCAGACAGGGAGGTGTGCAGATTCCTGAGTTTTGGCCTTGGGAAGAGGCGAAGAAGGTGTTCCAGAAGCCAGATGTGATACCCGCGGATGAGGTCGAGGTACGTCTTTCATCTCGGTCCTCGTTCAAACTAGTATTAACCGTAGAGCTTGCTGACGTCGGTCATCAATTTTTTTTTTCAATGATAGCTGGATTGGAAAGCTCCGGACGTGGACGGGCTGGTCCAATTTCTCGTGGTGGAGAAGGGATTCAAGTAAGCCTATGCAGTCTCTCCTGCTCGTCTCAGAGAGTGATGCTGAGACGTATGTCCTTCCTACAGCGAAGACCGCGTACGCAAGGGTGCTGAGAAACTCTCAAAATTCCTCAATGCGAAACAACAGGGCCGTTTAGACGGGTTTTTCACGGTGCAGCCTAAAGCAAAGGAATCTCCAGCACCGAAGGGGAAAGGTGCCGCAAAGGGCAAGGATGCGAAGGGTGGCAAGAGGAAGGTGAGCTCTCTTTCAAATCATCTGTCCCTAACTACACCCTTACTGACTGAATTGTAGAACGATGCTAAAGAGAGTGGGACGAGTAAGAAGGCAAAGACGAAGAAGTAATGGATGTTCGTGTCGAGCCATCCATTAGTTGGTTCATTCGTTGTCTAGGGCCTCGTTTTCTTGTTTTGCTTTGCTTTTTTGTTTCTCCTGATTCTCTGATGTACGTAAGTTTGGTATTACATTGTACTCTTATCATTTCCAGACCCTCCTGCCTCACTTGGGCTCCTCCGATGGCCCTCAACCATGGGACAGAGCGAATACAGATTCGAAGACCCCGCAAAGCGCAAGGTGTCTGCCTGCCACTCCCCGGCCGACGTTTCAAGGTTGCATGTTCTTGTCTTTCGTACATGCAATTCACATCAACCCGCGAGGCGAAGTTCGGAAAACGGAATGTTTCATGGTACATCTTGTGAATCGCGTACTGATGGTTGGATTTCTATCAGAGCACCTGCAAATTTACTGCTGCTGGAGTACACAAAGACACAGATAGTCGAGGATGACGACCGCCACGCTCGGCTGCGCCACAAGACCAAAAACCGGCATTCTCCATAATTGCCCGGAGCACGTGTAAGCCACGCGAGGCCGCGCCCGTCTTTGGACCTCCGAGACGCCGAGAATCTCCTGCCCCTCCTTGAATCTCTCCCTCTTCAAGCTTTCTGTTGACTATCCATGAACCCGGTATACTCGCTTTTTATACATATGGCCTCAATAAGTCTTGAACCTAGCTGAGGTCGCTATTATACATGCCGCTGTGGCACGACCGGGTGGCCCCCTCAGTGACAGGACCTGTCAAACAGTCTGTCTCGGTCTGGGAGCTTTCGCGATGGCATTTCAACCCAGTGAAATGATCGATGCTGTCTCGCCCGCTCCGAAAAGCTATGTCGTCATCTTGTCTTGTCCAAAGTTTGTATATCTCTCCGCATTTCCTCCTACGCCCGCCTTCTTCATCCTCACCACACTCGGCAGCGAGCAACTATCTCAAACATGTCTACCGAATACAGCTCAAGTTCGGCCAACGCTTCTGGAGCAGATGTGTACAAGCAACCTGCTTCTGCGACTCCTCCTCTCAAAACTAGCTCTTCTATCATAGTCACGAAAAGAGACGATCGCGGGTTGCTCATGCATCTTCTCATGCTCCTTCTTCGTCCAATTAGTCGCTTTCTTTTGCGACCCTCCAGTCTTCAACCTCCGGGCTCAACGCGTCTCAAACCTCCACGCTCGGTCAGGCGGAAATGTACCGTCACAGAACGCCAAGTCGACGACATCTGGATATACGATCTCACCACGCGCGCCACACACGCCACGAAGGAGGAAGCCAGCAAGGGGAAAGAGGTGTGCAGGAAGGGAAGAATTTATTATTTCAATGGAGGGGCATACCAGATGCTCCCTTCCTCCGAACACTGGTCGCTCGCTCTCCACATGGCCACCCACATCCCGAGGACGACCGTCAGCGTCGTCAGCTACCCCCTCGCACCCAACTCGACCGCACCCATATCCTTTCCCATGCTCGTCAAACTCTACCACACCCTGATGAGAGAAGCAGACGAAGCAGGTGAGACCGTCACATTCGCAGGCGACTCAGCCGGCGGAAACTTTGCCATCTCCGTACCTCTCTACGCTCTTTCCAATCCAGTACAACCAAGCCCGCTCCCTTCTCCAGTACACGAGCCCGGATCAGATTCGTCAGATTCCACGCATCCACCCCCGCCTCCGCCTCCGGGCAACCGCATCCTCGCGCCGAAGAATATCCTTCTCATATGTCCCTCAGTCGACATGCGCCACGTTAATCCGCACCCTGAGTCGGCGACGGCTCGTCTGGACCCGATGCTCTCGACGAAGGTTTTAGAGCACACTGCGAGGACGTATGTCGGTGAATGGGACCTGAGCGATCCTAGGGTGTCTCCTCTGTTGGCCGATTTAGAGCCGCTTGCCAAGTTCGGGGTTGAGGTGCATGGATGTACCGCGGGGTACGTCTTTTTCTTCGCCTACACCATCTCAAGTCTCTCTGCACCACGGTCCAATATTAATCCTTTTCTATTGATTGTATAGGTATGATAATCTGGGACCAGACGGGATCCTTCTACGAGAAAAACTTGAGAAGGCAGGTGTGCGTGGCGAGTGGCTCGAGTGGGACAAGATGATGCATTGTTGGGTCCTCGCTGCGAAATTTGGTATCATTCCTGAGGCGAGGCAGGGCGTCGAGTGGATTGTAGACCTTTTGAAGCGCAAGGCTTGAGACTAAATCTTCTTCTACTGCATCCATCTCCGGTTCCCTCATTGCATTTTCATATTATTGGGTTCTCTCACCGTTGGATTCAACGAAAGCCACGAACACCGCAATAGAGCTTACATACGAGTACCACCTTTCCTTCACCTCACGCAAACGAGCTACCTTTGTATCTACTACTATCGACAGTTACACTGTATTAAATAGGCCTTCCATCGATATCGCTTTGTATGGACGATTTACTTTCGTATGCGTTTGTTTTCTAGAACTGGCTAAGGCAAACAATCTAATGGTGCAGTCGCATCTTGTAGTCTTCTCCACCGTCTGCGTTCGGAGGGAAGAAGGAGGGAAGAAACTTTTGTGGTTGTGCCAGGAGAGTCGAGACCAAGCCAAAGAAACGATCACGAGGCTCGTCAGAGTTGTCTTTACAGTGTAGGCCCACTCCTTGATCCGCCACTTTGAAGAAATTCATTTTCTGGCTCCCCTTCCCATATTCATCAAATCTGTTAGCTTAGGGGTTGAGAACATTCATAAAGGTACTCAGAATAAAATACACGCAGTGCCTAAAGTGAGTGTGCATTATCGGGAGACCAAGATGTGGTGTGGCACCCGAGCGCCACAAAATATGGGTCCTTGATCCAACCCCGCACTGCACGATTCCCCCTCATAAAAATAATACATGCTCATTAATAACCTCGATATAACCTTAAATGCACTATATTCACAGTTTTTAAGAGTGACATTGAGGCTGGAGGAGCTGTAGGCGGCAGATTTGCAGTGGATCAAGGACCGGGGTTGGATCAAGGAGTGGGCCTACACTGTATCAGATAAGATTATAGTCGGCCTTGACACGACCCCGCCTGACTCCGCAAAGCTGATGCAGGTTTGATGCAGGTGCTTTGTTCGACTCACCTGTTTTCGCATATCAACTACCGGTTATGATGCTCTTACCCCCGGCCCCTTTACTCCTAAAGGCTTCACCACTCTTCTCTTCTGTCGTCCTCGATAGGCTTTTGACTGCTTTTTCGAACTCATAGTGAAACTTTCTGCTTCTTTCTGGATGTCGTCCTTTCGGAAGGCCATTGCTGTCGAACACTCTGGTAGGAGAACCATCGAGGGAGAAGAGGTATACGTCGGAAACGCAGATCCTTTGTGGACAGTCTCTGCGTATGTCATACAATTTTGCATTCAAGGCGCACACGTCTGATATTGTTATGTTATGGCTTTTTGAACCTGCAGAGTCCCACACGGCGGTGAGTTTCCCAGGCGTCGATACCTAACATTGACTATATATATTTCGAGACTGATACCAGCTTTGATCGCTTTGAAACAAGGATATGTTCTTGCCCTGATAGTGGAGGCATGTCTACATCACCAGAAGTCTACCCGGCATCCTGATCCGTTTCATCTCACGGCACACTTTCTACGTGCAACATCGGTTGGACCATTCGAAGTGCGCATCCACACTATTCGATCAGGGAGAGGAATGTCGAATGTTCATGCGGACCTCGTGCAAGATGTATGTCTTCCTCATCCAAACGATATCATCAGAGCCTCGTACTACGATTCTGACCAGCATCATGTCTGCGCTATCTGTTCAAATTCCTTCATGTGCTTTTCTGTGCATACTACCAACCGCTCATCGCTGCAATGAATTGATTGGATCACAATAGGAGCAAGTTCGCGTCACGATGCACGCCATCTTCGGATCTCTTTCTTCTTCGACTACGAATGACGCCACCGCCACAGACTCTCACGCTTTAGGCACCTCAAATACAGTGAAATCGCTCACACTTGTACCACCACACCCTCTCGCCCGTGTTACACCCTTCGAGACGCACCCGTCAACACTAGGCACAACCCCTTTGAGAAGTAGGCTGAACTTCAGAAATCAACTCTCCGGCGCATCTCTTCCTGACGTCCTTCGTCAAACTGCTGGACCTGTTGAGACCGGCAGATGGTACACTTTCAATGACCCACACGACCATCTTTCACCTAGCGCTATAGCCTTTTTCGCCGACCTCTTTGGATCAAACCTGGTTGGCAAAGCTTTTCCTGACCTTCCTACGAGTTGGTTCCCAACCGTCACGCTATCCATCCAATTCTACGCCCCTGTACCTCGCATCACGGACACATCCGCTCTCAGCCCAAGTTCGGATAGGAGTGTTGGTGTATGGTCGAGCGGAAGATTCGTTCAGGATCCCCAGGGACGGCATGATGTCTATGTCGAGGTATGGACGGCGCCAGGAGACATTGGGGCCGCGGTGGGACCAGATGGCACCATCCACAAAGGAGCAGTCAAGGAAGGATGGAGGCAGGAGCAGAGATGTTTGGCGATTGCCCACCAGATGGCCTTGGTGCTCCCTATGGAGGTAAACACGAGGAAGGGGAACAAAGGAGCGAGTAAACTATGAAGCAAGGTCGAGAAGGACGTTAAGTTTGTTTGGGATCATCTTGTGATCCTTGATACGCTTTTCTAGGTGAGACATAGAATATGCTATCTTTCCTCGCAGGCTCATTGGTTGTTTTTCTAGAACTGTAATAGATACATCTCTAAATATGTGCAAACGCCGTTCGTCTCTCACACTGAACACCTAGCGTGTTGCGCCTTTGCGTCTGGTGATGCAAGATGCCAACTCTCTTGGACGGTTAGGTTGATCTTGCCGGGGTACCGAACATATTCTTCTCTTGAACTTTATCTATACATACACTCATGGCGGTTGAGAAGCTCCTTTTCGACAAAACCAGTCAGCACTTCACGATGACGTGGGGCTATCGCCTACATATAACAAGCAATCACTTTTCCAGTATGTCCATCGCATCTTCTTCAGGCTGCGACCTTGTATAAAGTCACTGTATTCCACTGTCATCTACCCCGCGTGTCGCACAAGCCATGACCTTAGGGATTACAGACGCCGCAGTGTGCATTCTGACTCTCATCGGCCTGCTGAGCGTCTACTACAAGCGTCGTCCTACCCATCGTGACCCTCCAGGACCCAAGCCCTATCCTCTCATCGGCAACGTTCTTGACATTCCCGATCAACACCCTTATCTCCAGTATGCGCAATGGGCTCGCGAGTACGGTCAGTCTTCCAAGAATTTATTTTCGAAAACTCGAACATATACTCATATCGAGATCGTGCAAGACTCCCCGCTCATTAAGTTACAGGTTCTAGGGACGCCGATATATGTCATCAACGATTTAGAAACTGCAGACGATCTTTTCGAGAAGCGGGCTAGTATTTATTCGAACAGGTACGCTCATGCGACTGGACCGGTTTCTCACTGTTGACTCCTGGTCGTCATATGCAGGCCGCGTATGCCTATGCTCAACGAAGCGTAAGTTCCTTTTCAATTCGCTGCCATTACTGACGCTGATTCTCAGCTCATTCAAACAGTGTGGGCATGGGCTGGAGCTTTGCCTTCTGCGAGGACATGGTCCAATGGAAAATCAGTCGTCGCGAATTTGTCCTGCAGTTCCGTCCAGCTATCACTCGGGAGTACAGGCCTCAGATTCTCACTGTCGTCCACGAGCTCCTTCGAAAGCTCGTCGTCACGCCTGACGACTACGTCAAGCATATTCGCCTGTATGTCTGCCGTCCCACGATTTATCTTGACGAAGATTATTGATACAAGTCGTTTTCCGTTGCTGTATTAACATGCGTCACGGTAGGATGATGGGCACCTTGATTATGGACATCGGGTATGGGATCAAGGTCAAATCCGCAGACGACAAATATATCAAAATTGCAGAGAAGACGCAAGAAAGCATGGACCCCGCCACAGACAAAAACATCGTGGATATCTTTCCTTGGAGTACGTACTTCTACTCAGTCAAGGCGCGCTTGCTTACCTCGATGTGCGGCTACTACCTAGTCCAACATGTGCCAAGCTGGCTACCAGGTTTGTCTCAATGTTGTGACGTTTTATCGACACTCTATTAACCGACGGAGTCTTCACTAGGTATGGGATGGAAAAAACAGATAGATGCCTCCAAGATTACGGCGCTTGCAATGTGTGACGTCCCGTACAAGCACGTCCTACAGCAAATGGTAAGTCTCCGATGACCTTCAAAGGATCATAAATGAATGCCTCCGCCTTGCTATTCTCTTAGAAATCGGGTTCAGCCACACCCTCTCTGACCACCAAACTCATCGATCGGTTTGAGGAGAGAAGTGACATGGACAGCGACACAAAGGAATACTATGTAAAGAGCATTTCGGCGTCATTATATAATGGTCAGCAAAGTCATTGGGCTTGAGTTCTCGTCACTAACATGTAGACTGCATCTCCCCAGCCGGCACGCATACTGTCAGTATCAGATAATCTCTACCGGATCATGAACATTGGGGAAAAACTGAGATCGTTTCGCACCACCTAGACCAGCGCCGCCTTCGATTTCCTCTTTTTCGTTCTCGTGGCTTTCCCCGACATCCTTAGAAAGTCACAGGAGGAAATTGACAGAGTAGTAGGCACCGACCGGCTTCCTGATTTTACGGACGAGCACAAGCTGCCCTATACAAGCGCGATAGTCAAAGAGATCCTCCGATGGGGCGCTTTCGTACCTACAGGTATACCTCACACGAACGCCGCAGATGACGTCTATAAAGGCTACTTCATACCGAAAGGATCCTTTATCGTGCCTAACGCGTGGTACGTCTTGTTGTCTTTTTCTATTTATATGTGAAATGCACATCCGCTGTTTTTTTTGTTGATCTTTGTTTTGTCGACCAGGGCAATGTTACACGATGCGAATATCTATCCGGATCCTGACGATTTCAGGCCAGAACGATTTCTCACAACTGAGGGTAGACTCGACAACAACGTGCAGGATCCAGAGGCGGTATTTGGTTTTTCTCGGAGACTATGTCCTGTGCGCGTCCCTCGTCTCCGTACATTTTGCGGTCCAGTATTTTTCTCACCAATAGCTTTACGGGTACAGGGCCGTTTTCTGGCATTTGACACCATTTTCATGGGTACTGCCTGCATAGTCGCAGCGTTCAACATCGGGAAGGAAGTTGGCCCGGATGGCAGGGAGGTTACTCCTCCACTCGAATTTACCTCCGGACTAGTCAGGTGAGTCACTGCTGGACTTCATACTCACACGCGTCACTGACAAACCATTTTTATCGTGGCTTTACTTGGCTAATCTCAGGCATCCAAAGTCTTTCAAATGCACAATCAAGCCTCGTTCTGAGAAAGCTCTTGCGCTGATTCACGCTACTTCGACCAATGAATGAGTAGAGGACGTGACCTTTCTCGATTGATCTTCTCTCGTCGCTGCAGGTAGATTCAACCCATGATTGTTTTTCATCCCATTCGTTCCATGAAGTATGAGTATGCGACTCGACGGCCCAAACTCTGGCCTCTCGTAGAATAAGTATGTATCATCATTGCGGGTACAGAACATGCGTACAGCTCCATACAACACCAGACCAGAGAAAACATCCTTCGAAAGGGCCGTAGAACATAGCCGCCCACCAATCTTGGCACAGCTGCCGACGCGGAGGGTTCGCGTTCTGTTTTACCTCCAACAGGAAGACTCTGGGCATCTACACTGCCACGCCGATACGTTCTGTGCTGTGGAGTATAGCCGTCACGAGAAAAAAATGCCGGACCCGCACAATATACGGGCAGGGGTTTTTTTTAAGGTGAGACACGCGTATGGTGCAGTCTTTCCTAGTGGGCTGATTGGTTCTTTCTCTAGAATTGCAATGGATACATCGTCCAGCTGATAACTAATGCGGTTGTTCCCCGAACTCTAACTGTCTGTGTCGTTCGTCTCTCACGCCCGGCGCCTCTCTTGTTGTGCCTGCACGTCTGGTGATACAAGCGATGACTTCCTTGGACCATTAGGTTGATCTCGTTGGTGAAATGAACATCTTTGCCTCCAAAACTCGATCACTACGTGCACTCATTGCGGCTTCGAAGCTTCTCTTCACCGTGCTGTCATCTCGACAGAATTAGTTAGCTCTTCATGATGGCGTGGGCCAGTCGCCTACATATAACAAGCAACCTGATTTATTTCCGTTGCGACTTCTCTAGACCCCGCGACCTTGTATAAACTCACCATCTCCCACTGCCGTCTACCCTTTGTCTGTCCCGCACGTCGCACAAGCCATGACCTTAGGGTTCATAGATGCAGGAGTGTGCCTTCTGGCCCTCATCGGCCTGCTGAGCGTCTATTACAAGCGTCGTCCTACCCATCGATATCCTCCAGGGCCAAAGCCTTATCCTTTCATCGGCAACGTTCTCGATATTCCCGATCAACACCCTTATCTCCAGTATGCGCAATGGGCTCGCGAGTACGGTCAGTCTTCCAAGGATTTCTATCCCAATATCGACATTATACTCATGTCGAGATCGTGAAAGACTCTCCGATAATCAAGCTACAGGTCTTGGGGACCCCAATGTATGTTATTAACGATTTAGAAACTGCAGAGGATCTTTTCGAGAAGCGGGCCAGTATCTATTCGAGCAGGTATGCTCATACGACTTGGCCGTTTTCTTACTGCTGACTTGTAGACATCGTGTCCAGGCCACGTATGCCTATGCTCAACGAAGCGTAAGTTCCGTTTCACTACACTGCCATCATTCTCGGGCGCTGATTCCCGGCATACCCGAGCAGTATTGGATATGACTGGAACTTCGCCTTTTGCGAGGACATGAATCGATGGAAACTCAGTCGTCGCGAGTTCGAGTTGCAATTCCGTCCAGCTATCACCCGGGAGTACAGGCCTCAGATTCTCACTGCCGTCCACGACCTACTTCGAAGGCTTGTCGTCACACCTGACAATTTTACCAAACATATTCGCCTGTATGTCTGCCGCGCCACGATTTCCCTTGACTGACGGCAATGATTCATAAAAGTCGTTTTCCGTTGTTGTATTAACGGGCGTCACGGTAGGATGGTGGGTGCCTTAATTATGGACATCGGGTATGGGATCAAGGTCAAATCCGCAGACGACAAATATATCGAAATTGCAGAGAAGGCGCAAGAAGGGATGGATCCCGCCACAGACAAAAACATCGTGGATATCTTTCCTTGGAGTACGTACTTCTACTCCGTCAAGGCACGGTCACTTACGTCGATGTGTGGCTTCTACCTAGTCCAACATGTGCCAAGCTGGGTACCAGGTGCGTCTTATCTTTGTCATATTCCATCGACGCTCTATTTACCGACGTACTCTTTAAATTCACTAGGCATGGGATGGAAGAAACAGATAGATGCCTACAAGACGATGGTGCTTGCAATGTGTGACGTCCCGTACCAGCACGTCCTACAGCAACTGGTAAGTCTCCGATGACGTTCAAAGAATTCTAAATGAATGGCTCTGCCTTCATATTCTCGTAGAAACTGGGTTCAGCCACATCCTCTCTGACCACCAAACTCATCGATCGATTTGAGGAGAGAAGTGGCATGGACAGCGACACGAAGGAATACTATGTGAAGAGCCTTTCTGCGACGTTATATAATGGTTAGCAAATTCATCGCACTCACGTCTTCGTCACTAACATCTTGACTGCCTTTGCCCAGCCGGTACACATACTGTCAGTATCAGATATATCTACCGTTTCATGAAAGCTACAGAGCATGCTGAGATCATTACGCGCCATTCAGACCAGCACCGCCCTTGATTTCCTCTTTTTCGTTCTACTGGTTTTCCCTGACATCCTGGAAAAGTCACAGGAAGAAATCGACAGAGCAGTAGGCACCGATCGACTCCCTGATTTCACAGACGAACAGAAGCTGCCATATACAAGTGCGGTCATCAAAGAGATCCTCCGATGGGGCGCTTTCGTACCTACAGGTATAATTCGCACGAACGCGGCGGATGACATCTACAAAGGCTACTTCATACCGAAGGGATCTCTTCTCGTGCCTAACGCCTGGTACGTCTCGTCGCCCCTTGCCATTCGGACGTTAAGTGCTCATAAGTTTTCTTTATTTTGTTCTTTCGCTCGACCAGGGCGATGCTACACGATCCGCGTACCTATGCAGAGCCCGAGAAGTTCAGACCAGAACGATTCCTCACAGCTGATGGTAAACTCGACGACACAGTGCCCGATCCAGATGCGATATTTGGTTTTGCTCGGAGAATGTGCCCCGTACGTGTCCTTCGTCTCCGTTTTACTTTGCGTTCATATTACTCTTCTCATCAATACATGAGTACAGGGCCGTTTTCTGGCGTTTGACACCATGTTCATAGGCGCTGCCTGCATCATCGCAGCATTCAATATCGGAAGGGAACTTGGCCCGGACGGTGAGGAGGTTACTCCTCCGCTCGTATTTACCTCTGGACTAGTCAGGTGAGTCACTGCTAAACCTCATTATTACCACGCGTCACTGACAAAACGGGTTTATCCTGGTTTTGCTTCGCAAATCTCAGGCATCCTAAGTCTTTCAGATGCACAATCACGCCTCGTTCTGAGAAAACTCTTGCGCTGATTCACGCCACTTCGGCCAGTGAATGAGTATAGCATGTGAGGGTTCTCTACCAAACTTCTTTCATCGCTGCGAGTAAATGAAGCCCATAATTGTCTTCCATCCCATCCGTTCGTTGAAATACTTATGAGCATGCTGCTCGACGCCCCATGTCGCTAGCTTCTCGTGGCAGAATACTTGCGGTATGTTTTTTATGGAACACAACTGTATCATTGCCACGGAAACAGAACATGCACCCGGTTCCATAAATCACCAGACGGTAGACAACATTCTTCAGTGGACGGCCCGCATGCTTAAAGTAACATAGACGCCCTCCCACCTTGGCACCGCTGCCGACACGGGAGGGCCCCGCGTTCTGCTTTCCCTCTGATGGGAAGACTCTGGACGTGTACACTGCCACAGAGAGCTTCCTCGCCAAAGACTATGCTGAGGAGTACAGCTGTTAACGAGAACAAATATCGGAGCCGAACAACGTGCGGGTACAGTAGATGTAGCAGATGCTTGTTCTGTCGAGGGCCGCCCTCTTGTCGTCGCATACCGTTGCTTCCGCCGATGTTGGCGATGTTACCATACCTGGAACTCCGTTCGACTCGTAGGTGCTGACGGTGCGTCATTCTATCTAGATTTCTGACAAAAACCTTTGTCCCCAGGACTCCTTTCACTTTTGACACCCAGATCCTGGTAGAGACCTTGTTGAAGGGTACCTTGTTCACTGGGTAAGCTCTCATCGGTTCCTCGTTGCCCAATTCTTATGTTTGACATATTCATACAGAAACGTTCTCAACCCGGAGAAATATTGTCGCCTATCCCCGGAGAGATGCGCCTTCCGAGCGACTTCGAGCTCGCCCGTGGTACATATCTATATAAATCATGTCATGACTTTGCTGAGGTTAATAACGTTGATTGTAGACCACAAGACTGCTTGTCTCTAGCAGGCCATGGTCAACGACCAGACTCGTATGCAAACCCAGTTCAAGGCTGCGATGTCCAAGCTTGAAGTCCTTGGCCAGCCTAGGAATCTCGTTGACTGCTCAGACGTACGTCCATGTGTTGGATTTAGCTAGGTGCAGCTCGACGTCGCGAGAGCTTTCGCGAGCTTTCGACGGACACGGATGACTCAGCAGCGCAGCTGCTTTGCCAATCTCTCGAGTACTGTAGAATATTCTAGATACATTGTACAGTAGTATAAATACATGATGTGTTTACCTGTGTAGGGCATCGGTTTGCCCTAACACAAGCCAGCCTCACAGCTCAGTGTGATTGCAAGCCCTCTCTGATTTCTCGTGCTCTTCTCACTCGCTCACGAAAATCCAACACAAACCGATCTCGGTACCGTCGCCGATAACCCGACGCTCGTCCATCATGTCCAGCTTAACCGCTGCGACTGATCTACCGACGGATCTCCCGACGGCAGCTCCTCTCGTCGCCTCTGCGCTTTGCCTCACGCGTCGCCACTCCCTTGCACCCATTACCCCTGTGCGCCACACCCGCTCTACCATCCTTCCTCTTCGTCGCACATCCTCAGTCGACGCCAGCGCACGCACCCCGCCTCTGCCATCACCCTCGCGTTCTCGCGACAGTCATCCCGACTGGAGCAGAGCGATCTGCCGCCACTGCCGAGAAGTGGGCCACATAGCCCGTGTATGTCCCTCCGCCACTCTCGTCGTTTCGTCCCTGCGTAAGCCGCGAAGTTCAGACGCGCCGCCGTTACCCTCTCCATCATCTTTTTTATCCGCCACACCTCCTCCGGCCTCTCCACCCTCCAACCCCGCGTGGCGAAAAGCCATCTGTCGTCGTTGTGGTATTACCGGCCACATCGCACGCACTTGTCCTCGTTCGAGCTCAGCTCCGAGACACCCATCGTCCGCCACTTCCGTGCTTTGTGCATAGAACGGGTTCGATCCCCGGTCCGGAATTTGACGTTGACTCTCCGCCGTCCCTTGTCGCCACATCCTCAGCCCCTATTCCGCCACTTCGCCGCCACCCACCGTTCCTCACCATCCCTTGCCACCCACACTCCTCGCCACCTTCGCCCCGACTCTCTCTTTTCGGTGTCTCATCCAGGCTGTATTGGGCACGGTTACGGATGCCGTAGCGCCAGGTGAGCCGATGCTCACGACGCCTCGACGCGCATCAACCGCTAGGATACGCTGTTCGTCATCGCGAGCAGAACGGAATTGCCATATGAAGGAACGCGCACATGTCCAGGGGGAGTTCCTGACGACTGCCGTAGGTTCTGACCATAGACGGGTAATTCACTGCATGTCGTAGTTGATCTAGAGGTCTTTCCCGCACGTCTCGCTGAGGGGGAGTGTTGGATTTAGCTAGGTGCAGCTCGACGTCGCGAGAGCTTTCGCGAGCTTTCGACGGACACGGATGACTCAGCAGCGCAGCTGCTTTGCCAATCTCTCGAGTACTGTAGAATATTCTAGATACATTGTACAGTAGTATAAATACATGATGTGTTTACCCGTGTAGGGCATCGGTTTGCCCTAACACAAGCCAGCCTCACAGCTCAGTGTGATTGCAAGCCCTCTCTGATTTCTCGTGCTCTTCTCACTCGCTCACGAAAATCCAACACCAGTGTTGTCACTCGACCTTTGACCAGTGGTCGGGGTCAGGTCAGCCGAGCGACCCGACCCGGCGGGGTCAGACCCGGTCAGACCCAGTCAAGTCTGCGGCGCCACTTGGTGATGTGGCCCCGAAATATACCAAAGTAAGGCATTTTCCAGAATGTGCCAGCATTTGGTCCAGAGCCGACGCTGCCGACCACCATAAAAGGTAGGCTGCAGGGGGTCAAGAAAACCTTGACCCAAGAGGCGTTCGGGATTGAAATCCAGCACGCCGGATCATGCCTGGATGTGGTACGTCATCTCTCCCTTTTCAGGAAGTTCTGGCACGTGCCAGAGTGATCCGAATATCGAGTTATTCTACGCCACATTGCTTTTGCAAAGTTTGGAGGGACAGACCTGTCGGTTATCATGCTAAAAGCATTGAAGCACGAATACAGACTTATTCCTGACCTTGTTTTTTACTTTACATCAGAGGTGTGGTCCACGACAAAGGCTGGGGTGGTCGCCACAGCGTACCACAAACTTCCAGATATGGGGTGATTACGTACCACATCCGTGCACGAAGTTGTTGGCGTGTCGGATGATCCCGACCGCCTCTTGCCTTGACCTGACCCGGCTCGGCCTCTCGACCCGTCAGCCTGACCCCGGGTCTGGCACGGTCAAGTGCCAACACTGTCCAACACCATGCTTCATCATTATGTTACCATTCTGACGACTTGCTACATCTTGGATCTACAGGTCGTTCCCGTTCCTCCTCCCTTCAGGGGCCAAGCAATGTTTCCTGCGACCTTCTCGCGCAGGGACATCCAGCAAGCCGTGAGTGATTTTGTGTATCATAATTCATCCGTTTGGTCAGCCACTGAATCAAGCGTCCGTTAGTGCATCGTGCCCTTCCCCACGTTGGAGACCATTTCTGGTCCGGAGACCTCCGTCCCTCCCGTGTAAGTACCTCATCCACATACCACACCTTCGTCTCGCCTTTCTAACAACTCTCCTTCCATAGTCCCGGCTCCTGAGCGCGAATATATGGATGTACTTATTTCCTATTTTCTGTGTGTTTTGTGTTCTTTTTATACTGTTACTGGTGGTTCTGTTGTTCCTCGCAACGAATCAGACACTTTCGTGGACAGAAAGACCGCAAGCAGAAGCTTACGCGTGATTACGTATTGCGAAACGCACTATCCAATATGCTAACTTTGTATTTCAAACAGTAAATGATGTTTAACATCTAACGGTGTTCATATAAGTGAATATACATTTCGTGACGCTTGATACATCCAGATTCCATAGATACTGAGTACTGTCCCTCTTTATAGATCGAGCACTTTCTCACATACCCCCAAGCAATTGAACAAACTCCTCACTCTCATACCCCTCTCTCATCTTCACAGTATTTGCACCCACGTGCATTCCCTCGCCTCTCGCCTTCTTTTCATATAAGTGGACCTGTGCATACTTCAACGCGAAGCGTTGTTCTTTGAGAGAAGCATCCTTCCCAATCCATACATAAACCGTAGGATGGGTGGCTGTGGCAGTATTGTCGAGTAGGAATGCATCGTTAGGGGAAAGGGAGGAGAACGTGGGCGGCGAGACGTGTTCGAATTGTACACTGCCGGAGTCGTCCGTGATGCGGAATAGAGAAAGGATGACCTCGGAGGATTCAGCAATGTGATGCCGATCAGGAAGGGCCTCGATATTGAATTCGGCGAGGAATACGCCTGCGCCTGATCCACCTTCGTCTAGCAAGTAGTGAGAAGGAGTAAGTCAGTCAAAATGTATCAAGATAGTGGGTAGTCCAACGATTACCATAGACAATCGAGTTGCACGATCCGCCTCTCTCATTTACCAACGATTGCACAAACTCAGCCGCCCTGAACTTCTCCTTCCCAACACTGCTGCTCGTGTTGAACTGCAGCACATCCGTACCCTTGTCCAATACGAAAACATCACCTTCGACCAGACTTGACGCCTCAGCCTGCACCTGGCGGACCAGGAGACTGGACTTGGTGGGGTGAGCGGAATCGTGACTCACGCCGATCCTATACAGACGGTGAAGGTCCAGAGGTGGCGGAGACGAGACGTGATGGAATCCAGTCGCCACTCCGCCTTGAAGTGTAACGAAACGAGGGAAGTACGAGAGGAAACGTGGAGACTCGTATCCCTGGACCTCACGGTGTTCGACTGGTGCGCCGTGTAGATCTGGAAGGATAACAAGGAATGGTGAGGTATGTCACGGCAAGCGTCTGTTTCTATAGGAGCACTTACGATCATCGAGCTCGACCGTTTTGTACGCAGCAGTGCCAGCTTCGTCTTGAGTCGTGTCCGAACCTAGCCAGAAATGAAGGTCATAGGAAAGAGTCTCAGACTCTGGATGCTTCTTGTATGTCTTTACGCGTGAAACCACTCGACATCAGTATGAGCTGACATAGTAATCGATTACAGGGCTGAGGACCTACATGCAGGACGATATACGAATCGCCATCATAGAACGATCCATAGCGCTCCTTGGGCCAGTCCACAACGGTGAACTTCTCGATCCTCCAGATTTGGAGACCAGAAGTAGTTCCTGCCTTGTCCCAAGCGTGCTCCTTATCTCCCGCATGTTCGTGAACTCGTTTCTCGATCTACAGGAAGAATCCGTCAAGAGCCGGCGGCCGTCGAAACGAAGTCAAACCTCCATCAAAACTGGTCCTCTGGCTTAAAAGCAAGAGATGAATGCTTCACTTACATCTGAGCCAAAGAGGGCTATGTTCGAGTCCTCGATGTTATATTTCTCGGGTTTTGTCAGGTGGGCCATGCTTACTTTGCCTCAATACCAGGATACTTGAGATGATGGATGCAATGAAGTAGGAATGCTGCACCGAGACGTCGGAAATCACGTCATTTCGCCCGGCAAAGGCCAGTAAAGGATCAAAGTGTGGCGGGGTGGCACCTCAGGCTTCGAGAACATAAAGTAGGCGTGGATTGGATTTTACGTTAGAGCAAGCAAATGATACAAGGATGGCATAGGTAGGTAGTACAAACATACAGACACATTTTGTGACGGAGCAGAACAGATTTATCGATGATGGTACAAATGAAGAGCAAGAACAAAGCGCGGCCAAAACAGCTCGAGATCATCACTTCTGTACATCGTACACGATCCTTCCGCCGACCCAGGCGTACGGGTAGCTCTGCTGATAATAGTTGCGCAGAGTCCTCCTCTCGGAAAGACGAGGGATTGTGGCGTAGGAGCCACCGATCACGACATTGTGACAACCGTCGAAGAAGTCCGTGGAGTATCTGTGAAATATCAACAGTCATACTTTCAGATACGTGAGGATATGGCGCAGGAAGGAGAACGTACCCAGGATATAAGATGGATTGAAGGAAACCTTCATGCTTCTCAAACACCGAGCTCGTCCACTCGAACACCCCTCCGTTGTGGCCCTTGCCACCTCCAGCCTCTCCCACCCCCGTCGTCGCCCTACAAAGCACACGTCCAAATGAATTATGATTAGAGTATTTTGGAAGACAAGAACGGGTGTGACGCACGGAACGGGGTGCCAGTTCCTAAAGGCGACATTCTTTCCACCCTCATATCCACACTCGAACTTGTCGTAGAACAGGCGGAGCTCAGGCTCGGTTGGCAAACGACCGCCCTTGACGCTAGCGTATGTAGAGAGGTTGTTGTACGATGTGACAATGGGCCACTTCCACGCAGTCTTGATCGGGATAGGACCATACATGGTGCGGACCTGTAAGCAGCAGTTAGCTTGCAACTGAAGGGCTTGGAGAATTATCAGCAGCTAAAATAGATGTACCATAACCTCTCCATTCTCCTCCACCCAGCTCTTCGGAAACTGGACCATCTCCTTTCCCTCTCCGTTCCAATACTCATAAAACTCGCCGTTCGTGACGGGCCTCCACGATATCTTAAACTCGCCGACGTCAACTTTTCGAACTGGGTGTTCATTGTCCCAGCCAAAGTCGTGACCCTTGACGTCGGTACGATGTTTGGGGTCCTCATCCAACCGTTCGTCATCATCGTGACCAAGCGAGATGGTGGTAGGTCCCAGAGTGACTGTCGGCGACTGTGGGACAGGCTGGGCGTCCCAGTTTTTCACGAGTGAAGACCAAGGTGGGGGAGCGAAGCCAGATGGTGGGATCGTACCCGTGCCGGCGCGCTGGAGTAACATGTAGAGAAGGGTCTATTTACCAGCAATGAGCATACAACTAGATCAACGGCCGACGAAAGGAAGTCAGATGCATACCTCAGCGTGGAACCCTTCATGCTCAAGGACCATGAACAGGACACGACCGATCTTCCTCGTCAGCTCGATCTTGCCCGACTCGAGGTCGTCATACAAGTTTCGAACCCTTTGGCGCACGCGATCTTGGAACTCCAGGATGCTATCAAGAGACGGCCAGTCTTCGTCATTTTGAGGGACTTCGGAGTGAGGCTGTGGAGAGTATAAGAGGAAAGAAGATACACGGAGGCAGACGAAAGTCGTACGTGGCATTGACTCGGGTCATCAACGTTCGGGTCAATGCCGCGCTGAAGAAGCGATATGAGTAAATTCGTTCGAGATTATGTCCCAAAGCAAAACGTACTTCGAAAATATACTGAACAAACAAACAAAAGTCAGACCTTGCGTTCGAGCGAGGGCAGACAACAAGCGAGTAATGCCATACCTTGAACTCCTCAGGTTCCGTATGCTTCCCATCCAACAATCTCGTCAGATGGATATCCAAAAATGTAGGTATATGTCCGCAATAAAATAAGCAAATGTGCCTCAAATCGATCGGCTTTTGGAAGAGCATGGACTCGGGGATCATCTTGCGCGTGATGAAATCCCAGGCGGCCCACATGTCTTGGAAGTCCTGGAAGGACGGGACGCCGAAGGGTGTGTTGCTGAGGGCGGAAGGAGCGGTCGAAGGAGTCGGTAGGAGCGGGAATGAGAATGGAGGACGTTCGAGGAGCCAAAGGGAGTAACCGGAAGGGTCGGTCCAGCGTTGAATGGGACGAAGGTGGGCGCTGGTGAAGAGCTTGAATGCATCTTCCTCTGAGTACTAGAGACAACAGAAATATTAGACTTCTCCTAGCACCATGCAATGTTGGGACCCTACCTTCGTAGATATCTCGAAGTTAACGTGCTCGTCGACCACAAATGCAAAATCCTGCCTTGACTGGGGGTCACGTATCGTCTGCGCAATTTTAGAGACGAAGTACGCTTCGTGACGACCTAAAACCATGACCTCATTAGTGATGTGCCAAGAAGCAAGGAAGGTGGCACACACGTTCTTCTTCATCGTACTTGCCCACGTATTCCCAGTTCTCCGGATCAAAGAGCTTGGGGTCTCCAAGCGCCTCACCAGCCGCCTTGAGCCCATTAAACGCAAACTTCCTCGTGATCCCCTTGTCGTCATCATACGCTTTCTCGATCCTCTCCTTGTCATTTCCATGGTCCAACCCAAGCAGCAACGTGTCGCCCGAGCCCGGCCTGAGAGGAAGTGCCTTCAAGAACTCTGCGTCGGCTCCACGGGAGAAATTTCCGAGCGATGAGCCCAAGAAGAGAATATGGAGGGGGGACTTCGAGTCGGACGAAGAGCCGGGGGTAGAAGGCGTGGTCTCGACTGAGTCCCGATCGGTGCCAGTGATGTATGTGGCGCCTGTGGAGGAGGCGCTGTCGGAGGCGGGGGACCGTTCCCTTGCACGAGTGAGCGAAGGAAGCCTTGGCCGTTCTGGAGAGTTAGGTCCTGCGGCGATATGTTCCACAGAGCCGTGACCATCGATGCCTCCTTCCTCGATGAACTTCAGACCACCATCGTAGGTGCCCCACATGCCCTTGGTGGTGACTTTGCCCTCGAGTTTGGGACCGACGGACGAAGTAGAGAGTTGGTCGAGGGTGCGCTCGAGCTCGCGCTTCTCGAGGTCCAGAGCGTAGTAGGTGATAGGGGGAGGAGACATGGCGTGAGGGACGAGTCGGGAGAGTGCTGAGAGTACGTGTGATGTCTTGCGGAGCGCGCTTTATAAAGAGTTAAGGTCAATGAGTCTGATCGATATCTCAAGAGAAGGTAAGAGTATCTTTAGAAATGGATAGAGGTAGAGAGGTGAACTTTGTGGCTTCACGGCACCGCAAAGAAGGCAGATATAACGAAAAGAATGCCGCGCCGTCAACGGCATCGCGAATGCAAGCCTGTGAGTAGAAGCATGGAGAATAGGGGCAAAACAAAACTCTATCGCCAACAACATGGATCACGGCGATCTGAGATATCTGGAGCCGATGATGTGGCGAATACGAGATAAGGCGACAGAGTTTAGATGTGGACAGACAACGGACATCTCATGGCGATCTTCCAACCTTCGCGGTGTTCGCAACAACGTCTGACATCACACAACAAAGAAGGAGACTCACCCAGCACCGAGCTCAACGACAACCTCATCTCCACCAAGCTTCCCACCAGATGCGCTATGCATAGTCTGTACTATATCGTCGCCGAAAGTCTTGAGGATGCTTTCCTCCGCGCCGAAGAGATAATACTGCTCCGCATCCGTTGTGATCTCGTCGTATATCCTGAGACCGGCTTCGTTGTATAGGAGTAGTGTGGGGAGTGTCTTCTGGCCAGTCGGCTGTGCGAGGCCTGCAAGAATTTCGCGGCGAATATCCTGCTCGCCGTTCTGCGCCTTGTCGTTGACACGGACGTCGATAATCTGGGCTCTAGAAGAAGGCATGGTCGGAAGATGATATGAGGAAATGGTGCTCGAAGAAAGGAGACCGACGCACCTTTATATGCAATGGCTTGATTCATGACATCACGCCCGACCATGATCGCTTAGTCAGCATATCTCGGTCGGCACTTCGCCGTCCACGTACTCCTCCAACTGCATGCGGGAAGGCGTGGGTCGACTAACCACTGAATCTCTCCCGTAAGCATTTACAATGGTATGTGCGGCATTGCAGGAGTCAGGCCATGGTGAAAGGGCTGGCTATGCCGTACACATCAGGAGGTAGAATTTAGTTTTAGCATTGGTGGCCTCCCCACGAAGTTCAACACTCAGTCATCCAATGACCCACGACCCTGTCGCAAGCTCCTTGATCTTTCTATAATTGCCACCGTCCTGGACTATTCGCTATGTAGAGCGAAGGACGGAAATGACTGAGAAAGTCCAGGGCGACTCCAGTAGCCTCTATCATCCTTAGAACGACCGAAGTCTGAGTAATACAGACACATCTCGTTAACGTTCTCTTCGTTCTGCTGAGCAAGCCCGAGAAGATCGAGTCATTGTCTCGACCTGGACCCGACGATTCTCTGCGCCCCCGAATCAGAGACACCGTGAGCATCAGCTATCTCCCACTTGCTTGATCATAAGATCAGATTGTGCTGCAAGGCCGCCCGATCAGCAAAGAAATCCGGCCGCATCTCGCCACGGGGAGGAGAGGAAATAGAGGTCCCAGACTTCCATCAGACGAATACGACATTGCGACTGACAAACTCGACGGACGAGCCACCGAGAACAATTACAATTCACCTTAAGAGGAGATATAAAAACCTCACGGAAGAGTGACAACGTAACCTTCGGTGGCGATCCAGTCCGACTAAATCGAGGCAGAGAACGGGTCCCTTCGAATTGGAAAACGTTGGCCGTGTGCCATCATCGTGTGAGATGCATTTGACGAAAGAGAAGGGGTAGAGTTCACTGAAGATCCGAAAACGTTGGTCAGCTGAAGATGAATGTGCATGCGAAAGCACGTTGAGGGCAACAATGTACGAGCTGCAATCGAACATGGGGATAGAATTTCACCACGGCCCACTCAGGGGGTGAGACGAGCAGGCTCACTTACGACACGGCAATCCCTCGCATCTTCTAACCGCCTCCACAGAATCATTACAAGCATCTACTTCATGACGACTCCCAATCCTAGGGACCACACACGTGCGGTCAATCATGAACCCTACATCCTTAAGATACGTCACGAAAAGCATCCAGAGCCGGTAGTGATGTAATGGGGGAGCGTTAGGATACGGCGACGACATCGAGCACAAGACCATTGTGCCCTCTATTCCTCTTTCTGCACTCGGTCTCGCCCCACAGCTACGCCTGGGGCGAACCATACGGTCATAGCCGACCAATTTTTGAGAGATGCCATAGTCGAGACTGGTTCAAAGGTTAAAGGAAGAGCTACGTAGCGTGGATCTGTGGCTACGATTGAGTGTAGTGGCAGCACTCTCCTGGTAGGCCAAAGGATGACGCAGGCAGGGCAACAGGCAGGATGTCTCTGCCTGTATCACCGTATATATAGGTCCTCGGGGAGTGTGTCGCAATGAAGTCGCAATCGAACGAGTTACTGTCGCACAACAAGCACCTGTGATGACGACTATTGGCCACTTAACAAGTCACGTCCGCTGATCATCTTACGGCGTAGACATGTAAGTAATGTTATGGTACCTCCTAAGCCGAGCGATGAGCCTTTCCAGTCGTCGTGCGGTAGAACGGGGACTTGTAGGCGTGAGAGATGCGGAAGAACATGATCGTGAGAGCAAAGGATGGACAGCACAAAAGTGGCCGCGACCCGTACTATATTTGCAGCGGAGTTCGAAGTTCGACTCATTTTCTTTTCATTTATTTATTTATTCCAGCTGCTTTCACAACTCTAGACAGGGTACGAAATCTTCTCGGTGTGCCAAACATCAATTTTGACGGACCAAACACACAGCCTCTGCATTCATTCTCTGCCCGAATGGGGCATCCGCATAGTCTCGAAACCAGCCGTTAGAGGGGTGCTCTCTCCAGGCGCTGAGTGAGAGGACGGGAGGGAACCGGGAACAAGGCTGAGTGGCTGAAAATATGCGGAGTGAAAAAAACACGTGGCAAATTGAAAGTCAGAAAGTTGGGAATCGCACCCCTCTAACGTCTGGTGCATTTCGTATAGAGACGGCCCCATCGGTGACAGAGTGACACCGTGGGAACGGCACATGTCTGGTGTCGCGACGCACATGATCCGGCGCGTCTTTCATCCGTGACACGAAGTCTTCCTTGCGAAAACCCCACTACTCGTCATATTGCTGTCCATCTCACGCTACAGTCTATTACCTTGTACACTACTACATCTAAATTCTACCCATGGTCCTCACTCCCAGCAGCCAGCCCAATTCTCCCAAGAAAACCCGGCCTGCCCCAACGAAGAATGCTCAGCCTCCCAAGGGTGCAAGAACCCCTGCCAAATTCTCCTCTTCCTCCAAAACAAAGACCTCAGTTCCACCGAAACAAAAAGGCAGCACCTCTACGACCCGCTCATCAAAACCTTCCTCGAAACCTGCTCCGAATCCCCAGGAACCAATTGATACATCGTCTACACAGACTAAGAAGGTGTCGGACCGTGCAGAGCAGGAGAAGCGGGTGCGTGCAGAACTTCACGAGCATCAGCGTCTTCGGTCGTATGCTTTGCTCGATGCTTCTCGAGAACGGGCTAAGGAGGCGTGGGGCTACGATTCAGTACAGGCTCGTCGTATTATGAAGGAGGAATGTCTTAGTCGCTCGAAAGGCGCTATCACTCCTCACGAGTGGCAGCTGGACATTGCGGAATGTTTGGTGTTGGGTATTGACTGCGAACTGATCGCGCCAACGGGTTCGGGGAAGACGATTGCGTTCATGCTGCCGATGTTCTACTGGCAGAGACCTCGCACAGGGAATGAAAGTGGTGAGCATGCGACAGGGAAGACAAACAAACAAGGAAAACCTACGGTTCTGATCATCGTCTCACCTCTGAATACCCTCGAAGCCGATCAGGTGCGTATCCAGAATATTCAAGTTGGCTCTTGAGTTCTGACGGAATGTAATCGAAGGCGCGTCGGTTCACGGAGGTTGGTCTTTCGGCTGTGGGTCTCAATGGGGAAACATATTCAGACAAGACATTGAAGGTGCGTTTGTTACGCTCTCGTATGTTGTACCGTCAGCGCTGATGCCCTCTCAGGACATAGAGGACGGCCGTATCAGTGTAATCGTCACCTCGCCAAACATGTGCTTGGAGCACGAAAAGTTTCGTGGTCTCCTCAATTCAGCCAGTTTCGCTATGCGCATTGGAGCCTTCGTCCTCGACGAAGCTCACTGCATTACACAGTGGGGTGACAAATTCCGCGAGGTCTACTCCAAACTTGGCACACTTCGCGCTTTCGCATCCCATACCCCATTTCTTGCTACCTCTGCGACACTCACACCGGATGATCTGACCACGATCCGCAAGTCTGTCCATTTCTCAAAGCCTGATACCTTCCATCTTAACCTCGGGAACGATCGTCCCAACATCACTTGGCACGTTGTGCATATGAATGCTGGCAAGTCGGACCTCGAGTCGCTCGAGTTCCTTCTCCCGAAGGACTGTAATGCCACACGTCTCGGGAAGGTCATCGTCTTTTTTGACGAAATCCTTCTCTCGATGAAGGCATGGCGTTGGTTTCGAGAGCGACTTCCAGAACACTTACGGGGACGCATAGCCTACTACAACTCACGTCGCGGCGAAAGCTCCAAGCTCGACGCGGCCACTCAGTTCTGTAATGACAAAATTGACATCATGTTTTCAAGTGAAGCTTTAGGCATGGTGAGTGATATGCATCTTTCACTATCAGCCCCAGTACTAACTTCAATATGGAAGGGATGTGACTTACCGAACATCGAGTCCGTCGTGCAATTTATGGTCCCAGCCTCCTTGTCAATTTGGCTTCAGCGTGCAGGCCGTGCCGGTCGGACGAGAGGGTCACAGGCGCATGCCTACCTACTTGTGCAGCCAACGGTGTTCCAAGAGAAAAATAAAACCAAACGAGCAGAGGGCGATGAGATAGAGTACATGAAGGTGGTCGAGAAGGACTTACGCCGGTGGATCCAGACATGCGAATGTCGCAGGGATGTGGCGGACGAGCACTTCAACAACCCAGTGAATCGTGAAGGTCAGTTTTGTTTCATGCGTGCGAAAGAACGGGCCACTCACATTGATGGGTGTAAACAGAGCCTACCGGTGAATGCTGTGATACATGTGGTCAGAAGAAACCACGACAGCTAGACAAAGAACAAGGCTCGCCTGGACAGGATAATCCAACCCACTCCACCATGGACGACCCTCAATCACCCCCCGACCCAGTGCCTGTAGAACCGACCAACGATAAAGAGAAAGGCGCCGTTAAACGTCGCGATCAGCATCTTGAGGAGGCGAGGAAGCTTCTCGTAGGGTGGCGCGCGTCAACCTACCGAGCGAGGTATCCGTACGCGATCTGGGGCGTGGAGGGGCTGATGCCAGACGTGGTGGTGACGGCACTGGCAACGTACCGTCGATGGCGGAGTCTGGAGGATCTCCAGTATGCTGCGGCGGATTGGATGTGGAAGGAAAGGCATGCGGACGAGGTCTTGAAGCTCCTGAAGGAACTCGACGAGCGTGTAGACGCGGAGAAAGAATTCGCAAAGCGAGCGAAGGCGGACGCGCGGAAGGCTGAGACGAAGCGGAAGAGAGAGGCGAAGAAAAGGGCGAGCGAGCACGTCGAGGACTCGTTGTCATCGTCTGATGAAGAGCCGTTGTTGGCGCTCGTCGAACGCGCCCCTAAGCGCCCTCGTGCTTCGCGTTCTCACGAGACGACGCGACCTTCAACGCCTTCGCCTCCAGCTTCTCCTCTGCCTCTCACCTCATCTCTGCCATCTACCTCCACGGCAGGCTCGAAACCTCCGAATGAGCCGGTACGTTATTTTCCGCAGCTCACGTCTATCATTACTCTGATCGTTTCGTGCCTCATTCACAGCTTCATTCGTCGCGCGAAGCGCCACCCGTGCTGTCGACACGTACAGCTCTACCCACCACTGGCAGTGTGAGGACCGTGACAAACGTAGGAACATGCGCAGGCCATTCGATTTCAACGTCTGCTACACGCGCCTCATCGTCGGATTGTCATTCAGCAGGTTCTGGACGTGCGCAAGCGGGCAGAGTGTCTGAGTCTTCTACAGGCGCGTCCCTTCCCGTGAATCTGTCCAAACATATCTCTAATATAACTTATTACAGCGGCTACAAATATGGCTTTGCAGTCGTCTGATCACGAAGCTCAGCAGCTGAACCAGCACGGCCCGCAGCATCTTTATGCACCGCCGCAGTACGGCTACTATACATCCGATCCTCGATATCCAGGCGCCCAGTTCTTTGTTCCAATGCCATATCCTCCTTACGGTTATCAACCATATCCCATTTACCAGACATATCCCACCCACGCTGCTCACAACCACCCGCAACATCACCCACAGCCTCCTTCAGGATCATGACCATCCAATACCATTCCAACAAATTCCCTCATAGTGCTACCGTACAGTACTCACATTACTTTTGCTGTGTCTATCACTCATTCGCTGTATCTGATTCCTCCGCCATTCTCTGCCGCTTAGATTTCTCGCTCACGTCCTCTGCTTTTCGCTTTTTGTCATCCTCTTTCTGCTTTCTTTCTTCGTCCAACCACCGCTCCGATGTTTCCCTTGGGAATGATCGGTTGTCCCACCACTCCTTAATCGTACGGCTCTGCGCTAAGCTCGCCATTCCTTCCGTCACAAAGTCCTTCGCACGATTCCCCGCATTTTTGAACGTGCGCCCCCCCTTCGGCCTGAACCACCCTTCCGCTACGGCAATGTCCCTCCATGTTGCCACATCTTTCTCCTTCGCTGGTGTTGTATGTTTGTCGCCACGCGTACGTACCAGTTTGAACTGTGACTTAACATGATCCTTCACCAGATCAACCACGGGGATTGTCTTCGCCTTTTTGCTGTGGTTCTCCATTGTCGCCCCTGGTCCCAGACTGCGGTAAGAATATTTTTCCTTCTTGATATTTTGCTCTTGAGCTTGATCTATCGGTTTATAGCCGTCGCGTTTTCCGTTGACGTTGACCAGCCAACAATGCTTCACGATGAAGTTTCTAGGTAAATGGTTAGTCCATAAGTCATTGTTCTGTTGCTGATCTATCAACTCACTTTACGTCCGACTGCCACTCCCGCTCCAATCCTTGAATCAGCTCTAGGATCTCTTTTGTGTAGTTGCTATTAGATCCACCTTCAAATTGTAGTAGCATCCACGGAAGAAGATCCTGGATACGTCCGACATCACCTCTCTTGATCGAATCACGAAGATTGAAGTATGGCAATAAGTCTGTAAGAAACATGATAGCCTGTGAGTTGATTTCGTCTTGATCCTCTGGGTCCATAGCACGCGTCCGAGCGAGTGTGTCGCGGCTTGCACAGTTGTCATATATCTCCTCTGCCAGCGTTGCAAGCGCCTCCGGTGGCCATTCGGCCAGCTCGTCCAATTTCTCGACACCGGCGACCTCCATCCAACACGCTAAAATCATCGCCTCCCCAACGTGCCATAAAACCTCATCGAGATGATGCCAGAATGGGCCCTTGATTGACGTCGTAAGTAACCCTTTCCTCTTGAGCTTGTCGAACGCCCTTCTAAGACCAATTCCGCCCGACTCGCCTAAGTATTGCGCGTGTATCGAGTTTGCGACCGCGAACATGATATGGAGAAACCCGTTCGTACCAATCAAGTAGTCCATCCTCTCATAGCTGTTGATGTCTTGCCCCTTATATAGTGCTAGGCCCCGTAGTCGGGAGGTTGTGAGTGCATCGCCACCCCATGGAAAGAACCTTCCTGTCGATGTCTTCTTCATCTCTTCCAGTGAGTCCATCTTCAATTGACGAAACCACTCATGTATAACCTTCTCCACACCCTCATAGCTGGCCTCATCAATGTCCGCTGTCGAGAACATGAACTGTTCGGGTATATGCTCGGGGCCACATGGAAGTTCATCAACGGGTGCTGGTCGGTCAAATAAGCTGTTGTTGCGGTCGGAATAATTCTCAAAAGCTGGTGAGTTGATCAAGAAGTCTGTAATCTGCCATATATCTTGAGCGCGCTGGCGGTGCTGGATGTCGGGGTTGCCTTCGAGGAGTTTTTGATAGTTGAAGCACTGCTTCGCGCCTTCCCGACGACCTTCCTGATATTTCCGGTTCAGATCTGGGTCGAGGGCTACGTGCTTCGGCAGAACCCATAGTGTACCACCCGTCGCGCTGATGAACATGTTCTGGTTGCTGATACGCTGGGAAAAGACTCTGCGGGGTATGTTCTCGTTGTCAAAGGTGCCGAATATGGCGCGCTCGCGACTGTACTTGACCATGGCGTTGGTCTCGGATGTGGCAATTTGCACGAGTGCGTCACAAGTCCATTTGTGACTCATGACGAGGCCTAGTGCGTGAAGAGTGTCGAACGCGCGAGCTGACAAGCCGCAATGTTTGAGGTAGAGAGCCCAAAACATAGGGAGTCGGTTACGGTGATGTGAGCGTGTGTATGAAAGTATCGACATGACATTCATGATAACCTTTGAAGTAGGCGAGAGTCAGTGTTGCAGTCAAAAATGAGAATACACTGAGATGGAAGCCACTCGTACATTCTCGGGTGTTTTGTGTGTGTTCCGTTCTGCTTGAGATTCACTCCACCCGGCCTTCAGCAATATAGTCCACAATGTTGAGGCTCTCTCCTTTAACTCCAAGCATATCTTCTTCATATCCAAACTGGTCAATTCCTTGCGGCTGAGAGCATCTTTGCCCGCTGTCATGAGGTCTGCTATAGCCCTGATGTCCTCCGCTACTAACTGTCCCACAATTTCCGTCGCTATATCCTCCACAACCCCGCGACCACGTTTTGCCTTACCCCCCGGTGGCCTTGCACACCGCAGCAAAGCCTCTCTAAACTCTGCACTGCCCAACAACCCTGTTCGCTCGTACCTCACCTTTGGGTCGGCCGTGCATTCCTCATCTCCATAGAGCACCAAGCCCACAAACCAAGGAAGAGTAAGCCCATTTGACTGTAAGGCATTAAAAATAGCGAGAACAGCATCAAGAGGACGTTTGCCGGCCTTCGCAAGATTGGCCTTGTACGATTCGGTGTGAGCATGTTGAATAGGACGGTGGTCAACAGGTTTTCGAGCTTGAGAGGTATCTTGGTCGGATTCGTCAATGTCGCCAACAGGCTCGTCGTCCGAATCCAGATCGGCTTCCCACTTGTCGTCAAAGAAATTTTCGAACAGGTCATCAGGTATGTTATCCATCAGTCAAGTGTGTAAGTCAAGAGGTACAGGAATAAACCGTCGAGTTTGAGATGAGACAAGACACGACGCGACGCGAGTGTCAAGACGCGTCGGTAACGAGGAGTCACAAGGTGACGGTGTGACCGATTGTCACCGATGGGCGCGTTACTATACGAAATGCACCAGACGTTCTCGGAGCAACTCTCCCCACACAACCGGCTTCTTGGCTCCGAGAACGGCTGGATCCGAGACTAGCATCCGCACACGACCAACGTAAGAGTGTGGCGTCGTGAGTGAGAAGAAAAGAAATTGAGATCCGCTCGCAGTGAAATCTAGCTTTGTTTGGTCCATCCTCGTTTCTGTTTGGTGCAGGCGAAAGATCTTGCCCCCTGTCTAGAGTTGTGAAAGCAGCTGTCAACGAATTTATATAGTGCCGGCAAATTGCCAGGGGCGCTTTGTATGGTAGGTAGATACTTGGTAGATACATACAAGAAGAGCGATTGTCGACTGAGTCCATGAAAGTGTGTACCTACTCAGAATACTGTCTGTTATTTCGAAAGAGAAGTATCGAACGTTCAAGTGATGTCCGACGGGACGGGGGACAGCGGAGTTCGAAGTTCTACTCCCAGCCCAATAAGCTACACATCTCACCAACTTCATCGTCCATGTTCTTTGCGACCGAGCTTCGAGTTATGCACATATACCCCTACAGGAAAAAAAGTAGTGGTATCTCACCCTGAGTCTGGATTGCGATAGGCTAAATAAGAACGATGCAAAATCAATACATCGTCATCGTCTTATTCATTACCGCTGATGGGGATCGAACCCACAACCCCCACCTTAGGAAGGTGATGCGCTACCATTGCGCCACAACGGCTTGACATTTACAGTGTAGGCCCACTCCTTGATCCAACCCCGGTCCTTGATCCACTGCAAATCTGCCGCCTACAGCTCCCCCAGCTTGAAGAACACTCTTAAAAACTGTAGGTACGGGACACTTAAGGCTATATTGAGTACCTGAATGAGCATGCATTACTGTTATGAGGGGGAATTGTGCAGTGCGGGGTTGGATCAAGGAACCATATTTTGTGGCGCTCGGGTGCCACACCACATCTTGGTCTCCCAAAAATGCTCACTCACCTTGGGCACCGTGTATATTTTATTATGAGGTCCTTCGTGGATGATACAAACCTCAGAGTTAACCGTTTGAATGAATACGGGAAGGGGAGCAAGAAAATGAATTGATTCAAAGTGGCGGATCAAGGAGTGGGCCTACACTGTACTGAAGTCAACAATATATAATATGGACCCTTGGCAGACATGTCTCCTGAGCTTTCTCTACTTGGTCTCTACGCTCTCTTACTTCTGACCATCCTTCAGTCTGCAACGCCATCGACGGAACACAGACATACCTGCCTTGCGGGCTCTGAAGCACTCACTTCATGAACCATACGATATTATTTCTGTCCTACGTTTAAGACTACTTAGCCTGTTGACGACCACATCGCGCTAGTCTCTCGAGACACCCGTAAGTAACCTTCCTTCCTCGGTCTTCACTGAATATTTCACGCAGACTAGATGTCTGACTCTGTGCTAAAATTTTAGAGATCGACGATAAACATCGTTCCTGCTTGTCATGAACCGTCAGGAGACATGGTTTTGGGTGCTGGGAGTGTTTGCGCTTGGTGTGGCGGCGGCGGATGACTCTACTGAAAGGTATGTGTCCTCTCTGGGTGTTTGTCTGCAGAGATCCAGGGGATCGTCAATGGCCAGAGGACTGGGCAATATAATCAGAGATATGGTCTCTTCCAGTGGCATGGACAGGCATTTGCCTGGTCTGTTTGCTTCGTAACCGTTGAGCTCGTTCGGACTGTCTACCTTTCCGCGGGTCTGGACAGTGTTTCCAGGTCCTATGAGAACCGTACTGAAACATATACAGCAGTTTACTGACTCGATGTTTCCCGTCTCTAGTGCCTACGATGCGGACCCCATCCTCCGCTACCGCCCGCAATTCGCCCGCTCCCTTCCCATCCAAATCCTCGTCACCGGCATGGTCCTCACCCTCGTCTCCGTCCTTCTCATCCACCTCATCTTCACCGCAAACTATCACTGGCGGCTCGCCCAAGCCAACTGCGTCCTCCAGATCTCCGCCGCCACCATTCTCTTCACACAACTCGTCGCGAGCCTCAAGCTCGTGCTCGATAGTGCTATACAGGAGAGCAGGGAGTGGCCGTTCATGTTGACGTATGTGAGCGTGGATCTGCCCCCGTTGGAGGCGAGCGCGGAGGAGGATGGGTGGGAGACTTCGAATTTGGTGTTGTGGCTCTTGATGAACGCGACGACGTCGGCTTTGATCCAAGTACGTGTCGGTCGCAGTTTCATACAATGGCGCTAGCTCAGTGCGCACACAAAACCTGTTCCCAGATAACACACATCCAATTTTTAACCCTCCTATATCCTTCCCGTCTCGAAGCGAGACTCATCTTCATCCTTCTCGGTGAGCACACAAAGACCCACCCAAATTCGGATCGTCATTTCCCAGTCATTCTAACCCCTATCTTATTACATCACATCGTATCACATCACAGGCCCACTCGCCATCGTCGCCGCAATCATGCAGCTCATCCCCATCCAAGACAACTCGACCTCTCTCGTCATCGCCGACGCGATCCGCAACGTCTGCAACTTCACCCTCTCCCTCCTCTTCACCTTCTCCCTCCTCCTCTGGGGAGGCCTCGTGAACCGCAAACAAGCATGGCGCATGGACGGCGGTACCGCCGCCTTCGGCGCCGGAGCCGTCCTCCTCGCCCTCCTTTCCACCGCTCTGACCGCATTCTTCATCCCCTCGAAGAACCAGTACGAGTGGATGTTGCCACTTACGTGGGCGGTCATGCTGTGGCAGAGCTTTCTGGGGTGGTGGTGGTGGGTGGGGAGCGGGATGGGGGTGGGGGAGGTGGATGAGTGGATGGAGAGGGAGGAGAAGAGGAGGGTCAAGAGGAGGGAGAGGGAGAAAAGTAGGAGGGAGAAGAGGGAAAAGTATAAGGAGGTTTGGAAGGGCGTTCAGGAGAAGGTTATGGGTGGGGGAAAGACGAGACAGGTCGTGGTTGTGGAGGAAGAGGTTATTGATGGGGAAGGAGACGAGGACGGGACGCGTCAGTTGGCATCGCCGCCACTTTCGAGAACGACTTCGAATGAAAGGTCAGAGTCTGCGTCGACGACCACTATCAACACGGCCACGGGGAGTACACCGGCCTCGAATAGTAACGCGGCCAACACGAACACTAACTCCCCACTCTGGAGACGCGCGATGTCGGCGTCCTACACCCTGTTCCACAGAGGTTACCTCGGTCTTCGAACAGCACATATCTTAGCCGCACGCCGCCAGGCCGAAAAACAGGTCGTGATCATCAATGAAGTCTATGGCCGGGAGGGCGAGCATGAGGTGGCGAATCGGACGCCACGAGTGCATGGTTGGGGACTCGGTAGCTTTGGACTGAGGGAGAGGGAGGCACATGATAGGGATCGGGAACGGATTGAGAGACGGAGGGAGGGAGTGGCTCAGATAGAGGAGAGGGAGGAAGGGGTGAGTGGAGATGTTGAGAGTAGTGTGGATATGGAGGGGGTCACGGAGTCGAGGAGGCGGAGAAGGGACCATACGCAGACAGAGGATGATGATGGGGATGATGAGGACACGAGAGGAAAGAATAATAACGGTGGTGGTGCCCCAGCCGAGAGAGAAGAGAGGTGGTCGATGTGGTGGTGGGGTCCGCTTCGACGGTGGAGATTGCAGGATTCGACTGTGTATTGATTTGTATGAGTATATCGCGAGGGCCTTTGCTTCACTCTTGGTCCTGTTTTAGTCCTAGCGAGACTTCGGCGTGCTATCGTACTGTAAGGTTTATTTTGCTCGTGCGACCGAGGACTGTTCAATTAGAACGCAGATTGAGGTTTGTATACACGTATGACGGTTTGCATATGTTGATGATTTAGTCTATCTTTGCTCTATCACTTTGCACAGAGCCATCGCCCTTTGAGCTCGAGACCGGAAGGGTAGTTTCTAGGTCAAAGATCAAGTAGAACAGAAAGCGCAATGGAATCCAAGGCATGCCGAAAAGCACAGAAAACCCCCATCTGAATCGTGATGCACTCGACTTACCCCCTTTCAGGCACCTTGCTCAGACGCTCTGTCATTCTTCGCGTCCCTCTTCCCAGTCAGTTCGCTGGCACACAGGGCAGGCTATGCAGAAGAACGAGAATTGTGCACAATCTATTGCCACGAACCAAACACTACACGAAGCGAGAGACATTGACGGTTACAACCCCACGCTCGACGCAGGACACGAAAGCAGGAAGACAAAAAAATACACCGGTGTGAATCAAAAACCGAATAAAGAGGGACCAATAATAATGCGGAGGACCGTGCCAGCTTTTTAAGAGCCGGGGCTATAGAACGAAGGATGGGTTAGTATCCTGAACTCGAGCAGAAGCAGAGGGATGAGAGTAGATGGAAGGGGGCGTACACGGGGGGAACGGAAGTCTCCGGGCCAGGGATGGTGGGGAGCGTCGGGAAGGGCGTAGCTTGGCACTAATCACAAGCCCGACCGCCGTCAGCTATCAGTTGTTTATATACGAATGGAAGAAAAATGACATACAGCACCCTGGACATCGGCAGCGCTGAACCCAGCGGGGAGGGCGGCGCTCATAGCGTTAAGAGCCGGGGGAACAGGGACGACATCGGAGCAGTCGACGAGGGTGTCGGGTTGGCCGAGGAGCTCGAGCTTGTGCATGGCTGCCTTGAACTGGGTGGTCATGCGGGTCTGGTCGTTCACCATGGCTTGCCACAAGCAGGCGGTTCTGCTGTCTGTGTACCACAATTCATCACAAGGGGTAGTGTGAGTGAGTGAGTGCGTGCGGAAAGAGGTAAGGGCGGTGACGTACCGCGAGAGAGCTCGAAGTCGCTCTGCAGACGCATCTCACCAGGGATGGGAGAGAGCACCTCTCCGGACTGGGAGCCGTTACTGTGTGCGTGAGAGAGTGGAAGAATGCGGCGTTAAGTGATGCGATGCCAAATAAGGTGCTGCCACGAGCAGGTGTGACAGAAGCAAACGTACCCGGGGAACAGAGTGCCCTTCAATTGAGTCTCGACGAAGAACTGGGTGTCGCTGGAGGGTTTGGTCAGCGCCTAGTGAGATATTATTAGGATAGGATCAAGCAACTCACAAGGTGAAGGGGGTCGAGTCGAAGGGGGTTCCGGGGATGGTAACGTCAACAACATCCTGGAGAGGAGTGCGTTAGTGCGAGTGCGCTGGTATGCGACAACAAAGGCGTACGGCGGCAGCGACGGTGTGAGACGACAGGAGAGCAACGATCTCGTCGGGAGCGAAGCCAGCATCGGCGAACCTCGCAATGATGGCGTCGACGGAGTCTGCAGTATTTCTGTATTAGAAGGAAGAACATGGAATGTCAGAAATATCGGAACATACCGGTGGGCTCTGGTACCGTAAGGTCGGGAGCGGGGGCCACCGGTGGGGCACGACCGAAGAAGAAGTCGAGCTGGGGAGCACCAGGGCAGTTCGCGGTTCCGACAGCGGCAGCAAGGTGGACGAAGTCACCGGCGGTCAGGTTCGTGGTCTGGAAGACGGGGAATTGACCGGCGACGATATCATCGATACCAGAGTTGGCGTCTGCAGAGGTGATTCGTGTAAGGAGATAATCGATGGGGAGAACGCGTATAGCGACATACGGAATTGGAGTTCCGTGCTGTTGAAAGCCAAGATAGAACCGTCTGCACCTCCACCCCTGTAGGAAGTTGAGTATGGTAGGATTATGAAGGAAGTTAGTGCGATGCGACTGACTTTCCACCGTTGATCGAGAACCCGATAGCGTCGTGGAAAGAGAGACGGAGAGCGGAGTGAGCCTCTTCACCGCACTGAGCGCCGTCGAACAAGTTCTGCTGGAGGTTGGCCACAGCAGGGAAAAGTTCTATAGAAACCAATTCATTCAATTGCCGACTCAATGTGGATGTGATGATGAGGCAAGAGATGCTCACGACAGCAGACAGCGTTAGCCGTAACGTTGCCGTCCGCGCAAGTGACGCGCTTGTTGACGGCGACCGCGTTGGAAAGCTGGGTCGCAGCGAGCACAACAGAGACGAAGGCGGAGAGTTGAGTGAAAGACATTTTGAGCCGGGTAGAAGAGGTGTAATCCGCTGGAGAGGCTGGTAGGTCCTGCTGAATACAAAGCGATCCTGTAGGTGCTTATATACCTTTCAATCGTCTACATCTCGCCCACCGGAGGAGAGCTGGAAGATGCATAACGCTCGAAATTTTACGCAGAGTGGGAGCAGTTGTTGTCGAGCTTCACAGAGTTGCACCAATAGCGAGAGCGGTAAATGCTCGGGAGCACAATACCAGAAGTGGGGTAGCGAATACAGTTCTGTTGATGAACGACAAGCAAGGCATGAGAGAAAGCGGGTCGGAAAGCATTGGGAGTAAACAACCAATGGGAGGGAGATCATAGCTGACCACAACGCTGCCACGGTTCCGAAGAATGGGTATGACCCAGGCTACCTGGGACGGGTGGAAAGCCTTGCTGTATTTGGGCGTGAAAACGTGGGTAATACTGAGAAAATAGCTGGCAGCGGTAGTGACAGCGGAGCTCACCGCGCGAGGTGCAATCACGTCCATCGTGATAGCTAGACGATGAAATTTTGCAGTGCGGTCTGATTAATGCTCTCCGAGCTGTCGAGTTACAGCAAGTCATAGCCGAACGAGCACAACAGCTAGCACAAGCCCTGGTTCCACGCTGGCGTGAAATCTCACTCTCGGGTGTGAACGCAAGGCGACCTAGGATGAAGCTTGATAAGCATAGCAGCCTGCTTATAGCGTTTTATGTGCCAAGCTCTTCATTCAAGAATAGGCACATAACAAACGAGGTACCATCTTAAGTTATGCATCATATTCAACTATACTGCCAAAGCTTGAGTCTGAGATTAGGCGGTGTTATTATTTGAAAGTAGGACTCACCTTCAGCGAGCCCTTGTCATATTCCCAGATTTAGTTGGCCCTTGAATGGGAAAGGCCTGCAACAGCTTCAGGGGCCTCTTGGTTCTGAGGTGTTGGAGAATTTCACGAACGAGAGGCATCACGCATTAGAGGCTCCAGTGCGACTACGGAGTCCACGTCACGATGTATTGCTACTGAGCAGCAAACAGGTTATGGAGCTATCCATAAGGATCTCGGTTGACAGAGAAGAGGCATCGATCTATTGTCGAAGCGCGTGCCATCTCAAAAAGGAGAGACGGGAGAAAGACGTTGAACAAGTTAAAAAGTCCACAAAAAGACAAGGCAATCGTGAGACTGAAAGTCTGAAACATGGTCACTTTCAAACTCCGACATTCCCACAATCTCGTGCGCTGACGTTTGCATCGCCGAGGTCGTTCAACCCGTCGCCGACCGAGCTTTCGACAAAACTTATCGAGCAGCTGACAGATGTGCAGCATGCTTAGGTCTTTGCCCGCATTGCCTTCTATATAGTGCAAGGCTGCGATGTGTTCCGCCGTAAAACAGCATCAGACTTCCCCCCAACATGCCTTTTTCTAATATGGGTGTTCAAGGCTGGCACCCTGGAGAGCTAGCCATCCAGCGAAAGCTGAACTTTGACGGCCCAATGAGCATGGTCTGGAGGTCTATCGATCCTTTACTCCCAGAGCAGCACCGAGAATTTCACACCACTCGCCTACCCTTTGTGCCGCTCACCTCGCTTGACACAGAGGGACGACCGTGGGTCTCTATTCTTGCCGGCGGTGATGGTCGTCCGGGATTTATACAGAGCCCAGCCGAAAATATGATGACTATGCGAATTCGTACGTGGGAGGGCGACCCGTTCGAGGAAAATGCTACATCGTGGGTAGACGATCCACAAGATTCTTTCCTGGTGGCGGGCATAGGTGAGTGTGGCGTTTCCTCTCGGAAGCTATTGCGTTCCGGTACTCATGTCGATCTATCAACAGGAATCGAGTTCTCGACTCGTCGAAGAAACAAATTTGGAGGCAGGGCTGTCAGTCTTGAGCATCGCGGAGAGCATGATCACTTCGTGGCCCTCGAAGTCAATGAGGCGCTTGGGTATGTACTTTTCTCGTACATCTTGTATTCTTTGCGACCTCTAACAGCCGAATTATTAGGAACTGCCCAAAGTACATCAACGTGAGAGATCTTATTCCCCAGCCAGTCACACACCCTGTGGTGAAATATCGTCAGCTCCACATGGGAGAGCAGGAGCGACTGCCCGCCGACATCGCTGCTTTTATCACGGAAGCGGATACCATCTTCATCGGCACAAGCTATGCGGCCAAACCAGAGGACGCCCATAAATTTCCCTCTCACGTCGGCGCAAACCAGCGTGGCGGACGTCCTGGCTTTGTGCGCCTCCGTCCTTCCGATGGCAAAACCCTTGTTCTTCCTGACTATTCTGGTGCGTAAACTGTCCCGTTCTCGCCGCTCGTCTTCTACTGGCATTAATGTCTTGATTCGAACAGGCAATAGATTCATGACCTCCTTGGGCAACATCGAGTCCACTCCACTCGCGGCCATCACCACCGTCTCCTTCACCACGGGCTCTGTTCTATATCTTACCGGTCATGCGAAAACGATCGTCGGTTCCGATGCTCAGAAGCTTATGGCCCGTCAAAATGTCCTCACCACTATCTCCGTGACCGGATACACCTTCGTTACCGATGCCTTGCCCGTTCGACAACGCCCTGGCAGCGTTCCTGAACGTAGCCCCTACAGCCCTCCTATCAAGCTCCTGAACGAAGAGAAGAGTGCTTCATCTCTCGATCTCGACGAAGTCACGGTACGACTCAGGAGCATCGAGCTACTCAGCGATTCGCTGGCGACTTTCCAATGGGATATCACTTCATCGCAAGTAATCGACATCAAACCCGGTCAAGCCGCAATCCTCGATTTCAGCTCACTCGTCGGTATCTCAGCTTACCAGCACATGTCACCTTTCGCTCCTTCCTCCATCAATGACGATCGCATCCGCACCTGGACAGTGTCGAGCGCGCACGTTCAGCCTGGGGGTACAAAGACGTTTGCTTTGACGATGCGGCAGAAGCCAGGTGGCGTTGTCACAGGTGCCCTGTTCTCCATTGCGGCGAAACTGCGGGACGTGAGGCCGGAGCTGTTGGTTGACTCGAGAGTGTTATCCCTCGACGTCAAGCTTGTCGGAATTTCTGGAGACTTAGTCATGCCGCCAATGGAGTCAGGCAAGAGGATGAAGATGATGTGGATTGCAGGTGGCATCGGGGTTACGCCGTTCATGAGCATGCTGGCAGCCCTCAGGGACACCCGCTCCGACTTCGATGCAATCCTCGCATTGTCGACTCGAGAGCCGGATGTGCTGGTGCCGTTAATTTCGCGCCAGTTCAAGAAGGAGAATGCGCCGAATCAGAGACTACGAGTTGACGTCTTCACTGAAACTCCATCGAATGCAGATTGGGCTCTTCCTGACGGCGTGGAAATCGTCATGCACCATGGAAGGCCCTCGCTTTCTTATTGGAAGGGGATAGGTGACTTGATCAGCCGGAAAGCGTACTTGTGTGGCCCAAAATTATTCGAGGAAGGGTCCATAGATGCGCTAAGGTCATGTGGTGTCAACCCGGCCGATATCGTAAGAGAGGGTTTCGAGTACTGAGCAGGCTGGTCTACGCGTGGTGTTCCTAGATGTAACTGGCCATCGTTATTTTCAGTATGTCTTACATTCATGTATTCTATATCTTCAAAGTGCTCACTGTATCCGATATTCTAGATTAGCACTCACTTCGCGCCCCTCTGTTCTCCATTGTTTCGTATGTCTATTTTTGTCACATGCCCATGCAATGGCCAATACTCCTTTTGAGTAGTCTCCGAGTCGGAAGTAACCATCGCAAGACCGTCGTACCTTTCAAGCACACAAACGTTCAACGTCGCAACTCACCATATATACACCATTTGCTTTTCAGCTTATCCTGCACATGCTATATGTAATGTTTATCAGGTCAGCTGAGGCGCATATTGAACATCGATACCGACGGATCGGGTCAACACGGCTCTAACGTCTGGGCTATTTAATGCACATGTAACTCAGCTGAGCTTCTTCTTGAGCCACGTCCACGTCGTCATCCAAGTCGAACGCTCCTCCGCCTTCCCTTCTTGCTCGAGAAGGAAGCTGCCTCCATCGGTATGGCTCCTCGACTAGCTGCCACCGCGACATTGGCTTCGCTCGCACTGGGCTTGGCGTCGATCTATCATCTGGCTTTCGTGTCGAATGGTATTCATGAAAGTGTTCTAGAAGCGACGTTAGCTCAAAGCGCTGGCGACGTCGCTATCGGTCTTGGCGCAACATATCGCAGGCGAAACATATTGACTCGAGCGACGGAAGACTTGTCTGTATATGTCGACCCGTTGATTGTGGGTGCTTTTGAACTGCGGGCTTTCGTAAGCTCCTGCTAACGATCTTTTCTTCAACTTCGCTCTCGTAGGGGACTACTTCGCCTTCGGTTCCAGGAGTCAGTTCATATATATCTCACCGTGTTTCTATGTTTGTGACTCACCTTCTTCGAATAGACTATTTCGGGTTCAGGAAATGTGTTCCCCGGCGCCACTCTCCCGTTCGGGGGTAAGTTCAATCTACTCCGAATCACCGTCTAATTTTTACTAACAGAAGCAACAGTGGTGAAAGTGGGCATCGACACAGCTTTATCTGGTCTGACTGATAACGTTGAGTGAGTCAGCACCTCATATAATCGCAAATGATGTGATCTGACTTACTTACCTTCATTCGTAGCAATGCCAACGCGGGATACACACCTAACGGAAACATGACGGCCGTCAGCCTGACTCACGTCTCTGGGACTGGTGGGCCTCCTAAGTACGGAGTAGTTGCTCAGATGCCGCTCGTTGGATCCCTGGATGATGTCAACATCGCCGACAACAGGACATGTTCGTGCTCTGTTTTTCTCTCGTGATCGCCGAAAACTGATGAGGTGCTTGGCGAACAGACTTCCAGAACCGTTCTAGCGAGTATGCCTCCTTGGGTTACTTCAACACTACTTTATACTCGGGGGCGTCGGTCGAGATGACTGCAGCTAGACACTCCGCGATACTCAAGTATACGTTCCCAGCCAACGAAACCAAGCATGTTCTGGTCGACTTAGCGCACGTTGTATGTATTTCTCCGTTCCAGTTCTCTTCCAGTTGAAACTTACCTTGTGTTGGCACTAGATTCCTGGTTTCGATCAGCCGCAGGAGGCACAACGTTACAATGGCGGTGCTTTATGGCTTGATCCAAATGGAACGAGTTACTCTGGTTATGCACGCTATTCAGTGAGTGTGGCGCTACCTCGAACACGACGACTTACCCATACGCCACACAGAACGGTTGGAACGAGGCACCGCCTTGGACCATCTACTTCTGCGCCAACTGTAAGTCTCTTACCGTCGTGCCCCTACAGTAACTTCCTGACCGTCGCGCAGTCTCCAGTCCGGCAACGGAGTTTGGCACATTTGGCTACGTCTATGATTGTGAGTGCGGAGTTCTGAGCATCGATGATTTATCTTGGTCCAGCTGACTTTCAATCGGCGTCTCGATCAGACATCCAGGCTCCGTCGACGAAGCCGGTTGTCTACCCTTACTATGAAGTATGAAGTCTTCGGCCCATTCATTCGCCTTTCTCTGCTGATACATTTGGCCAGGTCTCGGCTTTCTATTACTACGGCCTCGGCGCTCTTTTCTCGTGGAATGCGTCTGACTCCTCTGAAATCATCGAAAGCCGCATCGGCATCAGCTGGATCGGAAGGGAAGAAGCGTGTGCATTTGTGAAGAGCGAGGTCGAGAACCAGACATTCGATGATGTACTGACCGCCGCGAAAACAGAATGGAATGTGCGTGATTCGCTGAACAAGAAAAGCTCAGATAAATTACTCACACCCATTTCTAACTTTGGGGGCATTATTCGTTTTAGGACGAAGTCCTGAGCGCGATTACGATTCCGGAGGAGAACACGACCAAAAACGAGACACTATTAACAATGTTGTACACGGCTTTATACGGAACGGCAGTGGTAGGCCTCGAGTTTTGTAGTGGCTGACTAGGCTCTCACCTTGGACTGCGCAGATGCCCACGGACAGGACCGGAGAAAATCCAGGCTGGACTTCAGATGAGCCGTACTACGATGACATCTATACCGCTGTGAGCTCGCCTTGTTCTTCTGACCATCACGTGTATGCTCAACGAAGTTGCATTAGTGGGATATCTATCATTGTGAGGGAATGTTATCGCCTGCTGTTTACCTCGATGCTCATATTTTTAACAGGCACGACTCCTCTATACCATCTCATCTACACGAGCCGTTATGTTGACATGATCCGTGCGCTCATCGACATATGGGTCAGTTTGTTCGACTACAGACGAAAGCGCATACTGACACAAGCTGATGTATCAGAGACACGATGGTTATATGCCTGATGGTCGATCTACCAACTACAACGGCAAGACACAGGGTGGGTCGAATGCAGACAACATACTAGGAGACGGTGAGTGCCTACGACCATCACACCCTTCTCAAGCTCCAAATATATCGACTCAAATCCGAAAATAGCGTATGCCAAGGGCCTTGGCAGCGTTTCCTCAATCAACTGGACAGACGGTTTCGAAGCCATGGTGAGAGCTCATTCTTTTCTCGATACGGGGCTCCCATAGTTAAATGGTGCTCGTGGGTGCGAATCGTTGATATATTTAGAGAACAAACGCGGAGAAGACTCCGTTCCGAGGATTGGATCCCGATGCGTTCGACGGAGGTACAAAGGAAGGCCGTATCGCGTTACCAGACTGGCACTCTCTAGGATATATTTCACCTACCTATTCTCGGAGCGTTTCTCGCACGGTAGAATACTCCCAGGTGCCGTATATTCTCTTCGCCTGCGATCGGTATTGTCTTCAATCGACCACACATGCTGACATTATCCTTACGTTTAGAACGACTTTGGGCTATACACGGTGGCGAAAGGTTTAGGCCTCGTCGATGAAACAGAGCTTTACTTGAATCGATCACAGAACTTCCGGAATCTTTGGAATCCGGATGCTGAGGCCGACTTGACCAAGATCGACTACGGTATCATCAAAGGTTTCCTTGCCCCGCGGAACACCGATGGCGCCTGGAACAGTAGCTACAACGTAACTAATTGTGCAGGGTGCAGCTGGGTGCGTTCTCAAGACCTCTACACATACAGACAAATCCTAGGCGCTGACAGGATTTGATCCGGCCCAGAATGACTTGACCTATGAAGTGAATCTCATTCGTTCAGTGTCTCTGTCTATATGACGAACTAAAACGTATTCTCCTCGACGTAGGGATTGATCTGGGAGTACAGCTTTGCTGCGCCCCACGATATTGCGGGTATCATCGAACTATCAGGTGGCGAAGAAGATTTTGTTACCCGTCTCGATGCCTCGTTCGTTCCTGGGTTCTCCGACAGCGCAGGAGGGACGGTTGGCGTATCCAACGGGGCCGGTACTACCATATTCAATCCGGTAAGTTGATCTACGTATTTTGCGGTGAGTGCATATACTCACGACTAGTGTAGGGCAACGAGGTTTCGTTCTTGACACCATACCTCTACAATTATGTGCCGGGATACCAGTATCGTACGGTTGAAGTCGTGCGCAACATTGTCGTGAGTTATAGGCTTCTGTTTACCACCACGGATGAAGCCTGACCTCGATATGGGCAGAACTCATTCTATGGCGTTCAAAGTGACAGCTACCCAGGGGTGAGTTGCCTTATCAGTTGACCACTATCAGGTATATGCTCACTTTCGTCTCATAGAACACCGATGCCGGAGCGATGCAGTCCTGGCTTCTTTGGGGTCTCCTCGGCCTTTTCCCTGTCAATGGCCAGCCGGTGTACCTCATCGGCTCTCCTTTCTTCGAAGCGATCGACGTCCGCGTTACGGCTGGCATGGTGGGAGCGAATGCGACCTCTGAGCCAAAGACTCTGAAGATCCGGGCCCCCGGCTTGAATGCAACACACTATTGTGAGTTCAGGCACATTTTGTCCTCATACATCCAAACTGAGCACGTTCAATAGACGTCCAGGGCGTCCGGCTGAATGGAGAGAATCTGACCAGAGCATTCTTATGGCATGACGAGATCATATCTGGTGCTACATTGGAATTCGACATCGGGTCGGAGGCGAGTAAGTGGAACTACGGACAACTTCCTCCATCTTATTCTTCCGGGAACTACACGATCTAGTACGGTGGTCGCTCAACTATAGACCCCCACTTAATTATGGATGATTTGCAAATGACATGTACGGTTTCTCATGCTCACTCAGAGAAGTTTCTCACGAGCACCATTGACAATCGAGCTATTTCTTACATACTTCTCCACTCTCGGAGGAAGGAAGGCCGGCAAGCTACCTAAGAGGGGCAAACCGGAAGATCTGATCTGTCTGAATGACGAAAAAAAATGCATGTTACACCGCAGTATCACCAAAACAGGTCGAACGTAACAGGTGAAAGCAGGATACATGCAACGAATCTGGGTGGACCTCAAGAATTTGGCCATGAGCACTCCGTAAACAGTATCTTGAAAGCGACGCTTCCCAGCTCCAAGAGTATCGACTCCGAGTCGTCGTTGATGGTGCGCTTGCACAGCTCCACCACTCGAAGTACTCGACGTAGGTCCACATACCGTAGCGCACGCGTGACAGTGCTGATCTTCAAAAGTGGTTTTCGACGTCTGGGCTCCGGGTGGTCGATGCTGTATACTGGACAGTTTTAGTGATTCTCCACCCAACGAGACGATATGTCCGCAGGCCCGGAAGAAGATGAGGATTATTTTCAAGCGCATTTAAGATGCATCTTGGGGCACAGTACCTCACCGAAGTCTTGTCATCTATGGCGAGCGTGTCGAGCGATCTAGTGAAGCGTTCCAAGACACGTTCGTAACAGTCGGAAGGCTTCAACGGGAACCAGTCTAGGAAGAAAAAATCCTGGGGTGCGGTCCAATGAAGCTCTCGAACACAGTTCAGCGAAATATTGTCCAGAAGCGTAAGGAGAGCAGTAGTAGTTGTCTTCCGATCGAGACGTTTACCACCGCGGGACGGGAAGGAGACCATAACCGAAAACACCGGCTTTTCCTTGTTTAATTCCTCATTCGTTGTGGTTCGGCTGTTTGACCAGGATCTAACGCAAAAGCTGATGTCGTGCAAGGCATAGTCTTGAGCGCAATAGATCTGTACTATCTTTGCGAGCGGCAGATTTTTTGTCGGAAGCATCAGTTCGGGAAGCACCAAGAACACGTTGGTATCCAGATCGTTGGCGATGTCGTCTGGGCGCAAGGAGATGTCGTAGTATACACTGGCCGCGCGAGGTAGGCAAACGTGTCTGGCGACAGCTGTGACGTCCCGTAAGTGACCGACCAAAGAAATTGCCGATAGTTGATGGAGAGTGACAACCCCTGCGGAAGGGATGGATCCGGGAACAAAATACGATAGATTGGGGATGTGAACGGGATATGGACCCATGACGAGGGTGAGTTCTTGGAGCTGCTCCATCTTCTCGAGGGCATAAAGTACGTCGGAAAGGGGCAGACGCTCCGGCCAGCTCGATACCAGCTCCGGGTTGTTTTCAGAGCTCACTGCGAGCGTTAACCTGGAGATGTTCCGGAGCACGGGCGCGGTCCACAGTCGTCTGTGGGAAAACGGTCCTCCGATGGTGACGGTACGCAGCTTTGGAGCGTAACCTCCCAGAATATCGCCTGAAATGGCATCCTGAGCCACAGAAAAGTCAAATTTGCCTTTGGCGTTTATTTCGAGCACCTTCAACGATAGCGCCGGTCGATGAAGGCTTTGGATCAGGGTCGAGAAAGCCTTCGCCGACCATGAATACGGCCTAAGCTCCAGGCTGAGGCGCTCAAGCTGTGTCCTGGGCCCCCGGTTCAGAGATTCAAGAAGGGCAATCGGGAGGCAATTCTTAGTCAGCAGAGAGCCGGGCAAGCTGTCGGACTGGACCCAGGACACTGGCGTGCCCTTTGACCAGCTGGTCATCTGGTCGGTCCACTGGCTACTGTTGAGCCATAGCGTTCTCCACAGTTTGGAATTGGCCACGGCAATACCGCGCCAACGACTGCAGGTGTGAGAGGCGGCGACGATGTTTCGCGTCGCGTCGCGTATCTGGTTCGGTGAAGTATTCGGGTCCAGAGGGCGCGCCTTGGATTGAGTGGTGCCCGTGATGCGGAGATGGTGGCCGGTGGTGACGACTGGGCGGAGGAAACATAGGATGTGAAGAATAAGCTCCGTGGGAAGACGGCAGGTTGGGGACAGCGTATTGCGACGGTGCACGAGATCGTGAAGATAATCCGTCGCGAGCTTCACTTCTTTCTTGCAGATTTTGCGACACATTTTGGGCGGTGTTCGAGTATCCGGAGATGCTTGATCGCTGTAGATGCGGAGTAGTGTGAGGGCTCAAGGAAGAGTACCATCAAGGCTGGGACGCTTACGCGGACCGTGACATGATATCTGGAGGCCGTTGTGCTGGCAGTTGAGCTAAGGCTAAGAACCAGAAGTGGGCCCGGACGATCTCGATTTCTTCGTTATACGCATCGATGGATTGAGGACGTCTTCCGCTTGGAGGGAACATTTGTGCTCGGCGATCGGCCCAAAACGCGTCCCTGAGAGGTCAACGATTAGTTATGGGAGACGGACGAGGTTCGGATTGAAAGCCCTAACCTCCAGTCCATTTCGGACGTGTCAGTACTTGTGTGCGGAATGCCAGTGGTGGAATCCATGACTATCTTGTTCGCTGAAAAGTTATCTTCTTGCCAGAGACATCGAGACGCGTAAAGTAAAGACAGAGTGAGAGAAGAGAAGAGCAAAGAGAGTCGGGCGTCGATTGTCGCGAAATCAACAACCGGCTGAGCTTGAATGACCTCGGGTATCTCCCTAGACAAGGATCCCCACCGTTTGGCCGTGTTGTTCACACGCTCCGGGCTCCTGTATAGCGCGGCTGGGTAAACCCGAGGTTTGAACTCTTAGCATACATGTCTAGATAGATATTGAACACTAGGCTGACGTCTCGAGCGTGTCATAGGTGTCATTTGTACAGTGTGTCCATTTTCCCAGCTACCTGCCAGACCAGTACTTAGATACAGCAGACACAGGTCTCATAAAGTCCTGAACCCCAAGCTTCCACAGCGGCAAGCACTAGAACACCACAGCACATATATATCCAAGCAAAGATGACGAGGTGACCTATGGGTGACAGGCCGAAGCTAAGTCCTGAAGTACAAGATCAGGAGGGACACGCTAGTAGATAGTCCAAAGTCTCGAGATTGCAACGCTAAAAGAATGAATTCCACGCTGAGAACGTGTCCCGCTAGGTATCAACCAGTTCTTCGAAGTACATATACACGCACAAATAAACGAGAACTTGAACGCACCACACACATAGATATTGACCTGTGCAGTACCTGCCGTGCCATGCAACTTGTGAGTAACCATCGTCTCGAACCCGTTGCGAATGACATCGCTGACCTTTCTTGAACTTCTACCTCGCATCGCGAGGTCATCTACCTCAGGCTCGAGCCCTACGCGTCAAACCTCCAGGTCCTATCCACCCAAATGTAAAGCAACCATGCGTGAGTGAGCTACTAGGAAGGGTAAGACAGTGAAAGCACCGTGCGCACCATACTCGCCCGTACCAGCGACCGAAAGTCCGAACTCAAGCCCGTGATAAATAACTCTCCACTGACCCAGATTTCAAGGATTGGGACTGCCGCGGCATCCAACCATAACATCTTCTATGTAGTCCTGAATATCTTTGGGTCAATGCATGACAGAATCAAATATCAATCACTAATCAACACCGCGACGAAGTGAGGAGCAAAAAGAATGGAAGGAAAGAGACTCACGGTAGCAGCTACAGCTCAATGGCATGAAAGCCACCATCTGAGTCGTGATCGTGACCTTCAGTAGCATGCGCGAGTGAGCTACTTACTACGACAGAGAAGCTGAAAGCAACGCGCGTACCATGTTACAGATGCTCCCATGGCGCTGAATAGAACTCCATTTACCGCTTGGGGAGAAGGCGATCAACAGGCTAGAGTATGAGGTTAGACATACGTTCGTCCCATCGGTCCCTGTGAGTAGTTCGAAGTCCGAGATCATCAGTCCCACAAATGACGTGGTATCGAACTGGAGAGAACGGCTGACTTTGGCGGGCATGAAGCTAAGTAGGTCGACCTTGGGTGAGAATCGGACGTACTACTGTTGATGTCATTACAGACCAGAGCGTACGCATGAACGTCTTCAACAGTCGGCTTGTATCTGTCGGTACCTCCGAGTCGGGTGTGCTAGAATACCACCGCACCTCAGCTGAAGGAAGGGCATTATGCGGCCCAAGTCCAAACCCAAGGATCAGGGAGTGCCGCGGCATCCCATCGTAGCATGTTCAATTTACTGGTGCCGGATATCTCGAGGCCCACTAGCTCTGCGCATTAAAAAAGTCAGATGTCAATCATCGATCAACACAAAGACAAGGAATGGAATGAAGAAACTTATGTGAGTAGCTGCAGCTTAATGGCATGTCATGATGGAAGCCGCCATCCGAGCCGTGTTCATGAGCGTTCCCGGTCCTAAAAGTCCATACCCAAGCCCGTGATAACTCTCCACAAGCTCCAAGGACTAAGGACGGCCGCGGCACCCTATCGCGATATCTTCTACTTAGCCCTGAATGTCTCGAGCCTGATGACCTCCAGACAAGACGGAATGAGATGTCGTTCGCCAATCGACACGAAGACAAAGAATATGGAAGGAAAAGACTCGCATACAATAGCAGTGCATCCAAATGCCAGTGGAAGTCTTTGAGTGCAAACTCGAAGACCGACATGCACATCCACATAAGCACCTGAAGGAGGGCAATATATCCATACCAGCGACCCAAAATCCACGCCCAAACTCGTGATGTGTAACTCACCACTGACACAGGCTCCAACTTGAGCAACTAGAGATGGCCGCGGCGTCCCATCGTATCATCTTCTGCTTACTAGTCCTGAAGATCTCTAGGTCCATGCATGACAGAATCAGATGTCAATCGCCACGAAGTGAGGAGCAAAAAGAATTGAAGGAAGAGACTCACATCACTGAGTAGCTGAAGCTCGATGGCATGCCATAATGGAAGCCTCCATCGTGATCACCTTCCCTAGCTCGAGCATTCTGCAACTTGCTTGTGATGAACGTGAACGGGCACTGGCACCGTGACAGCATATTTAAACATCGAGTCATCTCCCCCAAGTACGTTCAACCTTCCCACCTCACCCGGTGATCTCCAGAATTGAGTAATTTCTTACCCAACCCCACTTGCCCCATGAGTCAGTGTACACTGTGCGGGGAGCAGACTGCTGATTTGTAGTACAAATCGCCTCGACCAACGACCCCGTGCCACGCAAACGAAGGTCTTCTAGCCTTCTAGTCCGCTCGGCGTTTATCGAGCTCGTCAGGTCAGCTGTCCGATCCGAGGACGGGCTCTTCAATGAATCATGCCAAGCCTGGCGATCTATAATCACAGTTCACCGTTACTGTAGAAGGATCAAGGATCATCAGACTGACAAGGACACGGACACGGACATGGACATCGAAACTTACACTATTACAGTAAAGAAAAAAAAAGCGTGTCTTAGACTGACTCGACTTGTAGCTTACTCTGGAGGATGTGACGATCGCCCCTTTCGGCCGTCCAGACCACAGGTGACAGAAACTCCAGCACTCCAAAGCCCCACCGAAGTTCTGGTTCCCAAGCTTCCCAAGCACCTCTCCAATCCTCGAAGAATACTTAGGAACTTCAACCCACCCACTACTGTATCACAACCTCGAGGCAGAGTGCAGTGCGGGGTAATACAAATATCACCACCACGACCCGCCCAGAGAGAAAATTAAAGCGCGCCGGCGGCGGGACTACTTAGTCACCAACCAATCTGGCAGTTTCAGACGGGTCGATGCGGGATGGATTATGTTACTTATGACGCGCGGAGGGAAGGAATTCGAAGCGAAACATCCGGCGGTCGGAGGGACAAGACTCAAGAGCAACGCTTGGAATCGTAGAAAGAAAGAAAAATTTGAAAGCAATTTTCCTCTTGGTGAGACACAAGTGCTGAGTACAGTACTGAGTGCACGGAGCACTCCACAAACTCAGAACCAGAAGGAAAAAAAAAAAATTGCGGTGCTGACTTCAGACTGACTGGCCAAACCTATTGTGGCGTTCGAAGCGCACGTCGGCCGCATCGGTCAACGGTCGACCATCCGCGCAAAATGTTCATCGAGTCAGCTCAGCTCGAGCTCGAGAAAAAAAATATACACTTCGGGCAACTGCTCATCCGGTAACTTTACTACCCACGAACACGAAAGCACAGGTAAAAGGAGATGTGGCGTGATGGCAAACAGTTCTCTTCAAACTTTCGGGAGACTCTGCGAGGCGGTGTGGCGAATGGAGAAACACTCCAGAAACAGAAACGTGCGGGGGAAACGGAGGCCAAACGTTCCTGGTCCGAGGTCGGGGGAACGCGGGGGATATCGGGGTCGGGAGTCGGGGCAAGAGTCGGGGGTGGGTCGGTCGGGGAGTCGGGGGTGGCTGCGCCGGGGCGTCTGCGGTCGGTGGAGTTCGAGGTCTGTAAGTTTTTCGTCGTCGTCGTCGTCGTGCATGGACGGGACCATAGACCAGATAACAGACGGGGAAGGCACGCTCAGGCTGGGGGTTGGGGATGTGGGTGTCAGCGCTCAGGGGAACCGGGTGAGAGATAGCGCTCGGCGTCGCCCGAAAATGGGTGGATGCAAACAAGCCGCAGGCAGGGAGGCACTGAGGGAAGGATGACAGGGATGGAGGCAGATGGAGATTCTAATCTAGCAAAGGGAAGGCGGTTTATCCGTCGCGCGTCGCCGCTACATTTGGGATCCACACTCTCGACCGATTTGTTTGTTCTTTTTTTTTCGTCGTCACTCTGCGCTCGAGCCAAGGCCTGGTTTGTTTGTCTTCGACTTCGACTTCCTCGACTGCGACTATCCTTCGAACGAACGTTTCGCTGTGCCATCCTACCGACCCTTACCTCTACACAACCACCAACAGCCGCTGACCCGCCTCCGAGGATCGCGTACGAAAGGAACGTTACCGTAGGCGACGAAGAAGGCTAATCACCGAAGCTTTTCCGGAGGCCTTTATTTCAGACATAAATCGAAGAGACTCAGAGGAAAGGAGAGACGAGTTACTGGTGTTCCGGATCAGGATCAAAACCGAGCACACAACAATCACATCAGGCCATCTCTTTCTGAGACAGCCGCCGTCGAGATTCGAGCGCGGGCGATATCCCATCTCTTCCCCACCGCAATCATCACTTGACCCCGACTCGATTCCACAAGCACCAAGTTCGAACGAACGAGCCACAGCCGACACCGACACTTTCCTTTTCGCCCAAATTTGAGGTCATCTGAGCAGGCAGCTGGGCCTGGACGGTACACGCCTAAGTTTACTCCATTCGAGAGTGCGTAGCATCTTCGGATCTCTCTGTCTTCTTCCCCTGCACACAGCATACTTCGTTTCGTCCGCGTCAGTCAGAGCTGCTGGCATCGACACTTGATCCCTTCCATTCATTTCCCCATCTATCTTCCCCTCATAGCATCAACCAAACGTTGCTCCCCGTCTTGCTCGATCTTCCTCACCCTCATCTCCATTCGCTCCGCAAATACCCTTCCCACTCATATACTTATCACACCAAACTGACGCTCTGTTTCTGTTTCTGTTTGCTGCTCCCCTTTCCCCACAGACGGACCTCGAACGCCAACCCCGCATTCACAAACGTTAAACCCCTCGACCGACCAATTCACTTATTGACTCTCCACTTCATCCGAGCCATCCGAGCCATCCGAGCCAGGTTTCCCCATATCAGCAGACCAAGGCGTCCCCACCCAGCCACGCCAACACCGAATCACAAGCCACCCACGCACGCAGCCGGCCCGCTTCGCGCCGCACCGCAAGTCCGCGTTCGACGACAGCACGCTTGAATCGCACGCATCGTAGATTTACAGGTACGCCTCTGAGTTCCCTTTGTCGCCTTTGTTTTTCCTTTTTTGTCATCTGTTATTCGGAATGCATTGCTCATGCTTGGTCTGCTTTTGCCTTTCTCTCTATGTTTTTTCTGTTTTCGTTGGTTCGATGGTCTGGCTGTCGTTTTTTCACGTGTCATCTGCGTCTCGACGTCTTCTCTCCTGTCTCGGCATGCACTTGCGCTCTACCGCCCTTCGTCATACGTACCTCGCACATCGAACCCAACCCACGAACGTATTCGAACCTCTTCAATGTCATCGCTACGCACACACATCACGCCACGCCAACGCCACCCGCGACGTCCTTCCAAATGCGATTGTCCGCTCCTCGGGCTTATATGAATACGTAGACGCCCCTTCCACCACTCCGGCCACGCACGCACGGACACAGCAATCGACCCCTTACATCGCACATCAGGCAACACAGCACGTCAGGCAGCGCTCGACCCCAACCCCTCACGACCTGACCCCGCATTGACCTCCACCTCCACCTCCGCACCTTCATCCCCCGCGTTATAGTCGGGTTTTTCACTTCCCCATCCCCATCCCCACATTTCGTTGTTGACCTCGCCACTTCCCACCTCATTCAAGCCGTAGTCCCTGCTCAAGGCTTGCACTCCGGAGATCATCACACCTCACCGAACACAACTCATCACACATCCACCGAACACAACTCGAAGACAAGGAGACAGAGATGGACTCCTCGACTCAGACCCCCACACAACAACAACAACAGCAACAACAACAACAGGAGAAGACGATCCCCCGTCCGTATAAATGTCCGTACCCGCTGTGTGGAAGGGCGTTCAGTCGGTTGGAACATCAGGTGTGTACTTCGTTTTTATCGTTCCCTCTTTTTGCTCGTCCTTTGTTTGTTGTCCTTTTTGGTCGTTGGTTTGGTTTTGTGTTCTGCGTTTTCGTTCTTTGCTCTCCTTTTTCCTGGCATTTCGTTTTTGGGTGGTTGGTCGGTGCGTTCGTTTTCGTGCATGTTATCTCTCTCCCCTGCGTTGCCCTTCATCGCCCTCCGCCCCACCCTCGCCCTCGCCCTCGCCCTGCCCCCTCCATTATCTGCATCCTTGGAGGCGGTGGTCTTGGGAAGGGGGCGAGATAAGGCACTCTTTCTCTTATATCCTATACTGGATACTCGATGACGAGCGCGGACGCCGATGAGCTCGTCAGGTTCGTTAGGCTTTCCGCGTCCTTGTTATGTCGTCATCGGCCAAGGTGCGGATGCGGATGCAACTCAGAGCGATCATATCATGGGCGAGGCGTAGAATCCCTGGCCGTGTCAATGACTTCAAGCTTCGAGCTTCGAGATCTTAGACGTGAGGCGGAATGTGGAATGTGAGCGGATTGCCGATCGGGATCGTTCGAGCCCTTTGGGCTTGAGGTTCTTTTGCATGGCTGGTTGGCTGAGTGGCTGAGTGGCTGGCTTTCCGGATGGATGGGTGGGCGGTTGGGTAAAACCGTGCGTGGGTGAATACGTGCGTGCATGTGCGGACAGGATAGAGTTCGCGGCCGGGCTGGGCTGGACTTTGGATGGGTTGGTTGCACGGCTGCGTGGTCAGTGATGAAGCTGAGGCCATGGCCAGCTCGTCATACGTTATTCTGGGTTATGGGGGCGACGGTCTAGGAGAGTCTGGCCAGATCGCTCTATTCTGTTCTGTTCTGTTCTGGGAGGGATCTGGCCCATATCGTGGAAGGAAGTGGAAGAGAGCGGATTCTAACTTACCATAAGTTTGGCTTTGGCTTTCGCATTCGCTTTGACGTGGTTCGGACGGGGTTACGATGCTGCGAGAGTTCCCGGAAGCCTTGTCGTCATTTCTGGTCTTGTTCGGTGTTGTTACGTTTTCGCAACGAGAGAACCTTGTCGGGCTCTTCGTTTTGAGATGGGGGTTTGGGTTTTCGAGGAGAGACGCTCGAAGAGGCAGCGGAGATGATGGATGGGTGATGATTCTCTCGTCATGCCTCCCTCGTCAGCCCTTTTCATCATGCTTCCCTTGTCACCCGGTGGGCGTTGCTTCCGTCGTCACCCGGTGCGAGATGTCACCGAGTGACGAGGGAAGCAGGTGCGATGTCACCGGAGGTAGGGAACTGTATTGGATCGACGCGGTTGGCCGTTATGGGCACTGTGCTTCCTGAATCGGACATGGAATTTCTTTTTTCGAGTTGTTGGCTTTCTTTCTACGGTTGCGGAGCTTTTCTTGTTCGCCACATTCTGGACTCTTCCTCACTTCACATTTCTCAACGTCATCCATGAAATGATATGCTAGACTCGGTCAAAATGCTGACACATTTTTATTCCAGACACGCCACATACGCACTCACACCGGTGAAAAGCCGTTCGTGTGCACCTTCCCAGGCTGCGAAAAGCGCTTCTCCCGCTCCGACGAACTCACGCGCCATTCCCGCATCCACAATAACGACCACCAGGCCACACATGCGCGTGGTGCCGCTGCCCGAGCGAAGGGCAAGACCACCACCGCGGGCCACAACACCAACAACCACAACAACAACGGCAATTATCATCATCACCCGGATAGCGAGTGGGATGACGAGATGGCGGGGCCGAGCCATGCGTCGTTTGGAGGGGGGAGGATCGTGAAAAAGGCGAGGAGTAGAGCGAATAGTGATGATGAGGTACGTGTTTACGCAGACCAACAACCGTTTCCACCTGCCATGATCTTCCGCTGTTGCTCGGATGGCTGATTTATGGATTTCTTTCTTATGGGTTGTTCGATTTATTATCAATATGATGATGTGTGACGCCTAACTGAATGCAGGGCGACTCCTACGCCCGCCCCACATCCTTCGTCAATCCGCCGCCATCGCCTCCTCCTTCCCTAGGCGGATCAGCCCTCCCACACCCCCACCATCCACTCTCCCTCTCGCACGGCTCGCTCTCATCCCTCTCTTCCTCCCATCATCATCATCACCCACTCTCCGCCCCCGCCTTCGCCACCGGCGCCGCATTCAGCGCACTTTCGTCTATCGCGACGGATGAATTGTATGCGTTAGAGCGGGACGAAGCACTTAGGCGGGCGGAGTATGAGGCTAGACATCTCGAGGCGCTCAGGAGGGTCGAACAGCAGTCTGAGGTGATCAGATTGGGAAGTGGTGGCGGAGGGGATCGCGGGTTAGGAGGAATGAGCGCTGCGGGGCCGATGGGGATGGCGCTTGGTGGGCCCGGGGTTGGAGTTAGAGATAGGGACTGGGAAGCCAGAGAGCGAGACAGACACGCGGAGATGATGAGGTTGCACGGACGGATGTCGAAAAGCGCAGCTACGAGTCCCGTTTCGACGCCGTTCTTCCAGCCTGGCCCAGCGGCGTATACGAGCAAGAGGAATCATAGGCTCAGTATGGGCGAGGAGGGGTATTTTGCGGCTGCTGCGGCGGGTGGGGGTTGGGACCAGCAGGACCCGTATGGGGAGAGGGAGAGGGAGGAGGAAGATGAGGGTATTTATGTGAGGAGGGCGAGGAGGGCTAGTGGGTCTTGGGGAAATCCTGAGCCGCTTTCGATGCATCATTCACTCGCTGCGGCTGCTGCGTCGACCCTTGGGGGCGGCGCACACCCGCTCGATCCTCATCCGCCGGCACATATGCACGAGAGGGAGACCCATATCGCGCATCCCCGGGATCTGACGCATTCATCGAGGAGACATTCGCATGGACATATACATGCGTCGCATTCGAATACGAGGTCGCAGCCTTATCCGCCGCCGTCGTCTATCATCCCGAGACACGCTTCGTCGTCGACATTGGACGATCCGGCGTCGTTGGGTCTTCATCATCATCAAAGTCATGGTCATAATGGTATACATAGGGAGAACGACTCGCCGTCGCCGATTAGTACGGATGGTGATATGTCCGCACCGCATAATTCGCTTCATCCCACGACCTTCCGCGACTCGCATTCGCCGCATCATCCGTCCCATATTTCAGGTCATTCCACCGTTGGAGCGTATGGCGGTGGTGGAGGGCCAGGATCGACGTACTGGACGCCGAGTACGAGTCCGTTCCTTGGACCGTTGGGAGCGTTGAATATACATTCGACGCAGCCGAGCAGGGCGCCCAGTCCGATCGCGATGTTGCCGAGGAGTGTGAGCTCGATTAGTGTGCCTGCGCTGGGTAATGGGGGTGGGATGGGGGGTGGGGGGTTGGCGAGTCCGGTGGAAGAGGGGTATCCGGGTGGGGGGATGGGTGGTGGAACGGGAGGGATGGAGGCGGCGAGGAAGAGGAGGTCGATGGGCGATGAGTTGGATGCGTATGGGTGAGCTTTTCTTGGCCATTCGTCCATTTCACGAAATGTTCTGATTTTTATTTTGCTTTAGATCGTCATTCCAGCAACCGTTCTCGAACCAACGCTCGCTGAACGCCTTCTCTAACCCGCACTCGCACTCCGTCCAGACCCCACAACTCTCTTCTGGACCCTCGTCCAGCGGCTCCAGCCCAGGCTCATACCCGCACTCCATCATCTCTCAAGGCGGATACACGTCCGGACCCGGGGGAACACATCACCGCGGTGATGCCTCCCATCCGTTCTTCATCGGCGCTGGATCCGGTAGCGTCGACAGCTCGAGGGCTTCTTCGCCACCTCTGTGGACTCCCGCGAATCATCACCCTTCATCTACAGTTCATCACCTCGGTGGACCGGGGATGCACGGCGGAAGTGGAGGAGGAGGAGGCGGGAAAGGAACGATGGGTGCTCCGCCCGCACCACCGCCGCCTCCACCTCCCGGACCCCACTCCCAAGCGCACGCGCATCACCATCTCGCACATTCCGTAAGGTTGGCATTCGGGATGACGCCCATCCATCCCAATCCCAGTGCGCACCCCTCCTCATCCTCCCACCAGCACCCACAACACTCGCACTCGGCCGGCGCTTTACATCCGACGACGACGACGTCAGGCCCCGGCGTCCCACCCGCTCCCGTCCATTCTCATTCTCATCCACCACCCGGACCGCATCCACATGCGCAGTCGCCGGCCGGGAGAGCGTGGTCCTCTGGCGTGTCGACGCCCACGCGGGCCGCGTTCGGTGCTGGGTTGACGGCCAACGGTACTTCTAATAATGTTGGTGGAAGTCCTGGACACGCTGCGCAGGGTTCGAGTAGTTTGAGCATGCCGGTGAGTAGGGCTGGGTCGCCGCCGATCAAGTTGGCGCCGTTGAGGATATCGTCGCCTGCGCCTGTGGGCGCTCCGATGAGGCCGGGCGTTGAGAGGAGGGATAGTGGGAGTGGGAGTGGGGAGGGAGGACATGGGAGTGGGAGTGGGGGAGGGGGCGCGAGTCCCGTCGGTGAGCATCTCGTTTCGAAGGGTGTTGAGAATGCGGACGAGCCGATGGAGGATGTTAGGCAGGACGATGGGATGATGTTGATGGGTAATAACGGTGGTGGTGGTGGTGGCAATGGGAAGGTGGGCGAGTTGGCAGGGGTGGCGCCACTGACGGAGAGGGTGGCGTTGCCGGGTTTCAGTGAGATTGAGGCGGCGACAAGGGGTTCGGTGCCTGCGTGAACGGAACGAAGAAGTGAATGGCCCGTGTAAAAAAAATATGGTGGTGTTGCGATACTCGAGCTCGCCTTAATCTTTCCCCATCTTCCTCCTCCTTATCCAATTATCTCTCCGCTCTCTCCAGTGCAAGGTCCAAGTCCAATATTGAATATTCTATTTATGATACCATTCACGACAAATATAGACAACATCTTTCTCCTGCGTTTCTTTCTTCTTTCTCTTTCCTCTTTCTCGTGTCTCTGTTCTCTGCTTTGCTCTTTTCAGTAACGACATAGATTTTTCTCCATCCTCTCATCCCCCACTCTGTCTTCAATGTTCAATCAACATCCCATCTCACCACCTCACGTCCATTCTACATTCTTAGACTGTCCCAGTGTTTCAGTGTTTCAATGTGCCCTTGTTCTGCTGTCAACGTTTGTAGAAAGAAAGACTCGGTCCCCCTTTTTTTCCCGTTCGTGTCTTGCTTATGTGCCCAGGACACTTCCCCCCTTTTTTTTGACAGTTTTCTCCTTGTTCCTTGTTCATGCAACAGTGTCCGCGGCTTGTGCTTTTTTCGTTTCTCTGGCTGAGATTTTTACTACCTCACCTCTGCGTACAATCTAATGCTCCTCTCTCTCTGGCTTTGTTTGGACCGGTGTGCAGCCTCCTACATCCCACAGCCTCAGCCTAGACACTTACACGCCCGCCGTTGGGAGCTTCGGAACGCTTCATACACTGTACATAGAGTTCTGGAGCTCTATGCCGACATACTTTGCCCTGGTTCATACTTTCACTGTGTCTTAGTTTCGTTTCCTTTCGGGTTGATTTTTTTTTGTTCTTTGCTTGCTTGCTTGTTTGCATGCGTATAAACATATACACACGTCCATGTTTTTGTATATGGTGCTTTTGGCGAATTTTTAGCCACTCAGTGAAGTGGAAACCTGGTTCGAGCTGTACGATCGTGGATAAACGGTGCTAAGGCCTGTGTGGCCCAGTAAACGCCACACTCGTGGTCGGAGATAACCGATGGTATTCAAGCTCAGCCGGTTGGTTGATCGGTGTTACTGACGCGCATGGACCTTTGCAAGACCTTTGTACTTCTCTCCTTTGACTCTCAGCACCCCAGGAAGGCCTGCCTGCTCTCTGCCATATTGAAGGAATATATCCCCCGGCGCTTGTCGGACTCTAGGTATCTTCGTCAGGACTACCTACAAAGAGAGTAGCCCCAGCACTCAGGTCAGCCAGTGTTTAACGCCACCGTGACACGACACGCTTCAATGTCTTTAGAGCCTATCCCCAGCTTCAAGACCAGGTCAGCCCTTTCTACCTATTTCATATCCATGCTCTGGCGACTTACCTTGTATTTTATCCATAGAGAAGCATTTTGGAATGCTCGGACGCCAGAAATGTTACTGGAGGCAGGGAGCGACTCTCGACGTGTGCTCGAAGCTTGCGATGAAGAAATCGCTCTCGTGAAGGACTTTGTCTTGGGCCATTTTCGAAAGCATGAACTCAGGTACCCACTCCTGCGTTGATGGTATTCTTCCTTGAGTTTTGACACTTTCTTGCAGTTATCCCAGGGAAATGTATTGGAAACCGCTCGGTCTCTCTATGGTCCCGAAACAGTTCTACGGTCCTGAGACCGCCATCGCAGAGATCTTCATTCGAGACCTCTGTGAATATCGCAACGCGTCTCTTCCGGTCTCGTCTATTCCCTCTGAGCTCTTGTCTTGCATTTTCGGACATCTTCTTCCTGTCATCGGTCCGCGCCACTATCGTTCCACAGACGATGACATGTCAGAGCGCCACGACAAAACTAGGAATCAGATCGCCGACGCCACGCGAGATCTCATCTCTGCGACCCACGTCTGCCGTCGATGGCGTAACGTAGCATTGGCGAACCCAACTCTCTGGACGTTCTTGTGGCTGGATAATCGCTCATGGCTAAAGAGAATGGTTGAGCGCTCCAAGAATGCCCCTCTTATCATCATGCAGACACTGGATAGGTATCTCTCGCATGATTATATCCGCGATCTTTTACCATGCTTGTTCCGTAGACTGCAACCTCGCCGCCTCAGTTTACAGCTAGATCTGGGATTTCGCGCTCTCGACAACCTCATTTCGATTCCTACTATGCTGCTCCGACCAGCTCCGTCGCTAGAGATCCTAGAGATCGACGCTATGCATGGCGGTGTGCTCTCTGGAGATACTTGTTGCGCTTTCCGGAGCATTTTCTTGGGGGCCATGCACCGTCGTTACGGGAGTTATCAATCACAAATATATTCCTTCATACAAAGCTATGGGGCCTGCCCATCCTTGATAACCTGACCAGGCTGAGTCTGACCCTGACCCTCGATCAACTCCCGAACGATGACCTACGAAAGCCTGTCCCCTTTCTTAGTGTCCTCCATGCTCTCAAGAAGATGGATCAATTAAGGATCCTCGCCCTGACTATGTGGCCATCTCCTTGGCATGCACCCGAACCGTCCTTTTTTCTTTCAAACACTGAACATCATTTGGTGGATGTCGTCACTCTTCCCCATCTTTCATATCTTACTTTAGAAGGCCATCTCAAGGACGTTACGGCTTTGACGCGTCATCTCTGTCTTCCTCCAACAGCTTCTATTGCCTATGTTATTGGCTTGCACGGCGACACCCTCGACGATACCTTACTCTCTAGGCTTTCTGCTCTTATCCTTCCTACGACCGATGGCCCTCCCGTTGAGACGGTTGACATAGCCTTCGCTCGCAATACCGAACCCACCCCAGTGCACGAGATGAGCTTCACCATGCAGCTTTGGCACAATCAAGACGATGGGACCGTAACCATGGACGAATCGGGAAGAAGCAAACCTTCTTTCTCTGCCACCTTCATCATTACAGCACCACGACAACGCCCGGAAGACGCACCTGCTCCTTCTGTTGTCGAAAGTGTAACGGACGATCTTGTCTACGTGCTCGACACGGTTCTATCCCTTCTTCCTCTAGATTCAGTTGAAGAGCTTCGTTGCACTGCGATACCCAACATGTCTCAAGAAGCTGGAGCTGTTCTTTCGCTCAATATGTGCGCTTGTGCAACCATCTTGCCACACTTCTCGACATCAGTGGTGACTCTCGTCCTAGAAAATGGTGTTCATGGTTTCAATGGTCTTTTCGACGCCCTTGCATCGGACCGGACTCTTCTCCGACGTTTGATTACGATTCAGCTCGTCGAGTGGGAGTTCGCCGTTCTGCTTCATTCCTACACAGATCGCCAGAGGCATGCTTGGGGAGTGTTGAGCCTGTTCCAGGCCAACAAGCTGGCGGACGTACTCCGCGATGTGGCTTCGGATAGGGGTGTGAAACTCTTGGAGCTTTGCAAGTGCAATATTACCGAGTTCATTGGAGAAGAGTTCGAAGGTATCGCGGACAAGCTGGTTCTTACCGAATGTTTTGCGAACTTCGATTGATTATATATGCTTATCCTTCTCTCTATAGCCTCATTCAAATCCTTTGTTCGATTTGTGCAGGTACATTCTCTTAGATCGCTTTATACTATCTCAATATGTTACCTGATCCAACCCAAGTTAGCTGTATGATAATGGTAAGTGATATGCCTACATAGCTTTGCGTGTATGTACGTCATCCTCAAGCTAGTTTATTGAATCAGTTTCTCGAGGGTTGAGAATAGCCAGAATAGCTCACAGCGTCGTGCAAAGTAGGATATTTCGTTCGATGCCGGCTACTGATACCACTAGCTGAATCAGCATTTTACCAGCATTGGAACTTCTGTCAATTTCTCTGGCCTCGAAATGCTACGGATTCTAGGACTCGATTGAGCGATGATTGCTTCTAGGTGGCCCAAGAGAGGATCGGGAAGTATAGACACCAAGGGCACGCCTTCGTCTAGAATGTGTATTATAACTCGTAGGGACCTTAGGTGGAGAGCTTGCGACGCGAGGTGAAATGACTGGACATCGAGGAAAAATAGCTGGACGCTTGACCGGAGCTCACGATGCACCGTCTTCTTCAGGGTCAGTCTCACCCCAAGATTCACTCAAAGCTTTAACTGACGTGCCACGAGACTCCCACACAGATAGAAGGCAGGGTACGCATACCTATCTTCAACGTTTCAACACCCGGATCCAGCGCTCGAAGTTTCAAAGGAGTGGCTGTCGTTTTACCAATGTCAATGTTCACGAATCCCCAACTATAAATTACATGGCAACAAATGAACGCACATCACCTTACGGAAAAGTTGGCCACGGTACTAGTGTACGACGCGACTGCACGTCGAACGCGTGAAGGATTATGTCCTTCCTGCACAGGGTACAACCGCTTTTATGCTCCATTGGGTGTCTCTTCGGAGTTCACTATTTCCGGTCAAACGTCCAAATTCAAACTCCACCGGTGAATGTTGTGTCCGTCAGCTGCTAACCTTGCTTGATGGGATGATCCCAGCAGCGCTACAAAACTGGTGAACGCTGTCGCCGCAAGCTGTCAACCTTATCTGATGTTACCTTGCTTGAAAGGTCCTTCCAACCCCCGTAATTGCTCAGAATCGTCCCGGAAATAAACATGGTCAAACATCGGACTTATTTTGTGGCGGCAGTTAGTTTGTGGCGCGCGTTCGTCTCTTCTCTCATTGCTCTCAAAACCTTGCTTTCTTCCTTACTGCAGGCCTTCTGCTTGGCCCTAGGATAAGCAAAGCATTTCATCCGCTGAGAATGGGCCCGGACGGTGCTGATGCATGGTGTGTTGTGTACTATGTGCAGATCGAGCCCGCACTGATATAGCGTCCATAGCACCTTGATCCTGGCTGTTGTCTCTTCACCCTTCACTTTTGATCTTGGAATATCTGGTACCCATTTCAGAGTATTTCAGTTTGTGCTATCGCGAGCTACTGAAGACGTGATTGTGAGCGAACACTTTGGGTCGAAAGCGGCCATTCCGAGCAACGCTTTGCCAACGGAGTACGAGATCTGCCGGGATGCGCACGAAAACTAACCTGGTAAGCATCTACTTTGCCCTGAGAGATGGTACTTATCTACTCAAGGATGTTCTGACCCTGCCCGTTGTAACTTACCAGATGACAGACATCATAGCATCTAACGACAACCACCGGAGCTGCGCCCGCGGACTCATTTATGCTGTCTCAGTCTAGTGCGGGCTCCCTTCGATATTAAGTATTGTCTGACACAGTATCAACAACGCCATCCAGCAACGCGACGGCGGAATGAAGGTAGCGGCTGTAATTGTTGTTGGTTGCTAATTAGAATGTCTCCCGCGCGAGGGCAGCGGCACAGCGGAATGGCCGGGTGCTTGTGAGAGTACTTAGCTATTCGAAGATCTAAACTCGAGAATGCTCTTCAACGGGATGAAATACGATATATTTTGAAGAGCATTCGAACGAAGACAACGCAAACGGCGGGAGCCTAACATCATTTGACAAGCAAGGTGGCTGTTGCCGAAGGCAGCGCTCCCCGAGTAATTCCATCTGCGCTAATAAATGGACACAACAAGTGTAACCAGGTGGCCTGCGTCAAGAGTGTGTATTGCCGGGTGTGAAGAACCTAGCAAGCAAGGTAATCAGTCGAACTATGAGGGATGAGTTCATAAGGCGCCGTGTCAGAGTGGGAGAGCTCGGTATCAGTACCTTAGACGGCGCCTCGCGGAGTTATCTAATGGATCTTCGCGGGCATACTGGTGAGTCAGGACTAAGTTGAACCTTTCGTTTGCACGATCTGAATTTTTTTCTTACTTCAAAGTCAAATCCACCTCGCAAGATACCAGGAAGAACACCACGAGGCCATATTTTGGAGCGATATAAATTCAAGCATCCTTCATTCGGAAACCGACTTCTGGCGGAGGCTCCAAAGGTGAGCCGCTACAAATATGTCTTACTGCTTGGGTGTACTGTCTAACTAGTACTTACTATGTTTTTTTCTTCTTTCTATTGCTCGGCAAGACGCGAGTTGGCAACTTAAGAGTCGTCAACTTGGCCGGCGCTCGTATGTTACAGGTCCCTCTCCAGCGGCCAGTTTCTCTAATGCATCGTGTGAACGAACCTCTACCGAATTGTACTATCGCCACTGCGTTTCCTCCGATTTTGATAGTGCAGATACCATGTAAGCAGTACCCCCGCTGGTAAGTATCTGCTGTCTAACTTGAAACCCGCCGGTGTTTTCAACTCAGCTTCGCAATCGAAGCACCAAGTTGACATCCACTTCAGTTTGTATATATGCAGATCATTGGTTACCAATTGCAACTTTCTAGCAGCCGCCAAGGCACAGTTCCGACTGGGACTGAGTGCTACACGCAGCATGATCCTACTAAGCCGAAATATCTTAGCAGTTTCAGGCCACAGGTCTAACGAATGCTGAAGCCTGAGCGCCAAAAAGGGGATTGTATATATACTATGGTCTTCTCGCCGACAAGTTGACTGCAGTTGGCCTCCCTTCGAAGATGGAACTCTCTTCACTGCGACCATTTCCCGCATCCTTCGTTCTGCCCAATCTTGCCAATATCACCCGTCAAGCATTTAACCTGAAGTTAAATCCCCACTCCCAAAGTGCAAACAGTGCCATGAAGTCGTGGTTCAAAAGGTCTGCACGGTGAATTTTTTGATTATGACACAATTTGACACCACCTACTTCACAGTTTCCACGTCTATGATGAGCAGAAATCAAGGGAATTCCTCGAAGCGGGAAAATTTGATCTTTATGCCGCCCTCAGCTTTCCTGATGCTGATCTACAACATCTTGAAACTTGTCTTGCATTCTTCTTTTGGGCATTTTCGGTGAGTGTCTGTGACCATCTGGAAGGCTGGTCTCGTCGATAACCGCTGCTTCTATAGACCGATGATCTTTCCGACGAAGGCGATCTACAGTCTAAGCCGGAGGAAGTCCAAGTCGGTGTCGATATCTCAACCAGCGCTCTGTCTAGTCATGCACCCACATCCTTGGACTTTCCTTACGCGGCTATGCTCCAGAGGTTCGTGCTTTACGTTGTCTATGTCATATGTACCACGTAAGATCGGTATATCACTTCAGCCTGTTTAATCGTATCAAGACGACTGCGACCAAAGGTGCTTCCGAAAGGTGCATACTAATCTTATTGTCAATAAACTACGCTCACTCGACCACTAGGTTCATACAAGCATTCAAGGACTGGAGTTCATCGCAAGTTATGCAATCGCGAAATCGCTCCAAATTACTTTTGCCGTCTGTCGAAGACTTTATTCTGATGCGACGGAATACTATTGGTGCTGCCTTAGTAGAAGGTTCGCAGTCGTTCGCTTCATCCTTTAGTATCAATTCTGAGATCCAGATTCTAGCCATGATCGAATATTCATTGGACTTGGATCTTCCCGACTATGTATTTCGGGATCCGGTCGTAATTGCCATGTCTGAAGCAACAACAGACATCATGACTTGGCCTAACGTACGTGTCCTGCAACCATCTCGAAGGATTACCATCTCACTGTACCGGCCGTGATTAGGATTTGTGCTCGTTCAATGTTCGTTTTTCTGTGTTTATTACCCCCGCGTGGTGTACTCATCGTCAAATAGAAGGAGCAAGCGGACGGAGACTACCAAAATCTCGTTTGTTGCCTGATGGCTCAATACGACCTTGGACTCCAAGACGCTGTGGATCGTCTGGTCGGTATGATCTCGACGCGTGTGCGTGATTATATCACACTGAAGGAGCAGCTACCATTGTTTGGCGCCGAAGTGGATACAATGCTCAGAAAGTACCATGCTGCTTTGGAGCATTACGTCCAGGGAACGATCGTCTGGTATTATTCAAGCCCTAGTATGTCGCCCTTACCAGTAAACAGCCCATTGTGCGACGACTCATTACTTTGGAAAGGATACTTTCATGGCGAGCAAATTATCGAGAAAGAAAGCACGAGGATCATTTTGTTCTCGAAAGCCTCCAGCAAGGATTGCTCCTGAGAATCATAGAGAGCATTGCAAGATCAACAACAAGAAACACCATAGTCAATCATCTGCCTCCTGTCGAAGTTCTATACCTAGGTTCTATATTCCGTGCTAGCACATATTGAGTCTTCTTCCGATATTCAACACCGTTGACACACCTACCGATCTTCATATATGTGATACTCAGATGTTTTCCCATCATTATACATCAGCACTAGAGTGTCCTTGTGCCACTCGAGGAGCTGTAGAGCAGCAGCCGTTTGATGAAGAGACTGTAATCAGCCAAGAGTCACCAATCATGAAGGACAACACAAAACTTCTTCTATGTAATTCCTCTCATGCGGAAAACCCAGAATAATACACTTCATGAGAGAATGAGGACGCAAATGCAGGAGCAGAACCACCACAACGGGAGCTACTCCAGCATAGCCGATCTTGTTGATTGGATCGCTACCATTGCATTGTAACCGCGGAATGACCCACCCGGGCAAGAACAAGTTGTTCTCAAAGTAGTATATTTCAAACACATGGTTCTCAGTCGAGGGAAAATGGACGTACCACGCCAAGCCAAAGAAAATCACTGTAGAGGCTCTGTTCGTGGGATAGCCAAAAGATAATTCAGACGACTCACAATATGGTTAAATCAAAGGCAGCGTGAATAATACAATATCAAGGAGTCACCCATCATGAGTGTTCCACGCTGCCTGCATGAAATTTGTCTCACTACAATGATCGATAGCAAGAGATGTCAATGATCCTTTCTCCTCTGCCCCCAAAAAAGAGCGGACATACCAGACGGCGATCTGCTATGATCAGAGGGATTCCGCCAGCCTTGAGGAAATTTCATTTTTTTCATGCATCCCGATTTGACCACTCAGTTGCACTTGGAAGTTGGAGCGCCCGATAAACCAAATAAATTGTTTCAAAAACAAGAAATGACCCAGCAAATTTATCCAACCATGTACAGATGATATAATCATGAACCCAGACATAATAGAGCGTAGCGTACGCTCCTAGCTCTTCGGATTTAAGAGCCGGGACTGAAAACCAAAAATCATCAGCACATAACGGCAGAATTGTATGGGATAGGTGCTTACACGGGGGGTACGGAGGTCTCGGGACCCGGGATGGTCTCAAGGGTGGGGAAGGGAGTCGCCTGGCACTATTTGGGAAGGATAGGTGAGTACGAATAAGAGCATTCGGATGAAACTATGAGGCGTACAGCCTGCTGAATATCCCTGCGGGAGAACGTGGCGGGGAACATGGCCTGGCCTCTGAAGGGAGGGGGAACGGGGACGACCTATGTATGGAGCGAGATGTGGGTAATAGTTAGAAGCCGGCCCGGTCCAAGACTTAAAGCAACAGGATGAACGTACATCAGAGCAGTCTACAAGGTTTCTCTGGCCGAGGACTTCGAGCTTGGCCATGGCGGCCTTGAATTGCGTCTGCATGCGAGTCTGGTCGTTGATCATGGCCTGCCAAAGACAGGCGGTCCTTGGGTCTGAGGTCATCATTAATATTGTCAACATGGCGGTACAATTGGAGTAAGGACATACCACGGGCGAGTTCGAAGTCACTCTGAAGACGCATCTCTCCGGGAATGGGGGACAATACTTCACCGGACTGGGAGCCGTTTCTGGATGGCATAAAATATGAGCACAAAATCAAAGTTATAGGCGAGAGATGAAGGCTTACCCTGGGAACAGCGTACCAACCAACAAGGTCTCAACGAAGATCTGTGTGTCGAAGGTGAAGGGTGTCCTAGAGGTAGTGTTCTGGTCAGTAACATGCAATACATCAGCATGCGCCACCAGTACTCACGAGTCGAAGGGAGTTCCAGGGATTGTCACATCAACGACATCGGCAGCAGCAACAGTGTGAGACGACAGAAGAGCGACAATCTCGTCTGGGGCGAAGCCAGCATCTGCGAACCTCTCAATGATAGCGTCGACGGAGTCTAGAAAATCATACTGTAAGAATAAAATACAGAAACAACGAGACTACAGAAACATACCGGTGGGTTCGGGGACAGTGAGATCGGGAGCGGGTGCCTTGGGGGGAGGGCGCCCGAAGAAGAATTCGAGCTGAGGAGCACCAGGGCAGTTCGCAGTACCGACCGCGGCAGCGAGGTGGACGAAGTCACCTGGGGAGAGGTTGGTTGTCTGGAACACCGGGAACTGGCCGGCGACGATGTCGTCAATACCACCGTTGGCGTCTGTAAAGACCGTTACGTGAGCTCAAACTGAAGAAAGATGTGCGATATTCGATAACCTACGGAATTGCAGCTCGGTGTCGTTGAAAGCTAAGATGGAACCATCAGCACCTCCACCCTTGCCGCCGTGGATCGAGAACCCGATGGCATCGTGGAAGGAGAGGCGGAGAGCAGAGTGCGCCTGCCAACGAGAACGATAGTCAGCATGAAGATTTCTCGATAAGCCCAGGGAATATGGCATTACCTCTTCACCACATTGAGCACCGTCGAACAAGTTCTCTTGTAGGTTTGCAACGACGGGGAACAACTCTGTTGCGACAACATCAGAATAGTTGGTGGGGATAGAATGAAGCCGACTCACGACAACAGACAGCGTTGGATGTGACGTTTCCGTCAGCACACCTAATCTTCCTGGGTGGAGCAGCCGCGACGAACTGGGCGGCGCCGAAGACAAGAGCGATGAGAGTTGAGAGTTGAGCGAAAGCCATTGAAGTACCGAGTGGAGACTGGAGTGTCTTATCGAACTTCAGCTCGCAGCGGGCTAGTCTTTATAGCTCTCGAGCAATAGAAAGTACTCCAATAGCGCGCTGAGCATTGAACAATAATGATCTTGGCGTCCAGTTATGTGCTAAAACCCGAGACTTCTCACAAAGAATCCTATGATATTGCCATAGCGTGGATGAAAATGGGACGTCAATCCAGCCAAGAGCGAATCGTAGAAGAAGACTTCGCACTACCCAACCGTTGGGACCCAGGGTGGAAGGGTAGAGGAAGAGGTAAACCCGTTCCATCACCGATGTGTGGAACTCTAGTGGCGTTGTTGATAGATGAAGACAAAGTTCGTGAGAGGTCGGATGCGGCGAATGACGGGAGCGCAAAACAGCACGAGAACGAGGACCCCGCTGTGTGGCGCAGAGCGATGCTCTAGGGAGTGCACTTGCAAATATGGCTGACTTGTGGAGGAAATGGAACGCATTACTCACGCATCCGCATTGAAAGGCTGGTGGCCATGAGACTGTCGATGTTGGAAAAACTCTATATCGGGGACAGAACGAAGGTCAACCAATGAGAGACCCGCGCACAGGCTGAACGGCTGGAGCATCGATCGGAAAATTGACAATTCCAACAGGTTTGTGTTCCATTTACTGTACCCGTGGAGATTGCGAGAGCAATGGTCTGGTCTCCCTCTCTCGGATTATTGGGCAGTGAGGATACCATCAACCTACCGTGAATTTCGGGGCGAGTGTGAGAGAGAAAAGACTACATGGTAGAGGAAAACAGAACGCAGGCTCCATCTAGTCGTTCCCTGTCGTCGGGTCATCTGTACTGAAAATAGGTGAGTAAATTTCAACATCAAATCGCGACCTCGCAAATGGTCCAGATACGTCTCGTGGGTATTGACTCCGGTCAGCTTGGACTCGAACAACCCAGCCATTACAGATGCACGTCTTCAACGAGAGCTTTTGGTGTCCATGCAAGGCAGATACAGCAATCTGAAGAAAGCGGTGAAGCTTGTGGTTCGTGAGAGCATATATTGCCCGTGATTCAGGTTGCCGGTTTACTCACTGTAACCTCCACGACCTGTTCTGTTTCGGCTGCTGTTAGCACCTGGTATGATATGGGAAGTAATATGGTTACAATTCTGTGCGCCCATATGTTCCCGGTTGCACTGGTAGCAGTTGTGAGTGACGACTCGCCCGGGATCGACTTATATTAGTAAATCCAAAATCAAGCATTGGTGCGTTATCGCCAAGAAACAACGCCAAGAGTACACATTCAAAATATATCGAGCACCGTTACCTCCAAGGCAACTTTCTTCGACCCAATCAGTAGAAATAAGGGAAAATTATGGCGGAGGAGGCAGCGAGTGGTGGTGGTTGCGGTCCAAAAGGAAGCAGGCCCGGTTTCTGCCGAGATTTCGTTGACGTGGGTTACGTCATTGAATATTGAATGGTTCAAACCGAACTTTTATCCGCCACTTGCCCAAAGGCCAACGTCCAACATCGATATCCATAGTTCAACCTCCTGCTAATCCACACTACTTAGTAGCAATACAATCAAGGTAAGGCATAACCACTGATGAAGCTCCAGTGACAGGCTACATAATCGTTGCACAATCGCGCGCTACTACACGTTCGACAAGTTCAAGCTGAAACTAACTCTTGAATTGCTACACTTCAGATCTACCAACGCTACATTCTTATTGTGAAGCGTACCTGCAGCATTTGACTTTATTCTGTGGCCGTATCTTGTGTCGATATATGTGTGAGTGGTACAGCTACCTGTAAGGTTAACCCTACGACCGAAGCATCATTCTAGGCTAGACAATGCTCAAGCTGTTATGTCTTCCACACGTCGCATTCGTCCTGTTGATTTCGCGCATCCGGGCACTTTCAATCGAGCCAGACGTGGGCTAGTCGAGAATTACTTCGAGAGCGGCTTTCGATATTCATCGTAAGATCCATGAACTTTTCCATAGAGTCGCGCTCGACATACTTAGCCCATTGTGCTTCAAGGACCCTCGCCGCACATGATTCTTGTGTAAACGCATTGGTCTACTCGAAACTCGGAGGTAGATTTTTGGCTAGTGGAGGCGATGGTGAGCTACTCAAACTTCTATGTAGTTTCTCTTCTCTAAAACTTTGCTCTAGACAGGCGCATATTGTTGTGGGATCTTCATCGAGAAACTTCTTCGGAGGACAGCGTGCAGCCGTCATGCACCTTCTTGGGCCACAGAGTTTGTTATTTTCGCGGTGCTGACGTGTGTTTTGATGAGCTCATGGAAGGTCTCATAGGCGAATATCTTTACGCTGGACTTCTCCGCTTCAAATCAATACATCTACTCGTCCGTCGTGCTTGATTTTCTTATCGCTAAAAATACATTGCTAAGTCTTGTGCTCCTAGAGGAGGAACGGATGACACAATTCTGAAGTTCGATCTCAATCGATGGACTACGTTTCCAGAACCTGGCCACAGTGATTCTGCAGCAGCCCAAGTCTTCGGGCAGCACGCGGTACGTCTACGTATCATCCCATACAAACATCATCCCCGATTACTCAAATAGCTATAGGACAGCATCCGGGAAGTCTCTTGTCACCCGTCCCAGGAGGACGTGTTTCTAAGTGCCAGGTTCGTGTACTCATCATACCAAGTCCTTCAAACGCCGAGGGCTAATAATTACATCCCTCCTCGAAAAACATAGCGACGATGGCTGCATTCTGCTTCACGATGGCCGCGATGGGTCACGAATGTCACAAGCCCAGGGTACCTTACAACATACGACCGAAATTACGGGCGTTAGATTCCATCCCCGGATGGAGCACATTTTCGCCACAAGCGACAACAAAGGCAAAGTCTGCCTACGCGATATGCGGATGGCGTTTGGTCCTCTTCATCAAAGGTCGCAGGAAGGTGTTGTATTGCAGGTTAGCTCTTTTGTTCGTCAATTGGTTGACGATTTGCTAAGCGAACACTTACCACTTGACGAATGGAAGTTCGCGACCACCCTTGTGAAGAAGGGTATAGAACTTCAAGGCTACTACCGACCAGAAGCAAGCAGTATCTCTTTCGATTCGGAAGGTTAGTGTTAGCCTTTTCTCGGCATCATCCCTCTTGTGCTTTCGTTGATAAACACATCAGGAACGAAGCTTGCGGTCGTACTTTTGGTAAGATGATGCTGTTCGAATATTTCACCTTCAGGAAGCCAACTATTCGAATACAGCACTATTATCCCACTATATACTCCATCAAATATCCGTATCCGCTGGCAACATGCAGCGGTAGCAACCTCCCAGATGGAAGTCCCGTCCCGCCTGGAACGCGAAAATTCTCGAACTCGTGCACGGTCAAGGTTTGCTTCGCAGACTCACTACGTACCTATTCAGACTATTCATTGCGAATTTCCCATCTAGCACGGCTCATTCGGTGGCGAGGCAAATGGAGATGATTGCTACGCATTTGGGTCGGACGATTTTCGTGGATACGTGTGGAAGATACCTCCGCTACAGCACCTTGAAGAGCAACGTACAGTAATCAATAATCACGATAACTACGGCAGGGACACAACTTCCGGCACGATAGGTACTGTATTTGATGTCGCATCTGCCTTGGTTCGCTCGACTGACGAGAGTACTCGAAGCTTTCACTGATGGCAGGAAGCGGTCCGATGCATACGTCCCAGTAGACCTTTCAACGCCGCTCTTCCATCTCAATGGTGAGCCAATCCGTCTCGCGTTCGTTGTATATCCATAACAAACATCCTCAACTTACCTTCAACATTGCGATCTGCTGAAAAGGGCATAAGTCCATCGTGAACACCGCCCTTATCCATCCCGTCTACCCACTCATTATGACCTCCGGCATCGAACGCCACATCTTCATGCACAGTCCCACGCCGTCAACGCCCTGCGCTTCCAACCTCTCCCTTACTCCCACAGAAGTCCGCAAGCTTCTAGAGGCTTCAGCTGAGAGCCGTCGGAGGTTCATGTTAGCGATGATGGGTACACCTGTTGACTCACTTGATCCTGGTGGAGAACTCGGCCAAGATGGGGCATCTATCGAGTTGTTTGACGAGTGAGTCTTAGTGGAGACATAATATCATCCGGTTATTGTTACTGATTTGATGGACCATCCATGGTTCAGAATCTTAAGGCAGGAAGGCGAAGCGGATTTGTTTAGAGCGGCGACGCTGTCGACGACCGGAAGTGATTCAGACTTCGAGGAGGACAATATGTTGCGGTCGGACGACGAAGAAAATCAGGATGATGATCTTGTCATGGACTAGACGGAATTGGTGCACGAGATCGTGATGTACTTAGTTCAATTCGAGGTAGTTGGTATGTATGAGAGACCCGGAAGAGAATCGCCACACCCGTCAGCAAATGAGGTTTAATGGATAACAACATGCGAATGACGACTGTCTAAAATAAAAACAAGCGCTAATCAGTTCTCTTGAAGAGAAGTTCCTGTTAACTTTGTGCTCAGTCGAATTGAACAATTTAGAGTAGAAGATCAACAATGAAGGTAAGAGCGTGAAGCTGTGGCACCGTGAGGCGGTAGTAGTTACCGGCCTCCTCCGTGCCTTTGAGGCTCTTTGAGGAAGTTGTCCACCTCATCTTCTCCTTCGTCATTACCAGCTTGCTACCAGCACCACCCTTTCATTGTACTAAACGGCGTCTTCGATGACCGTGCTATAGTCTTTCTCTGTCTGGCTGCACTATCTTGTGAATTATTTCCCGAATATTCAGCATGGCACCACGTTTCGGTACCACGCTCTTGAACCTGGGGAATCTGAATCTTCAACCCCTACCCACTCGTTCGCCCCATGCTCCAAGTCCAGAGGACGATGAGCTTCAAGTAACACAAAAGCCGTGGTATCATTACATGCCACTATGTAGTACGTCTTCATTCATTCTCGGGGTCTAATCTCGCAATTTCGTCCGCGCTCAGTATTATTTGCGTCAATTACTAATGCTTTGTTTCGTGCAGTGGCCGTGGTCCTCCTGTTAGCGCCACATCCGTCGCTGCTCTATGTCTTCATTCATTATCACTTTTTCGTTCTGAACTCGCCTGTTCGATTTGGAATTCATCTCTTCGCGACATACACGCTTACTTTCCTCGCTTTCTGTTCACTTATTGTGTGTATCGCACGCGACCCTGGCCCCGTACCGGACCCAAAGACCGACATCGAACCTGAACGTCGGCACAGTATCAGCACTAGCCACACAATAGCCGAAGAGGAAGAGGAGGACGAGGATGGAGAGGAAGTCAGTTTGACTGAGGCGTTGATGGGACCACCAGTGAGGGAGGAGGAAGAAGAGGAAGATGACGATGATTATACGAAGCCGGGGAGGTGGTGTAGGGTGTGTTGGAGGCCGAAACCGGAGAGGACGCATCATTGTAGTCAGTGTGGAAGGTGTGTGTTGAAGATGGGTAAGTCGTCTTTGATTGGTTTCGGTTTGCGCTTTGAGTGGCGAGGATGTTGATCACGGTGTGTGGCGTAGATCATCATTGTCCTTGGATGGCGGGGAAATGTATCGTGCGTCCTGTTTTGTTCTGTTTGAGGTTTCACGTGGAGGAACTGACGTCGTGGTGTTTCTCGTAAATAGGGTCATCGAACGTATCCCTCTTTCCTGCATTTCCTCCTCTGTGTCACCTTATTCGCCGCCTACGTCGCTGGCGTGAGCATCGAGGGTATCGTATTCTCCCTCAATCATCCCGCTGATATCGTACGTTCTATTTTCTCTTGTCCGATTCCCTTGTGTCCCGATTAGGGCTGACGAAAATATAACGGCTGGATAAACAGGAGGAAATGGTCCCCGTGCATATGATTTTCTTGTCGTTCGCCGGCGTGGCATTCTCGCTCGTGATCGGCTCATTTTTATCTTATCATATATATCTTGTCTCGTGAGTACTCTATATTTCTTCGCGCACGCAGGATTTCAGAACTAATTACCCACCCTATAGTTCCAATCAATCAACAATCGAGAATATATCGCCTTATCTCCTTCGTATGTCCTCCTCCTCCTTCAGCAGACGAAATTATACTCACTCAGTACTATGCCTCCTTAAAATACAGTCCGCCACATCCCCGCTGTTCCAGCGCCTCCTCTTCCGTTACTCACAACACCCACACCGCCCCACCCATCATCTCTTCCCTCCCCCACCTCACCCCCCGATTCCACTCCCGAAACCTCACCCACAGTCTCCTTCAACTATACTTCACACGTCAACTTCGCCTCCTCCACATCTCCCTCTCCGACAGAATCAACCCCAGACCACCTACACGCCCAGTCCCAGTCCCAGTCCCAGTCCCAGTCCCAATACCCACCGCCCTACTCTTCCCACTCCTCTCACGCTCCGTACTCGTCCTATTCGCCCCGAACAGCAACTCCATCTGTCCCACCTTTCCGCCCCCCACTCTCGAAGTTGTCGAACCCGCCACAGGAGCATGAGTTGAATTATGAGCAGAGGAGGTTAGTGAAGGATGCGCATTCTGCGATTAAGATGTTTGATGTCGGATGGAGGAATAATTGGGCGCAGGTCTTTGGGCACGCTTTCTCCTCTTCCTCGTCTCTACGTCGTAGAGGGTCTGGAGGTGGGTGGAAGGATAAGACATACGGTAGAGGAGGGAGTGGGAGACGAAGAGGTAGGAGTGGTGATAGGGAGGACAGGAGAGGTGGGGAAGGGGTTGAACGTGGGGGAATTGGTGCGTGGCGTTGGAAATTCTGGATTGGGAGGATCGTGTGGGGTGGTGGGCCGAGTATGGGGGATGGGATGAGGTTTCCGAAGAATCCGAGGAATGAGGAGATGTTGGCACGGTTGGCTCTCGAGTTGAATAAGCTTGAGAAGTAGGGGAGAGACACGATGTGGGGTGTGGAGGCCGGGGGACGTTTCAAGTTTTGCGACTGCCCGTATGGGAGGATGGTAGGGGAGGGAGTTAGTGTGCATACTTCCTTATACCACTGGTATTCATCTTGACTTTATTGTTTTCGGATCGTCATGGACTGTTACGATGCACATATTCTTGTCTCAAGCTCGCTCTGTGGATACAGTGTTTATACCTACATTTGCATATTTAACACATATATACACTCGGACTCTTCTGGTGTTTGCTTGATTGACTGTTTTGCAGTGCGTATATACATGGACATTGCTCTCGTACAGCTGTGGTATGGATTTGATGTATTTTTGCCGGGTATTTTACGATTGTACTGGGCCACGCTAATGGGATGACCGTTGGAGAATATCATTGTACACTCGAAAGATGGCAAGCGGTAACCCTCCTTGATGATCACCAGCAGCGCCACAACGCCACACCACGTGGGACCCGGGTCCTGGTTAACGAGACGGACGCTGTCACCATCCCGCCTTCGCAGTTGACGGCATTGACGACGACGAGCGCTACAACGAACACGACCACGAATAGGTTTCCGCACTCGCTCCGGCCAGACAATGAACACGACGCCCAACTTTGACGACGAATTTGACGCGCGCGCCGAGTACGACGACGACGCCGACACCGCGTCCCAACGTTCCATATCCCTCTCATCCCCAGCAGTCTCCAACCGAAACTCGAAAGCGGAACCCAGCTCGCCTCTGAAACGCGAGTCTCATCCGTACACAGTATCGACAGACGCGAGCTCCGAGCGTGATGATACCAGTCTATGGACACGACCGAGTTCGGTCACGTCTGCTGCACCTTCGACGTTTGGGGCGGATGAGACGGTGACGAATTTGTCGAGCTTGGGGACGAAGTCGCCGCCGGCTGTGGTGTACCCTCCGCCACCGCTGAGTGCGGGGATGCAGTCGGATGCTTCGTTTGAGACGACGACGTCGTATTCGAAGAAGGCGAGGCCAGAGTCTATGCTTGTTCAAGCACCGAAGGGGCCGCTTGTGTTGGGAATTGCTCTCGTTGACTTCAATCACCAGGTAAGTCAAATACTATTATGTTGTTGCATTTGGTTACCTGAATGTGGAACAGGTCGGACCACGAATAGAGTTTTCGAAGGGGGATATCTTCGATGACGAAGAGATATCTACGATCTTGCCCTTTGTGGCACTTCCGGACGGCGCACACCTAGTATGTTGTTCGTTATTTGTTTGTGACCTGTAACTCAACGCCCTCCCATGGAACAGAGTGCAGAAGATTACTGCTACTTTCATCTCGTTCCCGCATCACCAAATCCTACAACAGTGTTCGGGATCTCGTGAGTCTTTCAGTTACTGCCTTCCTGTTACGAGTGGCCCGAGTGGTACAGGGTAGATATCGTCTCCCCTCGTCGACGGTAGGACTGTTCGGCTCAGAGAATCTTTCCATGACGAACTGCACGTTTCATGACGCGGTGTAACCGGGAAGACCGCGTGTTTCAGAGGCTTGATATTTGTCCAGTATCCTCGCCAGTCACTGATACTTGACCTCTAGATGTAATCGCCAAATAGCTACATCCTCCTTACTCGTTAAGGAAGATGATATGACCCGTTCCACGGTACAAAAGGCTGTCGTTGTCCTTTGTTCGAAACCGCTTTTTGGTCCTATAAGGTGAGCGTTTACAAAAACATTGTGGTATAGCTTTGACTTAATGATCCTGAAGGGACCGGCTGGGTGTCGTCACCATGGCGCTATTCGAACAGAAGTGAGTAGTTTCATATATGCTTATGCGGCCATAAGCTAAGCTGATTGCGATCAACAAGGGATTTCACCGAGACGGGCATCCTGGTTGATTTTTACGACTCGCTGGAACACTCGCTGCGGAGTCAGCTCACAGAGAGCGGATTGTATATGGGTACGTCACGAAATTCCGTGCCCCATGCGTTTGTCCGAAATGTATAGCTGACTGCTATGTACACGGAAAGGGACCAGCCTGTACGTGTGTTTGTATTTGATTCGGTGGCAGATGTTCATTGTCGAGATAGTCGTGAGCTGGTGCACCAGTTCCGACAACGAACGCTCGTGCTCTTGAAAGCGCTCATCCTACAAAAGAAGGTATGTCTGTCTCTACGAATGAGCCTACTCAAGTGAACATACTTTGATATAATTTTGACTTTGACTCCCTCATAACCAACCTTAGATCATGTTTTACGGTCACCCTGTGGAAACCCTCTGCACATACCAATACTCCCTCATTTCTCTCATACCAGGTATGCCGTTAACTCACGCATGATACTTTGCTTGTGGAGACATTGAGAAATTAATCACCTCGTCTGCCCACCAGGACTCCTCCAAGCCCTCGACGACAGTGGCTCCCCACCCCTTGCCTCCCGCGCCAAAAGTCTCTCCCGCCCAAACTCCCTCCGCACCTCCGACCGCAAATCGCTCATGGCCTACCTCGGCCTCCCCCTCGACCTCTTCGGCAAAGACGCGTTCTTCCAGCCTTACCTCCCGCTGCAACAGCTGGATATCATCAAAGGCCAGATGACGAAATCGTTCCTGTGTGGAAGTACCAATTCGATCGTGACGCAGCAGAAGGATGTGGAGGTGCTGGTGAACATCGAGAGTGGGGTGTTGGAGTTTAAGGATAGGGAGGGGAAGTTGGAGAGGACGGTCGGGCTGACGGCGGCGGATAGGAAGTGGATGGATGAGATTGTTAGGGAGGTTAATGAGGGATGGGAGGAGGAGGAAGCAGGGAGAGGGATGCAGTAAGTGTTTTGTTGTTCAGTTGGCCAGCAGTACGAAGGCTAATTGGGACAGGAGGTTTAAGGGCAGTGATGATTATCTCAGGATTAAGGTGAGTTGCGGTGGTGGGTGGTGTGCTGGGCTGAGACTGATTTCCTTGTTTTATAGTTTGAGGAGTACATTTCGGCGGCCCTCTCGTCCGTCAAGTATGCGGACTTCCTTGCTAAGGGGGAAAATAGCGGCGTTCTCATCACACCGGGAAGCGGTAAGCATGATTCTGTAAATATTCATACAAGCTGTCTATCTGATTCCCGTTGGTTCCTCTGATATAGGTGCGGACTCCAGCTCAGTCGCCGACTTCAATCCGGTTTGGATCGCCGAATTCAAGCGTACGAACGCCTACGAAGTGTGGCAACGCGTCACAGACCCCATGTTGTTCGACATCGTTGAGCCCCGGTACGTTGCCTCCCCTCTTGCTCTTCATATTCACCCCCAGTCTGATGAAATCGCGTGTGATAACAGTCACCCATGCAACGAACGTCCAAGCGCCATAGCCGACATCTCCCTCCGTCTCTCCGAAGGCATCCAAGAACTAAAACTCGACCAACAGCTCGCTCCGACTCGGGAGGCCATCTCGCGTACATTCAACGCTGGATCAACAGGTTTCTTTAAAGCCGTCGAGGGCGTCAGAGGAAGATGGATGCAGAGGGGGACTTCGTCGACTTCAGTCAACAGTGATGGCAGTGCAACGAGCAAGAGTCCTACAGCGACTCCAGCGACGCTGGCCTCGGTACCGAGTACGCCTGCGATGGAGTCGATGACGGGTCCTAGTACGCGGGAGATGAAAGAACCGGCGACACCGACGGCTTCGACGGGTAGTGCTAGTAGGCCACCGAGCATCACTGCGGATCAGGCGAAGGAGAGACTCACTTCGTGGGGATCAGGGATCGGGTCATTCTTCTCCGCCAGAGCGCCACGATTCTCCGTCTCTAAAGGTAATCCACCACCACCATCCGCACCGGCTTCAGCACAGAGCCCGACGACGCCTATAGCGCAGAGTCCCACGTCGTTCACGTCTACGAGGGGAGTCGTTTCGGTCCTGGAATCGCCAGACGCGGAGGATGATCGTGTGATGACGATGACTTCGCCCGTAAGTAGCAGTCGGTCGTTCGATTCGGAGCTTAAAGGGGATGGAGGGAATGTTGTCGTTAGTCCTGGGACTTCGATTTTGGAATCGGAACGGTCTTCGTTGGCGTCGAGGGTTTCGGTGGATGTCATCCCCACGCCTGGGCTCGCTTTGTTATCGACTGCTGCTCCTGTGACTGTTACGGTTCCTCCATCTACGTCCTCGCCACCGCCATCACGCACGCCCACGTTCGAGACGGATAAGGATAGTCATCTAGAGTCTGAGGCAAAGGAGGAACATGTGGAGGAGGAGCACGGAGAGGAGAAAGTGGAAGATGAGCATGAACACGAGCACGAGCACGAGCATGAGAAGCCTGAGGTGGAGGCTGTGATTCCAAGCAGGAGCTTGGAGAAGGATGATATCGACACCCTCAGTCGTTCGGATATGACGTCGGATGTAGATGGAGACGACGCGTACGATGCGTACGACGCGGTCGTCGACGAGACTCCATCTTCGAAGGTAGACCACGAGGGGCCTGAGGAGTCAAAATCGGACCACCAAGACTCGGAGCATGAAGACGAACACGAACACGGACATGACCACGACCACGCCGACCACGACCATGACGACCACGACCATACCTCTGACCAGGAACACGACGACCATGATTATGAGGCTCGGACTGGGACAAGCGGGTCGCAGAGGAGTAGCATCATTGCGCTGAGTACGTCGTCGCGGTTGCGGGATGATGATGATCGGAGTGATTATGGCGGCCATGGGCAAGGAGCTGGGGATTTCGGAGTGGCGCTTTGAAGGCTTTACACTAGAAAGCATGGGTTGTGTTTTGAGTATTTATAATGTTACACATCGTCGCGATTCGATTGAATGGAGTGGCGTTTTTGCTTCCATGTGGTTCGGTTTTCTGTTGATATACTCTAGCTTTCTTTTGTTTATAATTGATTTTGTTCTGGCAATGGTTTGTTGCCTATGTCACAGCGATTGGCGCTTGGATTTGCCTCGGGAAATTACGGGTCGTGAATAGCGGAGTTCTAACTGTGAACCTTCTCTGGCTCTCCAACAACTCTCCAACCGTGACTTTATTCCGACCATCTGCATTCTCACGAGCAAGGGACTACAAGGAGAATAAGCTGCTAACTCGAATACTCGTGAGGTAGGTTCTTCAAGATTCATCATGCGAATACTACCCATCGATCTCTCTTCTGAGTTTCCGGCTGATGAGTGACTCAGGCATCCGCGTAGCGCTATCCTTCGTCCAGAGAGACCATGATAAGCGACGACGGAGATGTCAAAGAGCCCATAACAATCGTCGACCAGCACCATTCTCCCCGCCTCACTCTACAAGATCTTCCACCCGAGATACTATCCGAAATATTCCTCTTCTGGCTTCATCCATCAAACCACCCCTCGGTGTGGCGATGGAACCCTCTACTTTTATGCCGTGTTTGTGGCTCTTGGCGTGCAATCGCCTTCGCAACGCCTGGTCTATGGGTTGATCCTCGCCTTACTCTTCATACGGACCAAGTGACTGACGCTCACTGCGAGGTCCTGTCCGAATTTCTCGCTCGATCAAATGCACATCCATTTTCATTATATCTTGGGACGTTCAACGAAACCACCGAAACCCGTGACGCCTACCAACTGCTTGAAACGATCTTGCCTTTCGCCAGTCGTATTGTGCGTCTCGCCTTGGATCTTCCGCAATCCGCCCACCGCGTCCTTCAGTCGACCTACCGCCCAGCGGCCACTTTCCCTCTCCTCGAGTTCGTCGACATAGTGGCGCGTAACGCCGACTATAATGATGACATGGCTTTCACTCACGAAGCCATACCCATCTTAGACACCGCGCCACTCCTTCGAAAAATCGTCCTGTCGGACGGCTCGGAGGATAGGGATGGCTTGGTAGATAGGTGTGACGGATCTTTTCTCCATCACTTCTCCCTCCCATGGTCTCAGATCACGACGCTTAATTCAGAAAATGTCTTCGGATCTCCCGATCAAGCTCGTCTCATATTATGCCAATGCATCTCCCTCGAGTGGTGTACATTGGGCGGGATACCCACCTGGCAAGGAAATGATGCCATCGCCAACCTTCCATTTTCCACACTTTCTCACCTCGACAGGATGGAAATCACATTCGAGGATGATCATTACCAAAGCTTCACCGCGTTCTTCTTTCAGCCCCTCCAACTACCAGCACTCACGACGCTCCACCTCACCGCACCTTCTGGGCATGACCAGACGGAAACGGGGCTGTACATGCCATTTCTTTTCAACAAAATTGGGACCACGTTGACGCAGCTTCGGATCGTGAATCTACGCCTCAGCCCAATCGAAGTCATACCCATCCTCAGCACTTTACCAGTCTTGGAATATCTAGAGTTCGGGTTTTGTCATGTGGCGACGGACGATCTATTCTTCGATGCGCTCGATTACGAAGGATCCACCTCGCCGATCCCACTCGTTCCCAGCCTCCAATTCCTGGAGATCAGAGAGCACAGTAGACACGGATTAAATATCACACCGGCTGCGGTCGTGCGCATGATCGTTGGGCGGTGGTGGTCGGATCCGGTGCTCGAAATGTTGCAGCCAGAGGTAGCGCGATGGACGAGCGTTCGCATCAGCTGGGACGACGAGGAACCGATGGTGTTCAGTGCGGAGGATCAGCGGATGTTGGATAGGTGTCGAGAGGAGGGGCTGCGCTTGTCGATATCGTGATCCACTGGCTCTTGCGTGAGCTTTCTAGACTATCTCTTTCGTTCCTTCTACAATGCTCATCTCTAAATTGATAGCGTATAATTGATCCTATACGATCTTCGACATTCCATTTCCCCATACTAAACCTGACTCGAGTCTCACCGACCTACATCCAAGATTCGTAAAGCTCGGTAACGCGGACATACTGGTCTCAGTTTCAATCAGTTATTTCAGTACTCTCTGGCAGAAACACCTTTCAATACAACAGTTGTGTATCTATCAAGAACGCTATAGTCACCTCGTGCGGCTAGCTATCATCACAATCTCTCCTGCTGCAAACGAGCTATCTGATCCTCGCAATAATCCCGGTTCGGCACATCTTCGATACTTTCGTACAGCGAAGCGGCATTCCGATAGTGTTTCTCTATCTCCTCTGAATCCGGGATCCATCTGACCAAAAGCTCCCCTTGAGCGCGAAGTGAATTAGCCATGCCCTTCATATTACCGATGACTTTGTACGCCGCGAAGGCATCGTGGAGACTGGAGAGAGCTCCCTCCCACTCGTCGGTTGTGGACTTCGCATTGCCAATAACAAACGCGCAATCTGCCACTCCCTTCGTCTTTCCTACCCGTGCGTACAGTTCTCGCGCCTTTTCAGCCATGGACAGGGCTGTGGCAAGAACGTCAGGTTCATTGAACCGTGCTGCATCGGTGGCGAGCCCAAGCATGCAGTCGCCCTCACCCGTGAGGTTACCAACTTGTCGGAATAAGGCCAGTGCTTCCTCGCGAAGGTTCCTCGCCTTCGTGTAATCGGGCTCCATCAATGCTAAACCCCGAAGACATTCAGCCATACCCCAATATCCTTCACTTCCTAGGTTTTGGAAGATATCTCGCCCTTCGGAGAAAAAACGCAGCGCTTGGTTTTGATCGTCCATGTGTCTTGCGACGTACCCCATACCGCGCAGACATTCCCCCTTCCCAGCCAAGTTCTGTAATCCGTCGTAAAGCTTGAGAGCCGCCGAATATGCCGTCATCGAGGACTTGTACAGCGTGCGACCTGAATCCACGAATCCGATACCGCTGAGACAGTCTGCTTCGTACTCCTGTTGCCCACGACTGGAGGCAATTTTGCGTGCTGTCTCTATCACGCGAGTAGAACCAAGACCGGTGTACCAGAGAAGGTCCTTCAAATCGAGTGATGCTTTGAAGACCCAGGATAACGTATCCAAAGGCATGGTGGGCATTTTGTGGAGTATGAGGAGATCGTGCTCCATCATTGCCTGGAGGTTCTCGACTTCATCTCGAAGCTCAGGCAACATAGCGATGCCTGATTCTGTGCCTAACAACTTGGCCCTCTCCGTTAGCTCAGATAGATGTGTACGAAGGGCATGTAGCACTTCGTGTGAAGGTGGGTAGTGGGACGCGATGTAGATGCGGATAGGATGCAGGAGGCGTAGACGTCCTCCAGGGTCATCGAATGCTAACGCTGTTCTGCGCAACGCATTGGCAGCTGCCAGCGAGGAGGGATGCAGTCGAAGATCATTTCTGCGAATGGATTCGTGGGACATGCCAGTAGGTAATAGAGCTAAGATGCTCAGAAGGTCTTGAGCGCCTGGCTCCCTTGTGAAGCGAGTCGAGTGGAGAGAAACCTCAATCGAAGCATGTAAGCTTCGTGGTCCATCTGCGAGAAGGCTCGTGCTCTCGAGGTCCCACCGGTTGAGGACATTCGCAAGGCTGGTTTCATTGGTAGATACTGTGGCCAGAAGGGTCACCGCCAGCGGCACGTAGTCGACACATTCAAGGAGTTTGTCGAGATTTGGATCAGAAGCGAAGTGGGGGTGCCATGAGCAGATATGGAGGAATGTCTCGCGAGCGGCAGATTTCGGGAGGGTAGGCAAGTGGAGGATAGACGACCATCGAGTATCAAGAGGGACTTCCTTCCCCCGCATTGTAATCAAAAGCGTTACGCTTTGAACGGAAGACAGTCTTCGAAGTATATCCTCCGCTGCATGCTTATCGGCTTCCCACGGTGTCTCAAAATTGTCGAGAACCAGCATGAAACCCGTACGAATGTCCGACAGGTAGTCGCAGATGTGTTTTAGTCCTTTCGATCCCTGGAGGGTCAAGTCTTTGGCTATGGTCGCGACCAGGGTTTCAGCAGAGGGAGCGGCATCGCATCGTATGAAGACGCGGCTGATGGAGAATATCTTCTCGATTTGAGGGGTATGTAAGAGTTGTAACGCTAACGAAGATTTACCGATGCCATTAGGTCCTATAATGGCCAGGCGAGCGGGGTGCTTCACATGTGACGAAGTGATATCTTTGATAGCCTGGTCCATGAAGGCCTCACGACCAAAAAAGCGTGGAGGGCTCAGAGGTAATTCTGCTGGTGGTATATGTTTCGGCCTAATCGATGCCCATTAGAGTCAGAGCAGAGGACGCGGACAAAAGGGTGACAGGCCTGGAAAGTTCCCCCTCGGAGACGATGGTCTTTTCAAAATCAATCAAATCGCCCTGTTAGTCATACGGTGAGCTTGGATAGATGAAATGAAGACGTACTCGTTCGCGCGCCTTGAGGGCATTGATCTCGGCTTCATAGCCCTGGATACTTCGTCGACGTATGCTCTTCCGAATGATGTTTCTTTTTTTCAAAAATTCATAAATCGACCTTAATGCTCTGCATGAATGGGGGCTTAGCACAGAGCAGTGACAATATCAGCAGTGGTAGTCGCGAAATGCAAACCTTTGCAAGTCATCGCACCAGTGTCCAACCTCTTCCGAAAGGTACTTCCAACGACCCGCCCACCGTGCAATGACGGTGCAGCATAACTGTATTGCCTCCTGTGCTAAGTCTAATAGACGGTCTCTTTCTCCTCCAAACTGCACATGTGGATATGTCAATGAAACAACCTCAAGTATCAGACCACACGTACTCACCTCGTCAGAAAGCGAGCACAACAGCAGTGCCGCTTCGGTAAGGTCCTTAGGAGCTTCGGTGGATCTCTCGAGAAATTCCCGTGCGTTGAGCAAAGATACGAGTTTTGAGTTTCTAGAGGCTGCATCAGCACCAGGGTCTCGACGACGTATTCCAAACGGCATATTGTCGAGCTGGTTGGCAGGAGAAACAGATAACCGCCAAGACACTACGGCTGGCGCAAGGCTAGGTGGTGGCTCTCGGCTTGAGTGGTCCGACTATCGTGGGGGGACGTGTTGATGTGCCGGTCTGACCGTCTGATAGTTCTCTGGGGTCATTCGCCATCCAAAAGACGCCCGCTATCTACGTATTGCGTCCCTTTCTGTCCTCGTCTCACAGTATTACGACTAGAGAGTCGCTGTGGGTCTGTGGGCAAGGAATCGTTGAATATTGGTTGCAAGGCTCCTGAGAACTAGGGACATCCCACACAGGCACTATGTAGAGTGGCGTAAAATGAGGGGCTTTTGACAGCTGCTTTGCACATCTAAAAATACGTCGGGGCTATCATCATAGCATCATCATCCCTGGTGGTGTTGGTGAGAGCGAAGAAGCCGAATTGACTTGGCTTGGAGCTCCTGCTTTTTTTAAGCTCCCGCGCGGGAAAGCATTGTGAAGTTAACTCGTACCTGCTTTAATTTGGTGGTACGATGGAAGGACGGCCGCGATCTCATCAGGCGATTGAAAGGGTCCTTCACTTTCCCGGTCAAAATTCCGTCTGCCCTGCCTTTAGGAGACGACGGTGCGACACTCACCATGACGAATACTACATGTTCACTAAAACTTGACCAATACGTGTACCCCTAATTTTTATAACTCCGTCAGTTTTTATTATTTTGAGATTCTGTCTTGGGGATCTCTTCCCTTCATGAAAAGAAGCCTTTTCCCAAGAGGGATAAGAACTGGCGGTAAAATCAGCCCGGCTGTGACCGATATGGCACCGTTGTTCGTTTTTGGTGGTGACTAAGTGGAGTGCACCATAGCCACCGCTGGCAATGCCACGATTCTGGAGGTGCCCGTCGATCTTACCGCATTCAGTGCTCACCTGTGGTGATAGAATTTGAACAGAAGAGTTGCCTTGTGAGGAGGCTTGGAGGAGTAAGGGAGGAGCGAGTCGCCTTCTGCTTACGGTTGCGATCGTCGAACTCAAACGATGTATTACGTGAGTAGCACGTTGATTAGATTAGATATGTGAGTATCTTGTCCACAGAAAGGGGATAAAGATGCCCGGAGCGGGGCGCGAGCGGAATACAGCACGCCACACTTCCGACTCGAGGTAGCACGTTTGCAAATGCATACAATTACTATACAGTCTTCATGTCTCATGAAACACACTTGACTTGTATATTTAGCGCCACGCTCCTTTTCTGAGATCAGACAGTCCACTAGTGGCGGGGAGTATGGGGGTAGTCGGGAGCCATGTTGATAGCAGCGGTTTGCGGTCAAGTGTCACTCACTCGGAGTAGTATATATATTTCCGCCTCTTGCTACCAGACCTCCAGACAGTACGATTCTTACCCAACTTCGAGCCATGAGCAAGAGTGTAAGTCATAAATTCTTCAATCAGTTTTCCATCATATCCTGAGAAGTTGTGATAAGCCCCCCACTGCAAGTCACCGTCATGCATCTCCACCTCCAGACCCCTCATCACTTTCCAATATTTCGAAAGGCTCTCCTACGATACCAGCTCCACCTACAGTATGTCTTATGCTTAAGCGACGATACATAGCTCATTTTATCATATAGGTTTCCTCACATTCTAACGTGGCAGCAAGAGCCGTACCTGGAATCACAAGTAATACCAATGACAATAGCTATAAGAAGGTACGTTTACCAGGTCGACGTCGCAATCGATGTAGTATTTTGTAACATCGGCATATATGGGCTTGATACAGAAAAGCTTGATATCTCTGGTCACAACGAATTTGCAGCTCGCCGTTTTTGGTGGAACGTTGACATATCCCACTCTGGCGACAAACATCTCGGACGCCGCTAAACTTCTAATTATCCTAGCCTTTACATTCTTCGGTGTTACCACCATATCCTGCCTGTTCTGGCTCCTCAGAATCACGTTACCGGACAACGACGATCTAACAGAGGAGCTTTCAAGACGTGAGAAGTATGCACTATTTTGGATCGGTATCATCGGCCATACAATCATGAATGTGGCGGGTGTATTATGCCTTGCAGCCGCCTCTGTCACGTTCTCTTCACATGTCGGATGGGCATGTTTTGCTACTATTTCTGTTACTTCATTGATATATGGTGGGTATGGAATCTGGTATGTACGCACAGCTAGAAAGAATATTTGATATCAATAATCCCGTACATTCTCTGAGAAGATCGTCACACCGTACTTACTTAGACTACGTACATAAAATCTGCATCAATACGATGATCTTTCCCCACTGCCGATCCATTACTGGATATATGCGTATCACTGAGCCTCACAACTTCCCTTCCTTATTCTGGGGAAGCTCCACGATTTGGTCGAATCCAGGGTACTCGGGCAGGTTCAACTGAAACTTTTCCTCCATCGTCCTTCAAAACGAAGTAACGTCGATGATCAATGACACCTCCAACAGACTGAAACGAGCTCTACTTACTTGGGAACAAATCGTCCTCCTAGCCAGTGTCGTCCCTTAAATTCTCTCGCTCCTTCCTTCGGAGCAGTCAAACTAATCAAGACGTCAGGCTCCAACCCAACACCATGCTTGTTACCTTCTTCGACGTCCCAGCCCGATGGGATATCTACCGAGACGATGGGCAGGCCGGAAGAGGAGAGAAGAGGGAGTGCCATGTCGAAGGGGGCGCGAACGGGTGGCTTGAAGGAGAAGCCGAAGATGGCGTCGAGGATGACGTCGTGGTTTTCGAGTGTGGATTTTAGCGTGGATTCGGTTCTGGAGGCAAAGTTGGGGTCGGAGGAGTCAGGGTTTGAGAGGGTCGGGATGTGCATGTTCGTGCATTGGGTTTGAAGGCGCTGCGTCCAGCGTGCGAGATGTCAGACACATTGGTGGAAAGTTTCCGAAACGGTGGGTAAATGAGGATATTATTCACTTACCTTGTATATGTCCTTCGAACCGGGCTTTATGTGGCTGTCAGTAATGCTATGACCGACGAAAGACGTAGACTTACCTTAGGCATCCAGATCGTCGGTGTGTAGCCAAACATACCTGTGCACGTTTAAACGTGTGAGTAGCGTTATGATCATGCTTTCAGAGAAGTTTAATTCACCGAGATGGCGAGCTGCTACCAGGCCATCACCACCTTGGTTCCCAGGGCCACAACAGACAAGCACGCGAGGGTATTTATCCTTCTTATACGATGCAGCAAGTGTCTGAGCACAAGCCAGCCCTGCGAGTTCCATAAGCTACATGGAGACACTCATTAACGTACGAATGCAGGCAAGATTCCACAGGAATTGAAAAGAGCCCAACCTGATCAAGGCTGAACGCGCCAGCGGCGCTCATAAGTTCTTCATCGATCTGGTCAGAGTCTTGCATCAGCATTCCAGTCGCCACCGGGGAAAGATATCCAGGTCCTCACTTGCTGAGCAAGCTTCGCAGTGAGATATCTTACGGACATAACGGATTAGTTTTGCCCGAAACTGAGAGTAGGTGGTAAGTTGCAATTGATGCGAGGAGATGTAGCGATATGACGTCATTTAACGCGACACCTTCTGATTTCAACAAAGACAAACAAACGCTTTAGGCGACTTCTCAAAAGAGAATTCTTTCACACCCTGCAGAGGCTTGCTCCTCGCCTCAACCATGTCTTGTGGATTATCACTTTCTGCTCGTGTTTAGACTCCCATCTCGACAGCTGGTACACTGTAGACCGCTGCACCTTTGTTTAGCCTTGTCTTCTGTCCGAAGAGTCGGTCAAATCTGTGGGAACAATGCATACGCTTGCATGCATCTTGGCCTGGCGCCAAGCCTGATATACTGCGCGCTGTAGCTTGCATCACCATGTAACGGGGTGCTCTAGATCATTTTGCGTGATAGGAGGAAGAGGCGAAGGAGAGCCACAGCGGTTCGTGCTGCCGCAGTCAACAGAGAAGCAGGATTTGACGGCCGTTTTCGATACGCGAGGCCTCTGATTGGTTGCACCTCATGTTCTTGCGTTCCTTCATCTTGCAACGACATGGCATCTTCCGAACGGGCCCCGTCAACTCGGATTTGGCGGCGCCCGACTCTTCTCCTCGAGGTTCTTTATAAACGAGAAATGCCTGGAATTTTTAACTGCGTGCTTGCCTGGTCTATCCCCACTGCTACTCGCTACGTACTACCATCATGATTTTCAAACTCCTTCCTCTTGCCGCGCTCGTTTCAGTTGCCCTCGGTTAGTACTGACTCTCTCTGCCGAATTTTTTCCTCTATTCTAATATGTACTGCAGCGCATATTGGACCAGAGACGCAGGTGTCGGATGCACAACTCATCGCGCGCGACCACCTTGCCAAACGATGCGCATCCGCCTCTGAAGCTATGTTCACGAAACGTAAAGCCGCTAAACGTGCTACCGAGCTCGCGAAGCGTTGGACGCCTCATAACGACACCATCCAAAACACGACTTGTATCTTGGACCAAGATGTCACACCGTCAGTTGATTCCTCTTGTGTATCCTTTGAAGTCGCTGACTTTGTGATTCGGTGGTGTAGTGGTCCTTACCAGCTTGACGGAGACTTGATCAGACAAAATATCACAGGTGAGAACCATATTGCTGCCTTTCGTTCAACATTGTTGCTGACAGTCGTTGAAGACGGCGAAGTCGGTATTCCCATGATCCTCGAGATTGGTGTTCTCGACGTGCTCAGCTGCGAGCCCCTTGCGAATGCCTACGTCGACATCTGGCACTGCAACTCTACCGGGTACTATTCCAAGTTCACCGGCGTCGACCCCAACGAGGACCACTTCTGCGCTACCTGGTTCGTGCATCTCACTGTTTCATAGTCAATCTTACATTAACCTTTCCATCTCGATATAGTGACACTGTGCGCTTCTCTGTTCATGCCCATCTTGTTCCATTATCTAACGTGATGTCTCCATGGTACAGAATACATCGCAGTCAGACAACTTGACGTTTTTGAGAGGAATTTACCCCACAGTGAGCTCCCATATACGACCTAAGCACCCTGCACCTGGCTCATTTGTCCCTTCAGGATGAGAACGGCGTGGTCGAGTTTGCCTCCGTGATCCCCGGATACTACTGTCAGTCTTTCTTCTCATACCCATACCTTTGCTAGACATCGGTGCCGTGTCTCATAAGTCTTCTCACTGTTCAGATGGTCGCGCCACCCATATCCACGCCCAGGTCTATAAGGATGTCACCGTTGCACAAAACGGCAGCGTCATGGTCAACGATACTCTTTTCCACACTTCTCAGTTCTACTTCACCGACGAGTACGCATCTTCTCTCCGCTTCCTATCCCATCCATCCATCCAAGCCCAACAATGTACAGTATCTGATTACATTCCAACCAGGTTCAACGCCGAAACCGACCAAATCTACCCCTACTCCCTGCATTCCGCCCTCCTCAACCGCACGCTCGACGTCGACGACACCGTCATCGCCGCCGGGAACACGACGTACGTCTCGCAGTACCTTGACGTGACGTACATGGGCGATACGCTTGAGGATGGGATTTATGCGTATATCACCGTTGGGGTGGACTCGTCTGCGTCGGGGAATAACTGTACTTTCGAGTGTTGATTGGGGTACTTGACATGGGGGCCGTTGACGGCCGGAGATTGTGGGAATATTTACTACTTTGTTTGTTTCATAATGAGAAAATGTCATGTCCTTGGGGTTACTGAGGCGCAGAATTCTGTGGCCATTCCATAAATGATAGGAAGATCGTGCGAGGGCTATGTGCATCGGGGGAGACCTGGCCGAATACCAGGGTCCTTGTAGATCTCGTGACTTTGAACCTAGAAGTGCGCCATTCTTCTCTATTCTTCTCCGGCACTAGTAATGGAACGGCGATACATTCGGGCTGGGGGATTGTGCACGATGGCGCGATAAGTTGCTGGAGGTAACGGCAGCTGTTTTGTTGGTTTTAGGGAAAGTTTCAAGGGAAGGGTGTCAAGGAAGTCGAGCATATAAAGGGGGGGGGGGTCCATCCGTAAAATACATATTTGCGCGAATATATAACTATGCATACACATAACGAACCAAACTGACTTGTCAACAAGGCCAACATTGGAGCTATGACCAGCACTAGGTATTCGCCCCAATTCAAACCGATCAGCCTCTACCACCCAACAAAACATGAGATACGGCACGTACATAACCCCAGAACCCAGAACGAATATTTGAGTTTGAATCACAGCGCCTTCCTGATGATGCTAACAATCGCCTGGACCTGCGCACCCATCGAGGGCCACTCATCTTCGCTATTATTATAATCGCATGCCTCTGCCGCATAATCATAGCCCACACAGCAAGGACAGGGCATATCCACGACGCCCGTACAATCCAGTTCGGGCCACCTACAGCCAAAGTGGCGCCATACGATGTCAGCTGAAACAGAGCGTTCCAGGATGAAGGGAGCCACATTGAACAGCGAGATGGTAAGGCAGGGGGGGATGGGGATGAGTAAACGAACGTACCTCAAAAGGAACATATCCCGTTCCGCAGGCCGTTTGAGAAACCTCGCCCCGCGACACTCAGGGCATGTATAACTCGCGCGCAACATCCTCGCCGTGAGCAACGCGAGCTTTCCAGCTGCACAAACACCAGCGCCATATTCAATGATTTCATCACGCGTGGCGTCACGCCGTCGCGACGCATCCACAAACCAGTCTCCCCCTATATCGTTGGCATCGCCAGCTCCAGCTGCTACGCCCAGTGCAGGTACAGCCCCTGCTGCCCCGATTACAGGCCCTATGACCGTTCCTGTGCCGATTAACGCCTCCTTGGGATTTTGACGCACTAGCGATACGGCAGAGAGGTCAATACGAATATCGAGCGGTCTTTCGTTCGCGTCTGGACGGAAAAAGACGGGTCTGTAGGTATGAAGTTTGATGGGCCCGGGACGCGAGGGATCACGGGATGTGCCGATTTCGATGTGTCGGATGAGGAATGGACCTGGGGCTTGTTCGATTTGGAGGGCACGGGAGCGTTTTGGGTAGATGTATGGAGCGGGTGTCGGGCGTGCCAGGGAAGCCGGAATAGGAGTAGGAGCGGGTGTGGGGAGCGGGTACTTGAGGCAGCAGAGGAGAGTGTGGTTGGAGCGGTGGTGTTGCAGATCTGCGATGAGGAGGTCGCGGGAGGTGAGAGAGAAGAGATAGTGTGAGGTTCGGGAGAGGCTGTGAAGGTCGCGGCGGGAGAGGTATGTGGAGACTCGAAGCTGAAGCTCAGGTGGTAGGTTGGTAAAGGCAAAATATGTAGACATCTCGGTAAGAGCAGCGGGCATTTGAGTAGACACCATGCTTGGTGATGTTGGCCGTAGGAGGGGAGATGTAACAAACCATTTCGGCGAGGAGTATTCGTGTTTAAGTAGCCTCGGTTCCGCAGACGGTATCGAGGATATCACGTTCCGATCCCCTATAAGTAACCCTTAATGAGTCTGATCCGACGTTACCTTGAACATGAGGTCAGAGACAGGGTCAAATCGCGGATCCTAATTGGGGACAGAAAATCGCGTAAACCCCGATGAGAGCATCTTGAAGGCGCGTATGACTGTAAAGATAGGTAGGATTGACGACCGCGATACACGATACCGACCGACAACACAGAAAAGATCTACATCCCGGTGCAAATCCTGGTTAGAAAACGACGAAACGCGCAGCTTGGAACGCGCTGAACGAGCGTTCTGGAGAGGAGATACATGAGCAACTGAGCGGTGATACATGAAAGAGCCCACGACCCAGCCGATTCTGCGCCCCAAGGAATGCATGGTAAACGCACCCCAGACAAATGGAGTCCCAAACTCGCGTCGCCGAAGATACGCCCACAAAGGCGCCTTGTCCCATCTTCGAAATGAGGGAGAGGCGACGCATTTCTCGGGACCGCATCAGTATAAGCAAATATTGCTCCACTTACATCTAAAGCTGTCGATGAGGACATAGACAGTAGTACTCAGAAGCTCTAAGCCCTCAAGTAATCCGATATGTAACACTCACCTCCCGGAAAAGATGCGGTTGTCACTGCAAGACAAGAATAGTCCGAGCTGTGTTACTTATCCGATCAGTTTTCAGTAAAACACTTGCGCTGTCTGGACAAAGACAGAGAGAGCAGTGCGTATGGAAACCGTTGTGTCTTTTGCCGTACATATGAGTCGCTGTTCGACGTTGAAAACGTTGAACTTGAAAGCGCGAGGCGTGTGAAACGACGAACATTCCAGGGCATTCTGTGTGGCGTTATGGCTTTCCATAAATGGTACAGGACTATGACACAGTAAGCCACGATTCCCCTTCTTCCCGAACACCCACGACGACGGTGAGCTCACCGACATGAACAACGCCAACGGCTTCTTCTCCATCTTCTCTGGCGACGGTGAAGACCCTGACGCACATGCCGAAGCATTCCAGGATTTCTTCAGCCATGCGATCGCCGCTGCGCTCACACAGGCCGCTGCATCCAATGAACCCCCTGTCGATGACGGCACAGACGACTTGGAGATGCCACCGCTAGAGCCTATTGTCACTGTCCACCGACATCCAACCAATGCTGGTGATAATACTCACGACGACGATTTATCAATGCCGGCTCTCGAGCCCATACCCACTTCAAACACCGCTGCCGATACTGATGATGCCACCGCCGATGTTCGGGATTACACGTCAATGCCAGACCTTGAGCCTATCACAGAGAACAGACACGAAGGTGCTCCTACGACCTCAGGTAATGTCGTTATTATTTCACCGCGCGGTGACCTTAGGAACATTCGTCCCTTTGCTGCCTACCTTCTTTTGTCTTTACCATTCACACCGCTGATTCTATTATTTTACCAGCACAATCTGATACCCCCGACCACTCAGCTCCCCGTACCCGTCCGCGAAGTGACACCAATCGTAGTGACACCTCCATGCCCGATCTCGAGTCTGTATCGGACTCGTCGGAAGACGATGATGACGACGGCGACGATGGCAGCAACTGGGATGATTCAGAACGCGACGCTGACGACGTCGAGATGATCGTAGAAGACGATGACGGAGATCCGACGTGGGAGGATGCCCACAGCGCCGATGCTCCACCACGAGAACCCGCCGCTGCTGCCGCGAACGCTGGCGAAACTCGCAGGGAAGGTGTCACGACGGAGGAAGCCCGTGCGTACTATTCATTGCTAAGCGCTGGACCCTAGACTGACGCTGGTTAACATTGCAGATGATCATGGTTTCAATCCTTTCACCATGGGCATCCCTGGCCCTCACGGACAAGGACAAGTACCGCTCCCGAATATCAGACAACATTTGCAGTCATTCTTCGGGGATGTCATGGACGGCGCTAATGGACAACAGCAACAACAAACAGCAAACGGTGCGTATATTTGTAAACTAGGCCTTCCTGATTTGACGCTCAATGATCTTCCTCCAGTTCCACCGCCGTTCGACGTCCCGAATGGACCGGGGCCACACGCCCACGCAGAAGCGGCCCAGCCCATATTCGACATCGGCTTTGACGTCTGGATCACGGACGAGAACGGGCACCAGAACCACGTCCACCACGGGCACCTCCCGCACGGTCACGGCCCCCCTCCTGCCCATGGTCCCGCACCACCTCCTAATGCCAACGGGAACCCGAACGCTCCTGGCGGAGGCGCCTTCGCGAACTTCGGCGAGATGGTCGCTGCTATGACGGCGGCTGCGCTAGCCAGGGGCGGAGACGGGGCGAATGCTAACGCTGGTCCTCATGATCCGAATGCTCCACCACCACCACCCGGCATGACCAACTTTGCGGACATGATGGATATGGCGATTCCTCTAGATCTTGGTGGAATATTCGGTATGATGGGTATGATGCCAGAGAGAGAAGAGAGGGAGGATCCGGAGCGGGCCAGGGTTTTGATCAGTGGACTGGAGGCGGTACCGGAAGGGTTGGTGAAGAGGATGCAGAGGTGTGACGAATTGGATGGTGGTGCGGAGGGTGCGGGCGTGGGATGTGCGATTTGCTGGGAAGGCCTTGGGTTGGAGGAGAGCGAAGGGAAGGTTGATGGACAGGAAGGTGAGGAAGAGGGAACGAAGTGGGGCAAGAGGAAGGCCGAGGAAGATGCGTCTACCGTCAGTGAAAGACCTGAAAGTCAGATGAGGATGGACGTTCCGGAGCAGGCACCCACACCGATGGACGAGAGTGCTGGGCCGTCTCCATTGCATCCCGCAATGATGGACCACGACTCCGAGATGCTGGAGGCTACATCTTCAGCAACAACAACCGCCTCTGCTTCGACTTCTGACGCCATGCAAGCTTCTTCGTCTACTGCATCTACTTCGGCCGCACAACCTCCAGTATCTGCTACTTCCTCTACTTCCACTTCGACGCCCGCTCCCGCCCCAACGTCCGAAAATACCTCTTCGTCTTCCTCATCCTCCTCCACTCGTACACCGACAACTCCCAAGAAACCTCTTCCCCGCGTCGTCACTCTTCCATGCTCCCATGTCTTCCATTCCGCATGTCTTCTTCCCTGGTTCTCTCGCCCACGCCAAACAACCTGCCCAACTTGCAGGTTCAACATCGACCCCGAGAACTTAACCTACCAACCTCGACCCATCAGCCCTTTACCGACCCGAGCGGCTCGAGTTCATACCCCAGGCGGTCCGGCTCGGGTCCATACCCCAGGCGGTCGTGCTCCCCCAACCATCTTCAATGGCGTCCGTGCGGCTGATATTGTTCGTCCGGCCGCTGCTGCCGCCGTCTCAACTCCCCATCCGAATGCACCTCCTCGCCCAGGTTCTGCACCTCCTGCTACTACACCTACCCCTCAAACTGACGCCACCAACACTCCCACTGCAGCGCCTGCTCAGGGTCCTGCTCCCACGCCGACTGGAGCTGGAGCTCCGCCTATCGGGCCCCGTAATACGAACTTCCTCGGTGCGCGGCCGGGCGGGATATTCAATTATATGGCGCCGCCGTTCAATGGGTCGTTCACGTTCACAACTGCGATCCCTGTGAGGGCCTCGAGGGGAACTCAGACGCCTCAGCAGCCTCCTGCTACGAACGGTCCCGGTCCCGCTCCTACTACGAACGGTTCCACTCCCGCTCCTGCTCAAGAACCCGCTCAGGCGACGCAGGCTAATCCACCCCAACAAGCGCAGACGAACCCTGCTCCCGAAACACATACAAACCCACCACCACCACAGCCGCCCCATGTCCATGCGTTTGCAGGTGGCCCTCCTGGCACCGGTAATGCTCCGATGTTTGCGAATTTCATCAGGCATTGGGCACAACAGCAGCAGGGGGGAGTTCCTTGGGGTCAGACCTTGCCGAGAGCTCAGCCCCAGAATGAGAATCAGGTACCACCAACGTATGTGCCGCAGCCGGCACCTACTGCGAACGCACCGCCGCCACCGCCACCACCACCAGCTAACACAGAACCCACGGAGAATGCGCCTGCACCCACTGCTACGAACGTACCACCACAACCCGCAGCGGATGCTCCGCCGCCAACCCCGCGACCGAGGGCAGGCAATCTACCACCGTTGCCACCGCTCGGCGCAGGATTCCCCCGGATAGCGATGGATGGCGGGATGTGGATGGGTAATGCGTTTGTCGTTCCTGTTCCTGCCACGATGTTGCCGCCGGATATCTTCCCTGGTTTCCCTGGGATGGTACACGGGCAGGCGGGACAGCCGAACGCTGCTCGACCTCAACCGCAGGGTCAACCGGGGGCTACTCAACAGAACGCTCCTGCTCCTCAACCTCAGGCCCAGGAGAATGATGCTCAGCCGAATGCTCAGCCCGCGCCTCAGCAGCCACCACCCCGCGGACCGCCTCGACAAGGTGCTCCACGGTTCTGGACTCGTGCGGACTACGGATTTGGACCTGGCGCGCCCGGCCAAAGACACAGACCTCCAAGGGAGAAAAAGCCGTGGACGCTTCCTGCTCCTCCTGGAGCGACGTTGAGGCAAAGGGTCGAGCAGAGGGAGAGGGATGTCGGATTGAGGTGTGACGATGTTTCTTGTGGTCTGGCGCCGGAGGATGACGATCCTCTCCCTGAGAATGTGGACACGAAGATGGTGAGGCTGAGGCGTGTGGGTGCTACGGAAGAGGGAGAGACAGCTTGTGCTCATAGGTTCCATGCGGGGTGTTTGGTGAGTGCGGAGAGGGTGGCGGGGTGGGGCGATGGGACGAGAGGTGGAGATATGGACGATGGAAGGGTGCAGGTTGCGTGTCCGGCTTGTAGAGTTGTGGGTGAGGTGAGAAGGGAGGAGTGGGATGAGGGTGTGAGGTCGTTGGCTTGAAAGACTTTGATGCTTTTCGTTTATTGTGGTTTGTTCAGTCGGACCCTTTGATTTTCTCTTCTCTCTGTTTCTCGTCCAGTCGTTGCTATCGATAACCGTTCTTCACATCACTATGCAATTTCTTTTCTTCTCTTCCTCGGTACGGGGCTTTTAATCATATTTAACCTCTGTCATCTTCCTGTTTCTTTCCTCTTACAGATACTTTACGTTCCCACAGCTCTTTCTCACCTATCTCTGCATCTCTCGCTATCCCCGTGTCTGTACGGTACTGTTCCTTTTTGAAGTCTTCTGTCGTAGTCACTGAAGTTAGGTATATCTTGTAAAAGTGATCGTACTCTTCTAGCCCCAATATGATATTTTCCCGCCTATGAGCTGAAAGAATACACTGGTCGATCATGAGATGAAAGAGCAGGCTCGCCGATAATTATCACGAAAGCCGGCGAGTTGGCTCAAACTTTAGACTCCGCGAGAACATGGGCTGTGACTAACGCGTGACGGAACGCGTCGGACACCGTCTGACACCGTTTCGTTCTTCAACCATATCCTGCTGTCCGCGTCTTGGTTTTCTACGACACCAATAGGTATTGACGCGTGTTTCTTAGTTCTCGCGTATTACGACTGGCTTTCACGACCATTCAGTCTTCGAATATCCGTCAAATACTGTAAGTCCGTATGATGACTTTCGAGATGCTCTGTCACACTGACGAATTCACGCCTTGTCCGGTTCGTCATCTATTAGAACGCGATGGCACCAGTGGAAGAGAGTCAAATCGACACCTTCTCAGAACGCCCAGAAGTACGAAGCCGAGCGAAAGACTTATACAAACGTACCCGTCTCATTACGGGGCCTGGCACTGGATATGACCTTCGAGAAGGAGCTCCTGGGCTTCCGGCCATTTGTGCGCTGCTTGCTTGCGAAGAGTATGTTATCACAGATATTCCTCGTATCTTTTCATGTTTACAAGGATGTACTGATACTGATGCTGATGCCCCACGCAATAGGCTCAACTATCCGGACGTATCCGAGAAGATCGCACAGAAGTCGTCGTCTCTTGCGGCAAAGGTATTCCAAGCAACATTGCACAAAGTGCGCACCGCTCTGGCAGCGAAGGGCAAAAGTCGAGATTCTGTCGCTGTCGAGGCGTCTAGTCTGCGGCCTCACAAAGTCAAACGCCCAACGCTAACGTACCAGGTCATCATTGCCGACCATAAAATTGGACAGCAAGACATTGTGTCCGAATGGTTCAAGATGGTAGAGAAGGCTCTGCGTGGCCATAAGGACTTTCGCAAGACCTTCTCCTCGAGATCGGTTTCGAATGTATCCGACAGCGAAAGCTCGGAGGTGAAGGCTGCGGTGGCGTATTGGGTCATCAGAGTCCTCAAATATCAAACGGTAAGCGCCGTCTCGCAAATCCAACTGTGCATTTTTTGATGATCATGATCACTGCGTAGAAATTTAACATGCATCGCGCAGACCTTCTAGGCCGATATCACCTCCATGACACTACCTTTTCTCTGCTCGTGAAATTCATGGATACGGCTTGTTCTGAATGTGCCACTCAAATCGCCACGGAACGAGAGGCGTACAATGAAAAGCATAGGGCGAGGAGATCCCTGTCTAGACTGCCATCCGAAGATGCTTCCAACTCGATGGCCGCATCTTCGTCGACTGGTTTTCCTTCTCGTCAGTCGTCCATATCGTTACACCGCCCTCCTTCACCCACTCCTTCACCGGTCAAACGCAGCCGTCTCCAACTCTCTCCATCCAAGTCCTCCCTGAGATCTCTGACCTCGACCCCGGTCGGGAAGCGCAAGCTCGACTTCGTCATCCCTGCGAGCGATGGCCGAGCATCTTCGGCGGCAGAGGAGGACGAGTCTGTAGACGAAATGACACCTTCCAAGCGACAAAAACGTGACTCGTCGGTTTTCGCCTCTACTACCAAACACAAGACACCCGGCATCACTTCCAGATCCTACGACAAGTTCGACGTTCCTATGCCACTACCTCCTACAGCTCTTACTCCTGGGCCGAGGCGTGCTTCTGCAGCCGGGACTTCGACAACGACATCCTTATCGAGGCTCACACTCGAAGGTGCAGAACTATTCATGGACGACGACGACGATGAGGTCGGTCTTTTGTTGAAAGAGACAGAGCAACTCACAGATGACGACGGAGACGTCGAGATGTCAGATAATTTGTTCGCCGAAACGGTCACTCCTGCTCCGTCTGAACATGAATCAGAGGGTGCAGAGCCTGAGCCTTTGACACCTCGTCGGTCAACCCGAGTCCCTACATCGCGTGCCCTTCAGTCGTCCAACGCGGACACGACACCCAGATCCAAACAGTCCCGAAAGAACCCCTCGGGCTCTCGCTCAGCCGTGTCCACTCCTAAAGCCGACAAAAGTCCAACGAAATCTACGAGTAAAGCGAAAGCGTCACAGTCCACACCCAAAGCTGTCCGTACCGGCCACTCATCGGAGGACGTCTTGAATGGTGACGGCGCATCGGACGAAGACGAGGAAGACGATGACATTTTACCGCCTCCGCGGAGATCGCGTCCGGTACTTCTCGGGTACAAACAGTGGGCTAGTAGAGCACCCAGGGTGGAGAGGGAACGGAGAGCCGGTGAGAAGAGAGTCCAGGGTCTCGTGGAGAAGTACGGTGAACATCCTTTCGACTGGGTGAGGAATAGGGGCTCGGACCGCGGAGCGGTGGCTGCATGATGGATCGGGACGACATATGACCGATAGACGCGGTTCTGGGTGTACGCAAGTCTCATCTCTAGCGAAGGTCGAGGTACATCGAATGGTCATTGCTTTGATGTCAATAAACACGAGGGCATTCGCAATCTCACATAATCTTCCCCCGCATGTAGCCTCTCGTCGCCTTGAGCTGCCGCTCCGATCGTTCCTCAACCTCAAAGTTTTCTTCGTTCAATATGGCTATCCTCCTCTCGTCTGAGCCCATCACAATTACACCATCACAATCAGAACTCACAAACTCGCGTCTCACTCCACAACACCTCGAGACTGCTATCCGCGCCTTGCATCAAGACGGTCTCGTCGTTATCGAGAATATCATTCCCCATGATCTCATCGACCACCTTAATCCACGTATGGTACAAGACGCCCTCGTCCTTCAATCGCGCAAGGAGAACAGTCCATACAACTACAATCCGGGCAACATCCAACAAGATCCCCCTCCATCCTCCGAGTTCTTCCACCCCGAGATCTTCCTCAATCCCATCGTCAACCAAATCACCTCCACTCATCTCGGTCCTAACCCAAAGATGACCTTCATGTCTGCAAACACTGCACTTCCCGACCCTACACTATCGTCTCAGCCCGTCCATTCCGACGCCGATTTCGCACACCCCACTCATGCGTTCGCTGTCGTCGTGAATGTCCCACTCACGACGATGACGCCGGCTAACGGATCGACGGAGATCTGGCTGGGAACGCATACATCAGAGTTATCTGGCCCTCATGCTCAGGAAGGAGTACACGGGGAGCGTGCTTCCGGCCGCATCAAGCACGAGTATCTCGATAGTCGAAGGACAGTACGCCCGCCGTCACAGCCAGTCGTGAAGAAGGGCAGCGCAATTATTCGGGATCTGCGACTATGGCACGCTGGGAAACCGAACACGGTGCTGGATGGGAAAGGAAGCCCTCGGGTGATGTTGGCGATGATACACTTTGCGCCTTGGTATCGTAACGGGATGGTTCCGGAGATGGGAGAGGATGCGAGAGAGAAGATAGAGGGCGTAAGGGAAAAGTTGAAGGAGGTCGGAGGCTTAGAGGTGCCGATGGAGTATAAGGCGACTGAGGAAGTCTTGCAGACGTATATGACTAGACCGTTCGGTAATGCGTATGACTTCGGACAGGCAGACTGAGGGAAGTGCTGGAAGCTTATAGAATGAGTGTCATTTGAGGCTTCCGTGAATATGATGTGAATGGGGAAGTATGGCTTGAATCGTACAGGGTAAACGACTCGTACTCCACTATAGTAATACATAGGCGCCAGCTGACGAGATGAGAATCGAGATGACAATAAAAATCATAAAAATGGCCAAATACAGTGTCAAGCGTCTCAGATGATATGCTGAACCATTGGTGCTGACGGTTCGAGCTCTGGAGTCGGGTTATGAGCCGGCTTTCGACCCATCCTCTTGTTATTCCTCCTCCATTTCTCGATACTCTTGTACCATTCGTTATACCTCTCCTCGACATTATCCATCTCCCCGGGATCGTTTTGGATGTTAACCGCGGGCTGCTCTGGGAATCCCTTCCAGTCCTCGCGCTCAAAGCACCCTCGAAACACGTCAACATGGGTTATGGCCAACGTCCGGGAGAATTTCTTCTCAAAAGCGGTAGCGGCCTTCTCAGACGGCTTCAACTTCTTCATAAACTTGCCGAACGCCTTATCCGACTCCTCGAGCTTTAGCGCCTGATGGCCCTTACCCACCAACTCATGCATCCCTTCGTTCTTCAGCATACTCTGTCTCGTCCTTTCCGTCCAGAGCCATGGAGTCTTCTTCCTCAATTCGCGATGGCACAAGAAAGCAGGAGCCCAGGGTTGTTCTGACGCCCAGTCGGGGCCAAACTCCGGCAACGCGTATGGACCGGTGTCAGTGACTAAGGCCATGTTGAATGTGTACATCGCGCAGTCTAGTACGACTTCTTCATCGGCTGCCGTTAAAAAGTAAAGCCAATAATGATCATCGGGATCCTGTCCTGGCGTCATAGTTCGCTCCTTCAGGTTGAAGTAACCGAGCTTGTCTTGGAACGTCACGCGCGATGTACCCGCACATATCCCGAAATCAACGATTGGGGAAGTGCGGTAGCGAAGACGAAGTCGAGTCCCTGCGGGGGAAGTGGTGATTGATGACGTCGTGGTGTACATTTCCGACAATAAAGCAAAGCAGATGGCGGTCAGAATGGGGAGAACGTAACCTTCCCTGCGAATGCGCTCGAAGAATTTGTACCGGATTTCGTCCGACGCAGCAGCAGGCCACCATTCGTGTGGCCCGAGATCTCGAGGAATTCCGTCAAGGAGGACGATGTTGGCTGCCCAACCAGCGGGTGTTTCTGTGGGATGAGCGCCAGGTCCTGGATTGTTGATAATGCAGGAGTCAAAGGCTTGATGACGAGGTTTGAGAGGATGGTTGTGGGACCAGTCTACGAGACACGCGAGAAGCCCGTGGAAGGAGTTCAGTTCAATACGCTCGGTAGATCCTGGGTTGTCTTATAAGCAGTGTGTCATTACTTCAGTCGAACAAAAGCTCTCACCGCAATGTGACTTGTGTGTCTTCCAATCCTTGGTCTGACATGCTTGAGAGCAGTACGCGGCCTATCGATACTACATCTTCAGTATTCAGTGTAATCGTATAGGACAAAAACCTACATACCTCGCCGCACGCAGAGCAATATTTGAATTTGACACTTGCACTTCTCGCGCGCTTACAACTTGGTTCGGAGCAATTGCTCATGATGTCGGGTGGCAGATAGACCTGTCTCGACGCACATATCTGCTGGGGCGAGGGTACTCCTTCAGAATCATTGTCATTTTTTGCCGTGTTCCTTCCTGTGCGAGATTGGCATGATTAATTTGCTTTTCATCGCATACATAACTTCTTGCGGCGACATAGGGCGACATACTGCATGCAGATCTGTGGGACTTCCAGTCACGGTCTCGGCATTCTACGGAGCAATATCTAACCTGAAAGGCAACAACAGTCAGTACGAATAGATTTTACTAGCGTGGTGGATCTAAACGTGCCAAGTGACATCCCGAGCAGAACCTCAGCTTTGTCTCGTCCTGAGTGCCACAGTGGCCGCAGGAAAGACTCGAACTAGTACGATTTTCCTCGTCCGATGCGATATGATGATTCACAGATATGTTTGAAACCTCAGAATAATTCGTAGGATCTAGAAGGTTGCCATGGTTGTTTGACATGATAGGCTGTCCGAGTGAAGGTGGTGAGGGGGAAGAATTAAGTATGGGATTCTTGTGGGCGTCCGAGGAGGCGGGGTGTTTTGGCCCGTTGCGACATTCCGCGGCGGTCCCTTCTGAATTCAACAGAGCCAAACAAACGCCACACCGGCCCCGCCACATTGCTGATGACTATCCTACACGGTTCTGGTAGTGTATTCAAGCTTCTAACTCACTGTACGACCGAACAACGGTTTATTAGATGAGACACACTCATACAAAGTAAATCACCGAGTTCCATAAACCCTACCACTAAAAAGATCTACATTTATCAGAGAGCCCGGAAAGTGCCAAGTAAAGTACATATAACAAAACCCCAAGATAAGTACTGGCAAAGTGATGAAACTAATCACTCATAGACGAAGCATAGCACACCCCCCGTCGTGTTCATCACATCACCAACGGTTAAGCTCGGTATGATCCCGAAATAGTCGAGAGTGGTGTTGAGTGCTTGATGTATCGTCAGTCCATAAAACCAATAAGAAGATATAAGAAAAGACTGACTCGTATTCCTCCATCCTTCAAGTGGCTCGAGCTCTGTGTCCACGAAACCCGCAATATCGTAAACATTGCTTTCGTTAAGACCCTGCCATTGTGCCCATATACGGTCCAGCATTCCGTGATCTGCACGGCGTATATGAGGTGATCAGTCTATGCCTACGGGGATGAGAGAAAAGAGACGACATACGGAGATAGAACAACGGGTCAGATGGACTTGTGAGCAGGTTCAGCATGTCTCCACCTATGCCTTGATGACCACCGCCATGCATCCCACCACCGAGTCTGTCATGAGAGCTAGGGGAGGCACGATCGCACGGCATAAATGCGGCATAAGTCTCTGTTCCTACGCATTGGTCGACGTAACTGTCGACGAAGAATGGAATATCCAGTAAGAAGTGAGCTGCGTGAAAAGTATGAGGGAACAGGGAACAAAGTCTTACGATTGCGCGGTGTATGTTGTATTTGTTTCGTCGATGACCCTTGAAAGATAGTGTGGGGTATTTTCGATCCCAGGACCCAAGTTCAACGTCCAATCTGTGAATAAATACGCAGTCAGGTCATGGCAACAGAACGATGTTGCCTTCGACTCACTTGCAAAAGGTCCATCAACAACAACACCATCCGGATCCGTGCCATTGGAGCCAAAGTGTTCCGCCGACAACATCTCGGAAGTAGCCCAGTGTCCCGCCGCGGACCTTCATGCTCAAGTTTAGTATCGACTGTTGCTGGAACAAAGAGAACACGTACGTCCAATTCCAGTACGGCAGAGGTCCGGTGTAATTACACTCATTGCGCAAGAGAGTCTCCTGAGCGTGAATCAGGCCGCGATGCCATGGCAAGAATTGTCCAACAGGATGAAGTCGGTCTCCGGTCCTACAGCAGTGTGGAGTAAGACGTGAAGCTCATACTAAGAGAAAGCTCTTTATCACTGACCAAGCACCATCGACGAGCGTCCCATTCGTTTGTATTTGATGAGTAGCCACAAGGTCTTCCCATCTAGTGACGGCTCCCGTCGAGGTATTCTTGCTGGGCGCGGTGGCGAGACAGTTCACGGCATCAAAATAAGCTGATTGATCTTCCCTCTCGAGGGTGAACCTGGGGGTCAGACACTCAGCAATGTAGTCGGCGTTTACCAGTGAGAGGGGGGGCAGCGTACCATTCTTTCCTGACCGTCGGATTGGTACACTCCGACGAGCGACTAGACAGCGGTACGGATGCCACGAACGAAGAGAGGAAAAGCAGAGATAGAAGAGACATCCAGCGTTTAGAACGAAGATCCATTTTTGGCCGAAAGGTGGGTTTGAGGAACAGGGCAAAACAAGCTGGCTTTCAGAATTTTGATTGGCCTTATAACGGATAAGGATTGGCTGCGGTAAACGCGAGCGTGAAGCCCACTTCACGACCATGCTGAAGCATGGATCCAATCACAACTGAGGAGGTCAATTATCAGGGTTTAAGGTACAATGCCGTCAGCGACCAGCGCAGCATGAGAAAACAACATACAACGCAAGGAACAAGAAGTAGGAAGGTGCGGAACCGTGGCCACCGTGTTGTCTCTCTTCGCCTTCCTTCCCAACCATAAAGAGGTTGTCAGACAATCGGAGGTAGACGCCGCATCGACCATCTGCGGATAAAAGGAATTTAAGAGCAAGGAGCTACATTGTCCTGAAAGAATGGTGGTCGGAGGAGCATACTATTGAAAGCTTGGCGACTGCTACAGTCGCCAAGGACGATCGATAAGGGGCATGCGCGCGCAAAGCGCTCATCAACCCTCGCAGCACGCTTGAAAAGACATATTTGACGACAAGTCGCGTCCTGTGCACGAGATCTGCCAGGAGGTCCAATGAGAAGTAACATCGCCGTCCCTAACAAGTCCCTAAGATGCGCAGGCATGAGTCATACGGATTTCGCGATTCCGGAGCTCGTATTCAGAGGTCGGTCTTGAGAGGTCCATTCCAATGAATTAGGCACAGCGTATCGCTCGAGACGTGGCAAGTGTTCGCTACCCAAACACCGTCCGAGTCGTCGGGCGTGAGGAGACTTCTTCGATCGTTGAGTGGCAAACCATACAATGTTACGCCAACTGAGAACGTACCCGACAGCAAAGAGGATTACTTAGTGCGCAGATAGAATGAGGCAGGAGCACAAGGAGATTTTTCCAATAACGGGGGATGACTATGCAGGCAAAGACCAAGAAGCGAGCCGCTAGTACGAAAGACAAGGGTTGGATCTCGGAGGCGGCCGGGGCTAACGGCTTCTGAATTCAACAAGGACAAACAACCCAAGTAATTTGCAATTAATGAGCCTTCCGAGACCCCAGGAGATTTTTAGCATGATTTCAGCACTCCCTTCATTTCGCAAAAACACGAACAAGTGTATCATCGGATAGCAAAGGCTAACCGCCGAGCACATGGTTGCTATCTGGTTTGTCAACTTCCTGATGGGGCTGATCTTACGCAACTTGAAGGTTTTTGCTTTTTTCGGACGACTTGATTGGTTTTCTGTTCTCACCGCCTGCACTTCTGTCTCCCACGTGCTGAGTAAACTTTGAGGGCGCTATTACTATTTTTGGCGTGCCCCATTCGTAAAGCAGCGAGCACTGAGGTCGCTGCTACCGTCAGGCTTCTTCTCCTCACTGGCAACCACGAACTTGCTTTCATCCCTAGTAGTCCTCTTGGAGCTCCCGCTCGATGCATTTGACGGATTTCCACTCTCCATTGACATCTGTTGGTCTTCTTACTGTCTTGATCCTACTTTGTGCTTGGGTACGTAGACGTGCTCGGCCTGTCGTACCCTTACCTCCCGGACCGTGGCCGCTACCGATCATAGGCAATGTCAGGGATTTGACGCCGAAACAGCTTTGGCTCAGGGTCACTGAATGGGCAAATATCTATGGTACTTGTCTCTTTCTAGCCTCATGTAGAAAGGCGGCCAACTAACCTTCAACATCGTACTACCCTTCAGGCGACGTCTGTCATGTCCATGCCTTCGGCCAGAGCATGATCTTTTTGAGCAGCCCCAAGGCCATATCGGCTTTATTAGACGCGCGAGGCTCATTGAACTCCGATAGACCGAAGTCTGTCATGGGAGGAGAATTGTAAGAATAGATTATATCCGACGAAACCGTCAGACATACTAAAATGTGCATGGTCGTGATTAGGTGCGGATGCCACCATTTGGTAAGAGTTCGAGACGAACGAATGGAATACCTTGTCTGAAGGAGGTCTCTAAACCCCTTTATTATAAATCACCAGGTATCATTTGCAGACTACAACGATACATTTAAACGTCGCCGGAGGCTCATGCAGCGTGCCCTGGGAGCTCGGATCATACCATCCTATCATTCCTGGATCCAGGCCTCCACCAGTTTATTCATCAAAGACCTTCTCAGATCTCCCGAACAATACATAGCCATCACTCGCAAATACGCCGCCGGATTGACGTCCTCCGTAATTTACGGTTATGAGCTCAAGTCAGCGGACGACAGACTACTCATTCAGTCCGAAGATTGTCTCAATATTCTGTCGAATGAGATCGCCGCTGAGGGAGGCGTTTGGATGGTTGATATGTTTCCGGTTTTGAAGTATCTGCCATCGTGGCTTCCGGGCGCCGGTTTCAAACGACGTGCGGAGGTATTGAAGAAGAGGTTCTTTACGCTTGCTGAGGAACCATTCAAATTCGTGAAGATGAAGCTTCGGCAGGTGAGTGCGCTCGCGTTCTCTGCCCTCGGAAGATTTTTTTTGGACATGAGTCATTTACACCATATTTATATATGCAGCAAGTCAATCAACCTCCGTCATTCTGCTCAGTCCTCTTGAATAATCCAGAGGGAGATCAAACAGCTGAAGAGGATGATGTGAAGTGGACGGCCACTACAGTGTTCCTGTCGAGCTCTGATACTGTATGTGGTCGTATCTCAGTAGATCTGTTCACACAAGCAAACATTCTCTCCGCAGACTGTAGCCACTGTGTCTATGTTCTTGCTCGCTATCTTACTACACCCAGACGTTCTTCGTAAGGCACAACGAGAGATCGACGAAGTCATAGGGAAGAACCAAGTACCAGGCTTCGATGATAGGAGTCGCCTTCCGTACGGTGCGTCAAGTAACAATCTTCGCGCGATATCTGGGAGATCGCTGATGCCAATTGGTCTTCACAGTTGAGGCAGTCATGTCCGAGGCCTTGCGCTGGGGGGCACCCGTTCCGTTGAGTATGTTCGTATCTCGATCGACTGCTTCCTCCGACTCAGGTCTCCGTTGAATTGCCCAGACATACCTCACCGGGCAAGAGAGGAAGATATTTTTCGCGGTATGCGCATTCCGAAGGGATCTTTGGTAAATCCTCTCTCTCCCTCCGTCTTCCGTTCCATATCTCATCGCAAGCTTGATCCAGATTATCGCTAACATCTGGTAAGATGCTGTCCAAAAAATCAGACGATTATCGAGTGATGTGATTTCATGCAACATCGTAGGGCGATCCTGAGAGACGAGAAGCTCTATCCAAACGCGTCTACATTCGACCCGGAGCGATTCATGGCGCCAAATTCCACAGAGAAAGGTAACGAAAAAATCATTGACCCTAGAAACTATGTATTCGGTTTCGGGAGAAGGTATGTCCTACGGCCGACATCGACGACATCGGAGACTGATCCTACTTGGCATTCGAACCATCCTTAGGAGCTGCCCCGGTGCCGATCTCGCTGAAGCCTCCATCTGGCTCTTACTCGTAACCATCATAGCCACCCTCGATATCTCCGCCGCGCTCGATCCTTCCAACGGGCAGCCTATACGTCCTGACGTTGAGTTTAAGAATTCGTTCTTCAGGTGAGTGGATTCCGAGCCGTATTGTACAGTTTGCCACGGTATCGATACTCATCCTTTGCGCCAATTAACCCAGGAATGCAACCGACCTCAAGTTCAATGTTCAGGCCAGGTATCCACAGATTTTGTCGGTTTTGTCCTCATTGTAGTCTTGCATGTACCTGTTTACGATATATAACTTTCGCGGTGTGCGACCTGCGCTCTCCTGACTTTCATGATTCATTTCGGTCTGCTGGAAGACAATAGTCGCGGAATACTTTGCACGCTCCTGATTTGTGGAATCGAGTTCGACGGCACGCGCTTTCAGAGGCGGATGTGGCGGTGGCACCAAACATGTTCCAAGCCTCGATCGAATGCAGGTCAATAACCTTAGGTTATCTACCATGAATGTATCAAGAACGACCCCACACACAAATCACTCATATACAGAACACATCACATCGCCCTTCATATCCATGACATCGCCAATGGTCAGCCTGGGTATGATGCCCTGATAGTCCAGGACGGTGTCGAGAGCTGTGCCCAACGTACAAATCCGAGTCAGCATTTGTCTTCGTAACCCAACGAGGGTTGAGCATAAAAGTCATACTGGTATTTCTCCATCCCGAAAGCGGTTCAGTCGCCGTGTCATAAAACCCGGCGATATCTCCCAAACGGCCCTCGTTCTCGGCTTGCCACCGTGCCCAGACCTGGTCGAGCATTCCGTGATCTACATCCAAAAGCACGTCCACAGGCACACGAATGATCGTATAATAAGTACATTGCGTCACATATGATGGTACAATGGGAAATGGACGTACGAAGCCAGAAAATCGGATCATTAGGCGAAGTGGACACATCCGTCAAATCGCCTCCAACACCGAAATGCACGCCGCCGTGCATACCTCCACCGTGTATGGGCTCCGTTCGAGGATCGGAGTTGGCGCAGCGCATGAAGGCGCCGTAGGAGGTCGCTGACGTGCATTCGTCGACGTACCTTCGAAAGGTAACGGTGTCAGTGGGCTGGGATGGGGTCGTTCAAGATGGAAGTGAAAGGTGAAACTCACTTTTGATGGACGTAGGTTGAGTTGGTTTCGTCGACGATCCTCATGAGCGTGTGTACGGTGTTCACGGTGCCTGGCCCGAGATGAAGGGTCAAGTCTACGAACGCGGAGCATTAAGTCAGGACGAACTACTACTACGACTAAATGGTGAGTATACTCACTGCCGAAGGGTCCATCTACGACAGCATGGTTCGCTCCTATGCCATTCGAACCAAAGTGTTCCGGGGTGAGAATCTTGGCGGTCGAAAAGTGGCCTGCGTCCGACCTGAAAGTCAAAGATTCCTCGCAATGGGCGAAGGTCCACACATGAAAGATGAACATATATGTAACGTACGTCCAGTTCCAATAAGGTATATTTCCAGTATATCCACACTCATTACGTAGAAGTGTCTCGTGAGCCAGCGTGAAACCTCGGTGCCACGGTAGGAACCGGCCAGTCTTATGAAGGAGGTCGCCAGTCCTGCATTGCACGTTCAAAATATCAGTATGAGTGAGCTGCTGAATATTGGAAGAAGTACGGGATTAATGGGACTTACCAAGCACCATCGACGTACCACCCAATTGAGTTGAGCTGGTGTACGATTACAAGGTCTTCGTACCGCGTGGTGGCACCACTTGCAGGATTCTTGCTGGGCGCGTTGATGAGGCATAGCTCAGCATCGAAGTAGGCCAGTTGCTCCGCGCGTGTGAAGGAGAACCTGGGACGACCACCGTCAGCATACATGTCAGCAATGGACCATGACAGTCAGGACAAGGGTCGACTTACCATTCTTTTCTCACTTGTGGGACCGTGCACTTAGGCCGAACCAACACGCCAGTAGATAGAGATGTCTCGGATGATGGCAAGATGATACCCAAAGTCGAGACATAGAACAGTCCCAGAAGAAGAAGAGCACTCGCTCCGAGCCCACAGAAAAGATATCTTCGCCAAGATCGCGACTGTCGATCGCACGAACGTTCGTTCTCCGACGAAATAGATTCGTGGGCCAGTAGTGGCAGTAGCGATCCCGTCTCACCCTTCGCAACAAAAGAGCGGGAGTATTCAGACTTCATGAGTGCGTAAAAGACCGGTGATGACGCGGGTGAACTTGAGCGTGATGGCGACCTTCAAGAGTAGGGGTCGAAGGGGCGGTGAGCGAACCTGTGGCAGCCATGACCAAGTATCCGATCTGGTCCTGGTGGTCTGAAACCTTCCGAGAATCGGCGAAGATTATAGTGAGCGTCATATTGTCTCAGAGTATGACTACATTCGTTCACACACGGTTTCGGATATGGAATCAAGCTAGCCTATTATGACGGCCCGGGATAGCCATACATTGCCCTGCATGGCTCGCATTGATGTCCACTGCGTGACGATCACCCAGGCAGACCAAGTAGAGTGAAACTTGACTGCGAGTTACTTTAGAAGACAAGGTTAAGAGAAGTGGGCATGCATCGGTGCACGCAGATAATCATTCCTCTTCTGTGACTGACAATGCGGCATACAAATCCATAGAATTCAATTGCTAGTCAAGGATACCGTTTCAAGGTCTCAAGAAGCTCAGATGGATGCAGACGGAGAAGGTCTAAACTCTGAGGGGCCCAACAGTTCATGATGGTGTCAGTCACGATCGGGAGCAAAAGTTTGGGCCCAGTCACGACTGACTAGTGACTGGTGCCTTGTTTGGTCTTGTTGAAAACGGATGGCATTGGCTTCCGTCAATTACGTAATCATCAGCGATACCGGTCACGATTGAACAACGATTGAACGGATTACTGTAAACATATGTTCCTTGGTGCGCGATGCATTGATGACTGAAGTCCTGAGTCGTCAATGATACACTCAATGTCCGTACACCCATTGTCGCTCAGCGAGCAAATACAAACGAGGAATTTGGTAACAAATGGTTCATATTTACGAGCGGAACAAAACTGTGCACAACAGCAGGAGTAATTGACCGATAGCTGGATAGACTAGAACGATGATGGTACAGAGGAGATGATGTGTGGTACGACGACGACGACGACGAGACAGATATAGCGAACACGTTGGGAAAAGAGAGTCACTAATTCCTCGACACCTGTCTGGGTTGCGCGATCCGGACAGCTGGGCCAGTATATTCCCTCTTCGGGGTTTGGAACCAAAACTCAAAATTCCTTGGGCCCTCGAGCTTGCAGGTCACGTCTTCGGGTACGCTGAAACGTTCCTCCCCGGGCTTGATTTGATCCTTCGGGATGCCATGAGTCTCTTCCCAGCTCTTCACTTCGCTAGTGAACATGAGCGCCTTACTCCCAGGGTTCAGAGGCGTGATGAAGACTTTCCAACCTGGGGGAGAGTTGACGGAGCGCTTGCGGTCAAAGTCGAAGAAGTCGAAAAGCCACGCACCCGCTTCTCCATGCCAAACGAATGGAGAGCTGGGTGCCGTCAATGTCAACGCGGTGAATGTCCGTCGTCTGATCATGGTGCGGCTTAAGCTGACAAAACCCAGAATAACCACACACGCACGTCAAACAGGAGTGAGAACGAGCACTGTGATGTCCACGCGAGATGTCCACGCGAGATGAGAAAAATTTGGACTCACCACCGTAACTATCGGGTTCGCGTTCATCCGAGCATTCACCATCTCGTCGAACTGGTCCAGCATTGCGTCCAACTGAGACTCCAGAACTCCTTCCGCACGATACAACCTAATCAGGGCTTAATCGGTGGTGTACATGTTCTTGAACTCAGGTCCGTCGCCAAACCGATCGTAAAGGTTCTGGTCGAAGAGGTTGCCGTGCGTTTTGCAGGCCCATTGTGAAGAGGCTTTCGGGAGTATGGATGGTGGCGAGGTCGACGAGTTGGCTGACTCAGGTGAGAGGCACTATCTGCATCAGATAGTGAGGGGCTGGAGATACACGACAAGCATTACAAGACGCACCTTCGGTGAGGGCAGTCGCGCTATCGACTGTCACTGGCGCGGTCCGACCTGAGATGTCCGAGGTAGCTGTTCACGACGATGACCATTCATATTCTATGAGCAGAGAGAGTGCGAACGAGGAATTAGCAGGGGAGCTTTGAGTATGGTCGAACAAGGAGTTGGAAAAGTGGAAGGTTTGATGCCTTGGTTTCTCTAGGATTGGGTATTGGTTTATGTTCGTACGAATGTTTCTTTCCTGTCGGCATACGTATCATTGACTCGGTACGTTCCTCTATACAAGGCAGACGTCTCGATCACCACACTTTTCTCAACAAGACAAACCCGAACAACCACATTAACTTGCCCCGCGCTCCTGCTTCTCCCCCTAAAGATCGCTAGTCAGGGAATTATCGGGGTGTAGATACTATTGTCGGTGATTCACGGTCGCATTAATCTTTTTCGAAGATCGAGATGATGGGGAAGCGTAATTTGAGGAAATTGGTTGGAAGCAAACACGCGCAGAAGGCTATAGCTTCTGAATTCAACAAGGCCAAACAAACGCCACAGGAATGATTTCCCCTTTCGTGCGGCATTCGCCGATCTCGTGCTCTTGGATGCGAACTGCATGATCCTTGCTCGGAATTATGCAAGACTAGCTTGACTTCGGACTTGTGACCTTTTGATTCTTGGCATAAAGATCAGTCTCTGCGGACGCCTGAAGGCCTGAATCTCAGTGACCGGACTCATACGGCGCTGAAACCAGTACTGCCGCTAGCCCGAAACTCCTTCTGCCTTCCTGAACCATCCGCTTTTGCTCTGTTTGCGCTATGGATACTGCTGCACAACCCTGAAGATATAACCAGCACCGTCCTCAAGCTTTAGGAAAGACAAGATCAACAACTTCACCACCTCTCGAACCATAATCGTGATAATGGTGGTTCAACACGCTCATCGCGGTGAGAATGCATTCGCGATGTCTCAGAGACATCAACCGCTGTCTTCAAGTATGTACTCTTTCTCCTGCTCCAGGTATCAGCTCACTCATTGGCTTACATGCCCTGCTTTTGTAGCATCTCGCACTCCCTTGAAGTCAAAGACGAACACTGTGGCTCCGCCACACAGTAGCCCAGCACCATACAAAGCCGTTCCCATAAAGGCGACTGGGAAGACGGTCCTGAATAATGCTTTAGCTCCTCGACCCCTGGCCCCTCTCGTAGATGCTGCATCCACCTTAGCTCCTCCCTCCGAGAGTCCACATCCGAGAAGTGCCCTCATCGACTCGGGAATCAGGAGTATCCTCTCTTCGTCTTTGAATCAACAGACACCCAAACATCGAAGAACAAGTCTCAACCCCTCACCCCTACGTGATCAACTTTCGACTCCAAAGCAAGACATATGTACCCATCCCAAGCCCCAGTCCTCCCAAAATCCTAGACCTACGCCTTATCGACGACCCTTACCTATGTCCAGTACACGACACCTCAAACCTATCATTCTCTGTTCTCAACTATCGCCCGTAAAGTCTCCCATCTCTCCATCCACGCGCCGACGTCGCCTGCAACAACGCCACCAATACTTCTCCCGAGTCCAAGCCTTTCAACACGGCCAACCTCGCACCTTCATCCACGCACCTGTACTTTGGGATGACTGGATCCCCGCGGAAAGCGTTCCAGACTTCCAGGATATCGAGAATCTCGTGGTTCCGGAGTTGAGTGCTTTGGGGAAGTTGTCGGATGGGGATGCGAAGTTTTATTATCCGAGGGCGTGGAGGGCCAGGAAGTTGAAATTGAGCGCGAGGGGGACGAAGCCGTATAGGAGATGTGTTCGCGTTGCTGGTGTGAGCCCGTTTGCGCTTGTTTCAAAGGGCGTGAGGATACTCAGGGAGCGTCGGATGTATATGACTGGAGTTCCATATCAGACTTGAGGAAATGAGTAGGCGTCTGGTTGAATGCTATGGCTTACATCGACATACCGACGAAACTATATGTACAACAATGGCAATACTCTGCATACAACTGAAATTGTGTGCGTCAGAAATGAACAGAATTCCGGCCACAAAGTTCGGAGTGTGGCGACGCCATCCTGGCGGGCTCATCATCGTGCAGCATGAATCAGAACCACGTGGGGTGCTTTAGCTGCTGTGTGCTCTTTTCGGCTCTGCAGGTCTTCTGCTCTCTCGCTTCCACGAACAGCTCTTGTCAGCTCTTGTCCCCATCTTCTCATCGTCGTTGTCACTCACGACGACGCCTCTTGCTCAGATACTGTCGGACCAAGCCAGAAGAGTGTCTCAAGTCAGACAGCCACAAAGCCAAGCGCGTGTCTAAATAGCTTTAGGGCTGGTCTTTTCGCGTCCGATTCGCGTCGCCACGCTCGATCTCCCTCTTTCATTTCGCACCCATATCCACATCTGTCGCTCGTCAATCCCCTTGCTTCGTGATCATCTCAACATGCCTTCTCGAAAGACATCGAGACACTATTCCCCAACATCGCCGCCTAGTCTCTCCATGAGCGAGCTCATCTGTAAAACGCTCGACCACGACGCCACCGACGTTCTCATCGACAAATGGCTCGAACATCACAACGACGCGTACTGGGACTGGTTCCAGCGCGTCCGAGAACGGCGACACGCAGCTAATGTATCTGTCTCGCGGGCCAACGCCGAGGACGGTGGGAGCGAGTCGGTCCTAATGGGCGCGGGCTCGCAGCTGTTGCTCTGGAATAAAGGGGATTTCGTGCCGGAGAATGTGTTCATTAAGACGGTGGATACGGCGAGGTTGATACCACTGGATAGGACATGGACGACCCATGTCTATCATCATCGGTCTATGGAGGATAGGAAGTTGTCAATGATGCCTGTCGTGTTTACTATGGTGTGTTTCCGCTATCTGGATCGTCTGGAGTGGTGTGCAGTGGATCTGACAGCCGCGTTTAGCTACCAGAGTTGATGTTGCTCCGTGGTATGCATGATCACGGGTGTGATGATATATTCATAATCGTTACGGATATGAAGAGGAGCGAGATGGACATGGCAACGGAGTATTTCAAGCTCGTGTGCGGTCACACATTCGGTCCGACATTAAAGCAGAGCGCAGAACGCGAAATCCACTATCAACGTATATCTACCTCTTCCCACTCATATCACCGATGGTCTCTGACCATCTTGCTACGCTCTTTCGTTCCTTAGACATGAAACTGACACACGCACTGAACCGTCAACGACGAACACCCTGTTTCCCCCAAATCGACCTCGCCTTCCGCGCCATCCTACACGAACACCGACCTCCCTTCATCATCCTCTTCTCGCACCAGACCACCTCCTACTCGCAGATCTTCTTCACCCACCCGCTCTTCGTCCCCGCCTCCTCAATATACTACGACTTCCCGTCCGGCTGCCCAAATCCCTGTTGCACCGAAGAATGCGAGATGGTTCGATTTCCCAGGAGTGGGCTCGAGGGTGCCGCAGTGTTACCTATGAAACGGGGGAAGGGATGTAGATTTGGGAGGGTGAGAGCGAGAGAGCATTGTAACTGGATCGATTGCGATACGGTGTTTGAAGAGGAGGGATTGGTCATTGGGGGTAGTGCCGCGGAGGGTGGAAGCGAGAGCTCGCGGACGAGCGAGGAGGATCCGACGATAGGCGTGGTGGGGTATGGGGTGAGAGCGAAGGGCGTGAAGGCGCAGGTGTGCAGTAAGTGTCGGGTCGTTAAGTATTGTTCGGCAGAGCACCAACGGAAGGACTGGGAGGAGCATAAACGAGTGTGTGCGAGGCCGGCGTCGGGCTGATTTGTGGTCGTCGTGCCTGGTCTCTTTGGTCATCTTGCAGCGGTATATCCAAGTGCTTCCTCCAGTTTCACTGTGCATTTGCTATTGTAACTGTGTCTGTTTTTTTTTCATCACGGTGAACTGTGTCTCATTTCGTTCTGCTAATTATTGCGAACTTTGCTCGTTCCATGTTGAACTAAGGTTCCTACGCTTTTCTGTGATCGTCCTCCCTATATATCCGTTCTTCTCTCTTCCCCACTGTGTCATCACCCTTCTTGCTATGTGCTGTACTGTGTAGCACTAGTACTGTACGACTTGTTATTCTTCAAGGTTCTCGTTCTCGTTCTACATAGCGCCGTGGGGTCTGCCTGTATTTAGTGGCAGCAAGACTGCGTGCGCCGAAGCTGTTCTCACCTTGTACCATACGACCTGGGTGCATGTCGGATGCCCAATACGAATGTTTGAAACTTTGCAGGATGTCGGTGGACTACCCGAGCCGACTCACAATAGGCAGGATTTTTCTCAGTTCGACACAGTTTTGCCGGGCGGAACCAGAGACCTCTGTGGCGTCACAGTGGCCGGTGCATTTCTTTTTTTCTGTAGAACACAACTTTCGCAAGCGACTGTCAACCTTATCGAAAACAGCTGTAAAATCCAACAAGAACACGAGATCGGCGAATGCCGCATATCTTACCTGCGTTATCGAAAGGGGAAATCACCTTCCGGTGGCGTTTGTTTGGTGTTGTTGAATCCAGAAGCTATCGCCTTGTGCGCGTGTTTTCTTCCTTCCGCTTCCAAATCTCGACGCTCCGAAAGAAGATTAATGTGACCTTGAAACACTGGCAACAGCGCCGACATCTGATAATTCTCTAACGAGCTATATATAATCGCACAAGTCAATATTGATACCACGACACTCGTACCAACAAAAACCAATCCCCAATCCTAGAGAAACCAAGGGTTGTAGTTCGTCCATCAAACCTCCCACTTTTCCAACTCCTTGTTCGACCATTCCCAAAGCTTCCCCGCTAACTCCTCGTTCGCACTCTCCCTTGTCATAGTATACTTCACCCCTACAGGCCCATAGAACTTTCCATTCTCAAGCTGGCCCCTCTCCACCGTCGCACACCAAAGCTGATTATACGCGCCCTTGTCCGGATCCATCACCCCCAAAGGATTCGTCACATGCACCAGCAGCTTCTTCATGAACGAAAGGTCGTTCACCAGCCCCGTCCCCACCACGCCGGGATGAACGGAGACCGAGATGATCTCAGGGTAACGACGTGAAAGCTCGGATGCGTATAATATGTTCGCGAGTTTGGATTGACCATAACGGACCCAGGAACCTCCAACTGCGTCCTGCGTCGTCTTCACGCTATCGAACTGGATACCTCCGGAGGGATGGCCCCGATAGCCGGTCGAGGTGAGTGAGATGATGCGAACGTCCGAGTTCGGCTGTGATGCGGTGCGAACGAGTGTCGGGAGGAGGAGTTTGGTGAAAAGAGTGTGGGCGAGGTGGTTCACACCGAATTGGTTCTCGTATCCGTCCTGCGTAAGACCGGCGGGTGTGGCCATGACTCCTGCGTTGCACATGAGGATGTCGAGTCGGTCTGACGTCTCGAGGAATTGGCGAGCTGCGGCTGCGACGGACGAGAGGGAGGCCATGTCGCATTGGAGGAATGCCACTTGGACGGCGCTGGTTGTGTTGGATGCTTTGAGGGTGTCGAGGAGAGATGTGGCGCTTGTGGCGTTGCGGCCGGTGAAGTAGATGTGTGCGGGGTTATGTTTGGCGAAAGCTATGACTGACTCTTTGCCCAAGCCTGCGGTCCCTCCAGTGACGAAGATGACCCTCCCGGAGAGGTCAGGAATGTCTTTCGTGGGGTCGAATGTGACGCTATGACTACAGGGCATGGTGCGACAGTCGAGGATTTGGGCGTCGAGGACAGGGCTCGTGTTCCGTTGCTTTGCACCTCTTGTACTCACTATCGCACGGCACTCTGCCGCACTTCGGAATATATCGGTGACGTCTGACGCGTCGCTGCGGCATGCTCACCTGTGCTCCTGATCTCGGTGAAAGCTATTCGTTGTGAGCAACACTGGGATTCAACTGGGATTCAGCTCAAGGCGTCCTTAACGCCGAGTCATCGGCGTTACCAGCCGAGATAATCAAAGTGCACTCTTCCGATTCGGTGACGGCCAAGATGGGATTTACCATGGACCTAGTTGATGCATGGAATGGCATCTAATGGTGAGGCAAACATAATGGGCCGGTAGGACGGAGTAAATGGCCAAGGATGGGCGAGGTCAGTGAGCTTTGAGCATGTATTAATAGCATCGCGAAATGTCCATTATCCGTCAGGCCTTCGACACAAGACAATGAGGCGGTATGAACATCTCATGATTGTACTTTTATCAGGTTTTATGGGATCTTGCTACGGTTCGAATAGTGGTTATACAGGCTGTGGCAGCTGAACAAGTGGCGTCCCGGCTCGTCCCGAAAATCGGAAAGATTATAGAATAACCACAACTCGGAGCTCAGCAACGGCGGAGTTTCTACGTTCCACTAGATTTTTCATGACAACTTGACGTATCTTACGGAAAGGTGCGGGGTCTAGGGCGCCGCAAGAGGATAGGCAGTGATGCCACTGATGCCTTTTACTCAGGAGATGTCCACGACTTGCCCAGTAAGTACCTTTCGGCGCTTCGACATGCGAAAGGAGAGGCCTTGACAGTCATGATTATAGTACGTCCATCAGACTACATGTACAAATACAGTATTATCACATTTACATAGTGTCTTGTTACAAAGCTAGAAATACACGCTCATCGCACCAATTGTGGTTCGCACATCAAGACGAGATAATTTCTTTGGCTCGTAGGCAGCGATTGGCGCGCACGAGTCAAATCCAGAAGATATCAACGTCCTTCCAATGATTTACCAGCCCTCCAAAGCCTTCGCAGCAGCTCTAAGCTCTTCTTTCTGTTTGACTTTCAAATCTTCTGAGGCTCGAGACAGTGGATCGGAACGGCGGCGAATGGAAGTTTGTGGCTTGGGAGGAGGATGTACTGGTGCTGTGCTTGTACGAGAGAGGCTCGGTGTAACAAGGGATTGATGTGGCGATAGAAAGGCGCGAGAAGGGGTGGGAGAGCCGGCACGAGGGACGTCGATGGGACGTGGCCTGGTGGGCCCAGGGTTTTGTGGTATGTGGTCGTGATGATGGAAGTGAATAGGAGGGGCATGATGGTGAAGCGCCTGGTGAATCGATAAGGAGTTCGATGGGTGCGACGGACGGCACTGGGACGCGATTGCGTCTGATCGACCCATTGCAGCTGGGGGTTGACTATGGATGATAGGTGCACGGGGCGACAAGGATAACGAAACGTCTGTAGCGTCCAGATCTCAATATAAGCTTTATGCGAGGCAAACGACCGAAGAAAAAAAAACTACCTTTGTTCGACATATCCCTTTCCTTTCCCTTCAGAATGCTTCGGGATGGCCTAGAAGACATGTTTGGCCGCCCTGTACCGCCTACTATCCCGGACGTATGGGAGCGTCGCCTCGGGCTCGGCGAGGACGCTCTCTTTCGTTCACTCGGGCCTGCGAATCCTTTGAATAAACAGCAGGGATTTTGGAGCCTGGCATTATGCTTACTGGTGTCGAACCTGACACGTGAGCGATTTTGGCGCTCTAAAAGAGCTGTTACCGGGCGATTAAGTGACGCCATACGTTCTGACTTTGAGGAGAGGAAGGATTTGAGTGGAAGAGTTACAGTGGGAAGTTATATTTTGTTTGCAGACGAGCAAACGGCAGTGATGCGGGCAAAGGAGGATATACGATGATAATGACCGCTGAGATCATATATAGCCTTGTACAACCTGGCAAAAGCTGTACGGGGAGTGTGGGTGTCATTGCCGGTTCTAGCTTGTATGTAGATCGACAGACCAACGTCAAGGGTCGTGGAATGACCGAGTGTTCGTGGAGCGGCCGATTCCGGGTGACCACGTGGAGGACACGGCGTGTGAGTTGCGCAGTGTTGAACATTTATGGTGCTTGATCATGTTCTCTTTGCAAACGTTCTCCTTCGAGCTCATACTGTTGGAACACTCAAGTCTTGAAACTATCTCGAACTATTTCCGAAGAAAAGCTTAATAAAACCTTCAGATTCCGGTGAGCAAGTGTCTTCTTGTTTTCGCCTCATGTTCTGCGCTCGGACTTCTGGACTTCGCTCAGCTGGGACTCTAGCACAGCGATCCCCAGATCTTAGTTAAGTATTATACCTGAATCTGGATCACAATGCTCTAACATGTCAATGTTGCCATGATCAGTATGTTGTGCTCTTTCTCAGCTTGCTTCCTGATCGATCCTTCTTATGCAGCATGCCTCATATCTATCCCCATGAACACGCCTTCCCTTCTCACTCATGGTCTCGTGTGCATCTAGCTCATTTCCTTTCTTGAAGGTTCGTCTATACACTGCACTGAAGCCATTACCTTTAGAATTTCACCTCAACTGTCTAAGTTGTCGTTCAGGTTCGTCCATGGCCGAGAACACACTCGTACCATAACTCCTTCTATCTAATCCTAGGGCTCAAGCTTCCTCTGGGAAAGACTGGCAAGGGTGTCCTTCCGAGCCTTCCGTGTAGCCATGTCTCACGTCGGAAGCTATCAAACTCTGAACGTCCCAAGACCATCAAGTGTTTCTTCGGGTCCTTTGATCCTGCTATCCACGGATGGCTCGCTGGGGCTAGTCGGAGTCGGAGTCGTCGATGCCATTGTACTCGCTGTGGTGCGACACGTTCTGCGCTCCAACACCCTCATACCCCAATGGTATGGCATATTATATGTGCTCGCAAGCACTTCCACCTAGAAGTCCTTTGCGTGAAAGTTTGCTGCCCGGCGCAAAGAGGCTCCAATATTAGGACCCGCATCGGGTGAGCGGAGGAGCATCGCCGACATGTGGCGTAGAGTTTTGAATCTTCACCTTCATGCATCAGGTTTCGATGCTAGTAGGATCTGTGGCCCGTGGTGCTGCAACAGGACTCGCCTCTCCTCGAGGTCGTGTTCGCCACTGGGAACACAACGTTGCACTCCCCATGCCCCCTTGTCAATGGCACATGCCCTTTCTTCCCTCCCATCTTAACCTTCTCTCCGGGCCTGCTCGGGCCATGACCGGTTGACCCTTCGGTCAGTCGTTTCACATTGAGGCTGAAGGCGTGCTAGTCCACTCTCGCCTGTAAGCTATGGATAATTCAAATTGCGATCGATCGAGCTTTCCTATAGTGCGCGTTCGTGCCATTCAGGCTGCCGTGCAATAACCCTCACTTGTGAGTATCCTGAAGCTTGAACCTTGGGAAGTTCAGGCTTCAGAATGGTGTCCGTATGACGCATGTACTGCGATCTTTCATTCACATCCATCTCTACAGTGCCGGCCTGTCTGCGCATGATGTGACATCGATATGTAGCTCGGCAGGATACATAGGGCTCGCTATGCCCATGGGCCATGGGCCACCGATGTCTCCTTATGATGCAGCCTGCAGGTCGCTATCCACCACTGAGGGCTTTGTAGAACATCCGGAATACCACACAGAGACCGTGCGGCTGAGAGGACTATTCGTGGCAAGACGCCTGTATGACTGGAAGGCGACGTTGCCTTGGATTGCGCTTCGCCTTACTCGTGTGGAACTTGATAGCAAACACAGGCAGAGGATCCAGCGCGTCATCGCTATCTTGAACCCTCCTCCGCCTAGCACGGTGCACTCCTATCCTAACTATGACTTGGGCGTCTGCTTTGTGTGGCGTCATACCTTCTGCTTCCGAATGAGAGGTAGCTCGGAACGGAAGAGGGACACGGCGTTGTATGATGGGTGTGAAGTGATGGGATTGCAGAGCTTAGCGACCTACTAATGAATGCATGGAAGACTACGAAGCTTTGAAGTGTGGGGGTGAACATACGGGAAGAAAGAGACACCAACCGAGTTTATGGATGACATAAAAGAAGATAAAGGGGGTGAGGATGCTATGGCTACGAGTTACGAGTGAACGAGCTACATCTCGGGGGACCCCGCCAGAGGATCAGAGAAAGCCGCGAAAGACGGCAATATGTACACGTACAACGGTACAGACGCCTGGAGGGCGCAAGAGAAAGCGATGCGTAGAAGAGCAGAAAACTGACTAGTCGAGGTTAATATGGGATTGGAAAGAAGAGGAAAAATAAAAGGCGAGGGTCCCGCAGAGTGGGATGGGCTGGTGAGATGAGGAATGACGAAGCTCATGCGATGCGTTACTGCGATAAACGATTGAGATGTGGTGGCGTAAAGGCAGATGAGGCATAGTGGTATGAAGTTGCAGAAGGATATCACGAGGTAAGAGGCGACTAAGTGCGGTTTCCGATATGAAGATTAACGAGAATGATAGCAGGGCACGAATAAATGGACGATGCGAGCAGATGAAAAGTGGTGGTGACGGCGTGCAAGGTGGTGGTGATGGTACAAAGAGTGATAGAGCCAGAGGGAACAAGACGAAAACACAGATATGATAGCGTTTAGAGAGAAAGAAGAAAACTGGGGTCCGGCCCTGATCCCCGTCAGGCGAAAGGTAAGTGACGGTCCTCAGTACGTCGCTGAGACGCATCCTACAGACCGCGAGCAAGGATTCAACGACCATAGTTGGTCTGATACCCAAGCTTGAGCATCCAGGAACCGTCCGGATACTGCTTCTCAGGCGGCGTCCAGTCCATTCCCTGGAAGTACGTCTTCCCCCGTAACAGATCCACTCGACGCATGCCCTTCGCCTTCTCTGCGTCGGACTTCATCGACCTACATCTTTCCTCGAAGAAGTGCTGGCACTCCCGCACTCTTGGTCCGTGACTCCTCTTCTCCGGCTGCGTCAGTACGAGATTACAAGCGTCGTTGATGGCCTCGAATACATCGACGCAGCGGATCCCTGCCGGGCGCGAGACATATATTGGCCATTCAGGAAGCTCATCGCAGCGAATGACCATGTCCTGCAAGGCCGGATTCGCGGCGGGCTTATTGCGCTCGATAGTCGTGAGAGGACGTGGAGGGTACGTGTACAGAAGACGGATGTCTTCAACACGTTGAGAGATATCGAAGATGACACGCGCCTTGGAGATCTGGTGATTGTAGGGGAGAAGCTTCCAGTGGAGAGAGACTGGGGGCATGATGCCTACAAGGAGATGGTGAGTCATTTATAGAACTAATCTCCCGACAGAACGGCCATAGGGAGATGAAAACGGAGTTGACGAACATACCTAAAGGCGATGGACGATTGGGAGGTCTTGTAGCTCTGGGGTCGCCGCGTGGAGGCACAGACGGATAACGCGAGGGTTTCTCAGGACTGGAGGCGTAGCCGTCCAGTTCGTGAGCTCGAAGCGGTCTAGGTCTTACGAGGGGCGTATCCTCTATGGACGATCGCATCGTGTCAGCCAACACAAGACGACGAGCGTACGCACTAATATTGGATCACGGTCTATCAAGGGATATGAAGGACTCACTCTTCAGAATCCCTTTCGGCTTCGATGGTGCGGGTGGTCCTTCAGCGCTAGTCGTCGTCGAGCTTGCATCGGATGGGCGTCTACGATTGGCTGTGGACGTCGAACTGGTTATAGTCGATGCCTCGGGGGAGGTACAGTACCCCTCGTCGACACTGGGCATGCGAGGCCTCTGCGCCCTTATCGGCTTTGGCTGGGCTATATCGGCCCTCGCAGAGGGTAGAACTGGGACGGGAGTGCTACTCCCTACGTCCGGCAGCTTCTTCGTCCCTAACCGCGGAGCCTTGGGTGTCCCGGCCGGCGACGAGACTGAATCTCTTGTCTTCTTGAGCTTATTAAACATGATGAACGACGTGCGAGCGAGAATAGAGCCGAAGGTCGTGATGTTTCGTAATACGTGGTATAGAAGAGTGTCAGAGAGCGAGAGCGAGAGCTGAACGTAGGGAAAGCAGATGAGGGCCTGCAGACGACATAGAGGTCGATTGATCAGCTCGCGATAGCGAAGATCACGACAGTAGGACAGTGCGAAGGATGTAGAAGTGGAAGATAGAGAGTGCTACGCACCTCAATGTCTGCACAAAGTGGAACAGATGCAAGCGCAGCTAGACAGGCCTTCAGTACCGTGTAGGCCAACGGGAGCCCCACATTCCAAGTCCTGGTCCGACTTATGAGGAGAAACCAGACGCACGAAAAGGGAGGACAGTGGACTGGGGGAGCGTGGGGTAGGCGAGCCGAACGCGCGAGCCATTGGCGAGATATACGTCCTCGAGGGGCACACGAGGCAAACAGTCGAGGGCCGATGCCAATTGACCCGGGCGCAAAACTCTTTCCATACGCAGGCCTCGTGGTCGGAAAAAGTCGTCCTGGACCAATCGCAAGGTCGTGTGGCAAAAGAGTTCCTTTCTTCGACGTGCGTGGTTTGTCCGATTTGTCATATTCTTCTGGAGCTCCTTCGTATCTTTGCCACTAGCGCGCGCCTAGCCGGAGTCACGATCCTTCCCATGAGTCTGCTTTCGGGACTGTACTTTTGCGATACGGGTTCGGAACTGCAAATCGCAGTACTAGTGTCATGCATAGTACGCAGAGTAAATCCTTAACGCCTGCACTGCTAACCACAGTATACATAGACACAGAAAGACGCTCTGAGCTGTGAATAGGAAACAAGTATACGATGCAAAGCAGTGAAGGCGGGAAACAGGAATATCGATTCTCGGAGCAATCTTGTCAGAGGTCAAAGCGCTCGTAACTCGAGGTCCGACCCCACTCCGCTTGGGAAAGAGACGCAGTGCGTGGCTCTGATGGAACAAAGGACGACTCCACAGCTTGTGTGCGGGGTGCTCGGTCTGATGCCTTTGCATGAGTGGCAGAACGAGTGGCAAAACCAGAAAGCCACATACATAGGAGCGAAACGGAACTAGGGAATAAAGGATCCGTGACATTCGGGGTAAGGGCCATCGAGGCAAAGGAGCACACAGAATGCCCTGGCGGGTTTTCAACATACGAAGAGCTAGTTGCGAGAGGTTTCACAGATCAACTCCCTTTGGCCAGTATTCACAATATATCTGTTCCAGACCCGTGGAGGTGCAGACATGGAGAGCGACCGCCATGGTATGGATGACGATCTTCCCGAGCGTGCTCCGATACTTCGAAAACGATCGTTAGTACTTCTCCGCGTTGTTTTAAGTGACTTAATGTTCGCTCCTGACTTAAGAACAAACTCAGGTCTCAAAAACGCACGTACCATCGTTGCGAACGACTACTCTGTAGAGGGTGCGAGCCTGAGTTTAACGCTCGAAGTCATATAATCAACGACCTAAATAGCAAATCAGCAAACAGAGTAGGTCAGGAACAAAAACGAGGCTAACTGAACGTTTGTCGGATGATTGTCGAAACCGAAGGATCGACAGTAATGACGATATTCCTTTATCTCTATTTGGTAGTCAGTGACATGATCCGACGACCTCTGGAAAAGGGAATGGATAGGTGGCAAGCTTTCGACAGCCCGATACACGTACAACTGCAGAGAACGAGATCAAACTGGTCTAGACCATAGTTAGCCCGAAAAGTACTTGTGGATCTCGAGAAGAGTACGTACCGAATGCCCCGTACGTAGCGTCCATTGCTCGACATTTACGCCTATTTACGTCTGTCCAGCCTTATCATCGCTTTGAACAGCTTGGACCGGCTTTTGTAACAGCTGGCGCTATGCGACGAGCAGGACCTGTCGATGGAATCCATACGTCACGATCGTCCCTAATAAGGGAAGCTGCTATGGCGTGTCATTCATTTCACCTTGAAATGGCAACAGCAACAATCGGGCCTGCCAAACGTGGTTCTCCTGCACGGTACAAATAATCTCCATTCGACCTGTTTGGAGACAAAGTGAGTCAGTCGTGAGACGGCCTTTGTCTGAATCGCGAACGTCAAATGGGTCTATTTGGTATAGCGAGGTCACTGAAAAGAAAAGGATGTAATTAGACAATGGTCTCAGTGCATGCTGGAATATACGCACACGTACGCACCCCAAAGAAGCGTAGGAATAGACAAGACGGCGTCACACGGACAGCATCACAGCGCGGTCGTGTAACGTCTCCGACTCTATATGTAGAACCATTACCGGGGCATCGAAAGATACTACAAGACCAAGTCTCAATTAGGTTTGACCTCTTGAACGAAGAGGGGGAAGGGACTGGCGCTACTTCCAACCTGCAGGTTCAACGAATATGGCGATACAAGCAACAGCGCCTCATCATCAGTAGAGGTGCTACATCAAGGTGGAAGCAGGCTATGCAGGAAGAAGACACATTACCCCGACATCGAAAGATGCTCCAAGACTAGTTTGACATCTTGAACGAAGACGGCGGAAGGACGGCGCTGCTTCCAACCTGCAGGTTCGATGAATATGGCGATACAAGCGACAGCGCTTCATCATCAATCGATGTGCTACAAAAAGGTGCAAGGAGGCTATTTAGGAAGAAGAGATTTCTGGCGGCAAGGAATCTAAAGGAAGAGCAGGGAAGCCATGGGCCCTGGATAGTCCGGTGGCTAAAAGGAAGTTGAACGCAGAGTAAGGCGACACAACAGCACGGAACACATCCCAGCCGCGCAGAAAATGAACTTCCAAGCTGAGAAGTGGCCTGAACCGTCACAAGGCTACATTGACGGCGCAGTACCCCTTCATATAAGTGTAAGAGGAGATGGACGTCCCGCAGGGTCTCAGCGAAGTGAGGGTGGCGCGCCACACGCATGAGCGATGAAAACCGACTCCGGAGTCCGATGAGATCTGAGAAGCGCACTCGCTTGAATTGGACAAAGGTCAGCTACATAGAAACTAAAATGGTAGGCTGGCAAGACAAAATTCGAGGGACCTCTAGGGAAACAATACTACAAGGTCTGGCTCGAGAGTACTGGCGAGAATGAATGTCGGTCGACGGCATCAAGTTGAAGAAGACCCTCCGTTGAGGACATGTGGGATATTTCCCTTGTAGCATATCTAGAGATTGCGTGGCAGAAACTTACAAATTAATTATGATGGTTGTTAGTCGACATATATATGATCCTCAGAGTTGGTCGAAGTAAGGGTATTGTTGTGGGTCTTGATGAGAAAAAGCGCACGAGTCAATGGCAGTGGTCGGCCAAAGCCGGAGTTTAAAATATACGGCAAATGCCGGAGGCACCGAAAGTTTCTGCCCACATTTTGTTCGACGTCTTGCTCGACGTTCTCGACCACCTTGCCGCTGTCCCTGTCGGCGACCACTGCCCTCAAAATGGCGTCTCATATTCTTTTCGAGTCTGCCTCTGGCTATGCTATCTTCGAAGTCAAACTCAAGGACGATGTCGGCGCCATGACCAAGGCCGTGCAGGACTCCATCGCAGACCTCGCACGGTTTGGAAAAATGGTCTCTTTGGTTAGCTTTGCGCCCTTCAAAAGTGCAGCGCATGCGCTGGAAAATGCCAACGATATTTCAGAAGGTGAGTTACGTCTGAAAAATATATTTGAGCTATATCTAACCAGCCGTAGGTACGGTGAACGAGGACCTGAAGTCTTTACTGGAGCTCAACCTCTCCAAGCCTTCGAAAAAATCCACAATCGTACTCGGCGTCTCCGAACCTATCCTTGCCAGTTCCATCAAAGCTGCAGTCAACATTCCTTGCGACACCTCCGAATCTACCGCCGAACTCCTTCGCGGGATTCGTCTTCATGCCGCCAAACTCCTCAAAGGTCTCGAGGCCAACGACATCACCAAAGCTCAGCTCGGTCTCGGCCACTCATACTCTCGCTCAAAGCTAAAGTTCAACGTGAATCGTATCGACAATATGATCATCCAGGCAATTGCCCTTCTCGACCAGCTCGACAAGGACGTCAACCTTTTCTCCATGCGTATTCGCGAATGGTATGGCTATCACTTCCCAGAGCTCGTCAAAATTGTCCCCGACAACTACCAGTACGCTCGCGTTGCACAGTTCATCGGTCCTAAGGAGACTCTCAACGAAGAGAAGCTGCCCGACCTCGCCGCTATCCTCGATGACGATAACACCCGTGCCCAAAATGTTCTCGACGCCGCTAATGGATCCATGGGCTCATCACTCTCCGAGGTCGACATGCTCAATATCTCCGCATTTGCCGGCCGTGTTGTCTCTATCGCAGAGTACCGCAAATCTCTCACCAGCTACCTCACCGAGAAGATGAACCTCGTTGCACCTAGTCTGACTGCGCTCTTGGGCGAGCGGATAGGTGCTCGGCTGATCAGTCACGCGGGCAGTCTCACGAACTTGAGCAAGTACCCCGCGAGTACCGTGCAGATTCTCGGTGCAGAGAAGGCGTTGTTCAGAGCGCTGAAGACGAAGGGGAATACGCCGAAGGTACGTTTGTCCATACTTTCCCCTTTAATGCAACCCTATATTCATCTCTTTGTAGTATGGCCTCATCTACCACTCGTCCTTCATTGGTCGTGCTTCGCCCAAGCACAAGGGTCGCATTTCGCGATTCCTCGCCAACAAATGCTCCATTGCCTCGCGGATAGACTGCTTCTCAGGTATGTGCTCTTCGTTAGCCGCATCTTCTTCTTTTGCCCTGACACCCTACTCCTCAGAAAATCCCACTCCCAAATTCGGCGATGCCCTCCGTATGCAAGTTGAAGAACGCCTCAACTTTTTCGAGAAAGGCGAGCCACCATCAAAGAACTCCGACGCCATGCGCAAAGTCCTCGATGAGCTCGCTCTCGATGCCGATGACGATGAAGATGTGGAGATGGGCGACGAGGAGCCAACGCTGCCGCTGCTAGAGGCGACGCCGAAGAAGGATCAGAAGAAGAAGCGGAAAAGCGAGGTGATGGATGTGGACGACGAGGAACCGTCGAAGAAGGTGAAGCTGAGCAAGGAGGAGCGGAAGGCGGAGAAGAAGGCTGCTAAGAAGGCCGCGAAGGAGGCTGCTGCCGCAGACGTATGTCCATTTCCTTGACACATTTTCGTTGTTATTTGGTGCTGAGTGTTTTTGCGCTGGCAGGGTGAGCCGCCTAAGAAAAAGGAGAAGAAAGACAAGAAGGAGAAAAAACATAAGAGTAAGGAGTGATACGGTCGTGATCATCGCCGCACTCTCTTTCTTCCATTTTTTCTCCGCTTTTCTGTATGTTTATCTCCGGGTGCATCTCATTTCTTGATCTCTTTCATTACTCTTTGTGTGCGGAAGCGACTGCCAGGACCGCGCACCTTGTCTGAAGCCCCGTTATCGTCACAACATCCCGCGAAGTACGCCGTTGTCGCTGTTCTGGGTGGCGTTGTATGGCACCAAATTATCGCTGACCAGTACCAGATACTTGCCCTCAGGTACCTCGATGCTATTACCACTTCGACTTCTTATAAGTGGTCCCGGATAAGCTTGAACTTGGATGATGACCCACCAATTGAACCCACAACAGTTATCCACTCATCCTCGTACGGCAATCCCACGACGTTCTCTAGCAGTTGGGGCTTAGTGTCCAATGGTACGGAGGATATCTATCTCAACTTATTCTCTGATCGTACATCGATTGAATCTTCCTGTGATACTTCACGACCGTCTATATCTGACGCACGCGTGATACCGTTGCGCTCGAGCCGTAAGGTACATAAAAAGCAGGGGTATTCTCTGTCCCGGAATGCCTGTTGCTGTCGAGGTCCTACAGGTTGCTCTGCACCGAGTTCTCGCCCTGTTTGAACACTAAGTTTATAGTGTTGGCCAGTGCGGTATATTCCTTGGTAATATCCGCTGTCATTTGCTCTGTCGCACTGTCATCTGTGTCATTCCATGCAGCTCAGCGGCAGCAGAGTTATAATCGCGACCCACATACTACAAGACCGACGTCCTTCCAGTGACACCTGGAGATTCTCGCCGACGTGCAAAACCGGGCCACCTCGCTTGTTGCTCGTCGCAGTGAGAAACTTCGGTCGCGCAAAGAGCGCGAGGGTATAACGATGGCCTAACATCCTTCCTCTCGAACGTCGCGCCTCTGGACCTCACCAGCAGTGTTTTGTCTCACAGCCTATTCAGAATGCGTCTTCCGGTCGTCCCTGCTCTGTCCCTCTTCGGAGGATGTGCCACTTCTGGTCAGGGAGATACGAGCCTCGCGGTCGTCAAAGAGAGTTTCGATACTTACAATGTACGTTCATCTCGCCCTTCTGGGCTACCAGACCAACTTTCATCCCATGTTATTCTGGATAAGTCGCCGTCAACACATCCATAACCTTCAATCCGACCGTCCTCTTCGATGTCTCCTTCCCGCAAGCTAGTGGAGTTCCCGTCAGTGTCTCAGCCACCGTCCAACTTGCTCTGAACGGTGCATTCTCTCTCAGCCTCTCTTCGACTTACCTTCACTATACTCATGCGGGTCTTTGTAGAGACCGCACTCGCACCAACGTTTGGTATTCGCCCCTTTGGGAGTATTGCTGATCCCGGTGTAAAGCCCTTCGTGATGGCCATGGTAGACCTCGACGCACCTACGCCACAAGATCCTAGCGTCGCCGAGATTCGCCACTTCCTTGGCGGAGATTTTGTGCTCGCAGACTGTGGAGCCGGGACCTCAGATGGAGTCGCGTTGCTTTCGAACACTAGTTCTGCGGTCTCGGATTATGTAGCCTGCGCCACCTGCTGGGTCGGACCCTCACCGGTACGTTTCCCTCATATGCCCTACCATGCGACGGAGTGTTACTTGCAAATGCTGATGGTCTGGCGCAGATATGTCTTCCTATTGTACGCACAGCCCGACGGATTCAATAATCAGACGTTCGTGAATGCGTCTACGGTCATCACTGGATTCAACATCAGTTCGTTCGCCGAGCAGGTCGCTTTGGGCAATCCGTTGGAGCGTTTATGTTTGTCGGGCCGGATGATACAAACGCTACCTCGTCGAGTGCGATTACGACGTCTACTGCTTAGATTATAAGTACGACACGGACAGGTGAGCTTTGGGCTGCGTTATCTCCTGCACGTAGCGACCTTTTTGTCTGACTTTTCTCTTAGAGTAGTGTACTGTTGGCGTTCCTTTGTGTAGGCTGGAGACTCCACAGAATGAAATAGACCTACTCTACCCACGACCTAATGACAAAATCAGATCCAACCGCTCCTTCGCTCTTGTGAGAGCCGCATGAAAGTCCAGTTATAACAATACAGTCCATTGCGGATTCAAGGCCTGTCGTCGGTATTGTCATCTCGCTTCGCTTCAGTGTATTTCAACCGCTACGGGTGAGCAACTTTATGACATGGCTCCTGCTTAAAAGCTGTTATTGACCCCTGTGTCGCTGATTTTTTGGACCTTGCAATACGTACTGGCAAATACCGAAGGCTCCTCAATTTGGAACCCATCCATCATCCCACGCGCTTTTGCACGCCTCTACATCTCGCATGCCCAATCGTCTTTCGGATCATGAGAGCGTGAGTTTTCCTACCCAGGGCTCATCATCCATGAGAATTTCGAGGGCTATGAATACGAGTGTAGAGGATACCTCTCATGGCTGCTCACGACTGGCTATATTTATTAGAAGTCTCCCCACATCGTGGGTATGAGGTGTACAAGAATATCTTTGCCTTCGCATCACATCAGTGCCTCTTCGAGGACAACGATTGAGTGGAAGCACTGAATTGTGCATATAGCCATTTGGTCGACATATCGGATGGCATAAAATGTTCCACATTGCGAATACATGTACATGTTAGCATGTGCCTTTCGCTGGCGTCAGTATAGCGGGTGGTGTCTTGGTTATGCAGAAGATGGCCCATAGAACTATAAATAACCTGGCCTCTATTCTTACTAACATGGCTCGACTATTTTGGTCCCTTGAGGAATTCGGGGTGCGTCACTCCAGCGGATCCTCGTACAATAATAGACAGAGCCCGTTCAACAAGTGAAAATACGGTCCCGGTCGTCATTCCACTTCCATCGAAGCTGCGGACATTATCTGCTTGGGGCTTCTGTCGCTTCTTCGACGAGGAAGGAGAGACATATACAGCCTTTATAGCACGATACAGAACACCGAGCGTCAGTGGTACTATCACCTTGTCGACTTCCCCCTTCACTATATATTTTACCAGCGAGTTTAGCAAAGGGAGAAGCAGTGAACATTGGATTCAGGAAAGTTAGTCTCGTGGCTCTCATCGATGTGTGCATTCCAGTCTATGGGTGACATTGTTTGCCCTCCCTGTCAACCTTCTTCTATTGCCTGCTGTGCATAAACTTCGCTCAACGCGTGCCGACCAGCCAAACGGATTCCACCATTATCTACCATCTCCTCATACCAATTCTTTCATTGGATCGAACTCTGTGAAGGTTTGCCGAATGGCCCATCTCAATGGTAAATACTACCTCCTCCTTGTTTCCCCTTTCCATGCTCTGACACAATTTCTGTTCCTACACTGAAATTATAGCTCTGCCCTTCGCACAAGTTTCGAATGTCCAAAACTCCAGTGCGTGATTGGATAGCGTTCCAGCACACGAAACGTATAAAGACTGTCTGAGGAAGAGTCAAAGGCCTTCAGGACACTCCAGTCTTCTCCAGGACCAGTCTCATATCCTCGGTATTCCAATGGCCTTCGCTCAGCTCTCTGCCATCGTCGCTCTCGCTCTCGGCGCCGCTCAGGTCGCCAAGGCTGCACCCCCGCCGAAGGTTACCTGCGCTGACGGAAACGTCACCGCAAACGCCGTCTGCTGCCGTTAGTTGCCCTTCCTACGGCGTTCTACTCCTCGACTGACGACCTTGTTTAGAGCTCTTCCCTGTTGTGGCTAACCTTCAGCAGAATTTGTTCGACGGTGCTCAATGCGGTGAAGAGGTTTGTGTCATTTTTCTTCTTGGATCTGCCTTGAAATTTACTGTTTACTGTTTTTTTTTGGTGTTAGGCCCACTCTGCTCTTCGTCTGTCGTTCCACGACGCTATTGGATTTTCCCTCACCCGTAAGCACCGTTTTTCTCCCAGAGCAAGCCTAGTCTGTTGCTGACCGTACCAACAGGCGATGTGTTAGTTCTGCTTAAAGGCATCTTCACTGAGGCTGCTAATCGAATTGTATTACCAGGGGTGGAGGAGCTGACGGTTCTATTTTGGTCTTTAACGCCACTGAAGAGGCATTTCGTAAGCATCGGTATCCACACTTCATGTAAGCACGTACTGATGAACATCCTGTAGACGCCAACATTGGGTGAGTCGGTATTATGGAGCCTTGCACTGTGTACTAACCGAGACCATCACTCCAGGATCGACGAGATCACCGCCGATCAATTCCCTGTCTTCCAGACCACTAATCTCTCTGCTGGAGACTTCGTCCATTTGGCGGCTGCTGTCGGCACGGCGAACTGCCCAGGTGCTCCTCAGTTGGACTTCTTCTTCGGTCGGGCCCCTCCCTTGGGCCCCGCTGCTGATTTGACCGTTCCGGAGCCTACTGGTAAGCTTTTATTTCGGAATGCGCGTGGAGCCAAAAGACTGACTCAGTTGGGCTTCGTCTCCAGACAACGTCACCGCCATCTTGGCTAGGTTCGCCGATGCCGGGTTTGCGTATGTGCACATCCCTTGAGTAGGTTTGGTGGACTAGAAGCTCACTAACCCTTTGATAGCCCCGACGAGGTTGTTGCACTCCTGTCTTCCCACACCGTGGCGGCTGCGGTATGCAACAGTATTTTCTATGTACGCCATTTCAAGGGCTGACATGATGTGCGCTGTAGGACGAGATCGACACGGTAGGTAGTTGATCACTACGAATTACAGGCACCTGCTCACATTTTCTTGTAAATTAGACTATCCCAGGAACTCCGTTTGACACGACGCCTTTCACCTTGTGAGCAATGCTTTTATATGACACAGAAACCGCCCGTAACAAGATGTAATTCATAGCGACACTCAGTTCTTCGTTGAGACCTTGCTGGTCGGCACATTGTTCCCTGGGTACGTATCCTCCTCACGGTAAGGATGCGACTCCTAACATGTTTTTGTAGCAACGGCTCGCAAGCTGGTGAAGTGCTGTCGCCCATCCCCGGAGAGATGCGTCTTTTTAGTGACTCCGTTCTCGCTCGTGACCCACGGACGGCCTGCATGTGGCAGGAGATGATCAGTAAGCCTCCGAAACCTTCGCAATGCGTACCACCTCTGACATAAGCTATAGACGACCAGACTCGCATGCAGACCCTTTTCAAGGCTGCTATGCACAAGCTTGAGCTTCTTGGTCAGCCCGACACCCTCGTCGACTGCTCCGATGTTCGTTTATATTTCCATATGATCGCTTCTGTTCTCTTGACCATAACTCGCTCTCTAGGTTGTTCCTGTTCCCGCCCCATTCACTGGTTCTGCCGTCTTCCCCGCCACTTTCAACATGAGTGACATCCAGCAAGCTGTCAGTTCTTCAGCCTATCTAACTCCATGAAATCATGCTCATCAAGCTGTTTTACAGTGCGATACCGTGCCGTTCCCGACCCTCGAGACCCTCCCTGGCCCCGAGACCTCAGTCCCGCCCGTGTAAGCACGTCCGTCTGTATTCGTTATTGCACTGTCTGATCGCAGTTTTGTCGATAGTCCCGGCTCTTAGATATTGGAGCGTTTCTTCCTCATTTTTTCTATTCGTGTATATGTATATGGTTGGGCCGCGGTTGAGTCGCGAGCTTGGTTTCTGATCTCGAATGGTATATATTTCGACGCGCCAAAGTGCTTGATATGCTGTGAGCCGGAGAAATCTGAACACAAGAGAAGAGCAAAACAGATACTCATCCGTCCGATCCCCAGCTGAAGAAAAAATCAATACGCATAACTAATCCGTCTCCTACATTCTTCCATCTGAATCTACGACATATATGTAAGTCAATTTCTTGAGGCCCACCGTGCGTCATAATCGTAGTCTAAAGTGAACATACCTCTATTATTGTTGGCTTGGCGTTCGCTTCTCGACGAACCTCCCAGCTGCCTCTGAGGTAAGGCACTCCAAGATGCATAGCAGTGTGACCATCTTCTCCTTGAAAATCCTCTTCGGTGAAGAGTTTCAAGGTGATGTACTGGAGACTTGGTGAGGCTGCCGCCAGCGCCTCGGCGCTGGATCGTATAGTCGTACGGCGGCGATCATCACCGGACTCTGGTAAGGCCACCTCGACGGTAAGATGTGTAAGCTCAGAGAGCGACCGTATACATCTGGTGACGGAGACCTATAGTATGCGCAAACACCAGTGAGCTAGTAGTAAACACAGCGGAGACCCTAAGATAAACGAGAGAAGTGAAATATTACCATCTCCATAAGGTTCAGCCCGGCTTTGAGCTTCGGTGTCTCTTCGTCGTCGTCCGAAAAGTCGTCGGCCCAGATGGACGACATCTTCCCCATCCTGAAGCCGAGCCTATGAATGTCAGGCATGATGTTGCCAATTTCTTTGAGGAGTGGTTGAAAATCGTGATGTGGACTTCTCATGAGGCCAAAGACGATTTGCCGTAGGTTGAAATCCACGTCAAACTCGCGACAGCCAGAGCTGATGAGTTCATCCGCAGCAGAATATACATTATGAAAGACGCGGCCTTCGGAGCACGGCCAGGTGAAAGACTATGGCGATCGCGGAAATTCATTGGTTAGATTAACATAAAGAACTATAAGAATGAAGAAGAACTCACATATAGGAGATCACGAAAGACTGCGTCGTCGAAACTGTAGTCGAAGAGGCTGACTCTCCGGAGAGACCGCGTCCATGCCACAGGGAAATCATCATATGGGTCTACGGAAAGGTCCGTGCGGAGAGCCACCAGGTTCGGAACCAGAGGTATATATCTATCGAGGCGACCACACCCATCCGCATTGCCAGGACCAAAGTACAACTCGAGTCCAACGGCGACGGAAGCTGGGATGGGCGGTAAGGGAGGGGATGCGGTGTCACCAATCTCATCAAACTCATCCTCGAATGATCGATCGTCAATGAAGAGATAGCGCAACGAAGGGATGGTCGTGAGTTTATGGATGAATTTTTGTACCAACGAGTTGGCACGCTTCTTGTCCCCGAATATCTCGAGCGGGTAGTTGGGGACCTGGATGCGAAGCCCGATGAGAGAAGAAAAAGGAGATGGCCCATCGACATGTTGCCTCATGCGTCGTTGAAGCATTGCACATGACGCGCAATCCCTTCGAAGGTCACTATCCGAGCGATACCTTGAGAAATCCCAACCATCGACTGCGAGAGCTAGGTCCAGATAGGCCACGGACTTGAGGTATGTGTCAAGGTCCGAGCGACTCAATAGCTCCTGGTTTGGACAGGGGCCTTCTCCCCAGTCGCGGCACTGCGTACCAGGACAAACAAGTCGTCGTGCCAGTGGGATGCACATCTCATGGAGAAGGCGACAGCATTGGGTGAGAGACGAAAGGTTGCTCGATGGATGACCGATATTGCTTCCAATGGGCTCATCCAAAAGCTGAACCTGTTTGACGATCTGAAACAGAGTCTCGTTGGGTAGATCGAGCAAAACAACCATCCTTGATCGTCAAGTTACTGGATCGAACTTCTGCCGCAGAACAGATAGGAACATCAGCCTGTCTGTGGCTCGTGCTGAGACCTCATTTTGGTCATGGCAACAAGAGTTTTCTTACCACAGGATAAGGAGAAGTATCAGTCACAAAATACGAAAATGTACCAAGGAATTTGAGTTTGTTGACGTCGCGACGACAAAGAGCGTGTTGGTCGGAGTTTGGATCGCGCACCGCCTTTCGCGAGGGTCCGTGAGAATCTGTATGTACATACTTACGCCACTGTGGCTCACAGCCTGCTCGTTGAGCCATCTCCATGGGAAACCTCGGGAGATGCCGATGCACGCTTTGAGCTACAACCACGTGCGGTGAAACGAACTCAAAGGAGAACACGAGACACCCACACGTGAATGCGCTACAGCATGAAGGGAGGCGGGCGGGCTGAAAAAAACAACTGGGCGAGACAGCCCTTGGTCTCTCCTTGAGCGTGAAATGGTGGGAGAGGAAAGGCTTGAAGTTTTCCTCGCCACTCGCGCTCGCTCTGTTCGCGCTCACGGCGTTTGCCGTCACTCCGACGAACCCGCTTACTTAGCTCACGTAAGAGCTATTTGCCTCGTTCCTCGGCATGGCTCTTACACCCGCTAACTAATTGCTCTCCGTCTGCTAACACAAACCGGAGAACTTCGGGCAGGGAGAAGGCTTGCTTCAACAAGCACAACTACAAGGTGTTTGGTTGTGAATGGGTGGAAAGCATGCCTCGGCCGAGCCAGGGTTTCCTCCCTGCTCGTTGAGCCATCTCCATGGGAAACCTCGGGAGATGCCGATGCACGCTTTGAGCTACAACCACGTGCGGTGAAACGAACTCAAAGGAGAACACGAGACACCCATATCGCGGAGCTCACACCCACTCGCGTGTTCAACAAAGACTCGAGAACCCACATCGGAGCGAGCACTGCGTCCCTCAACCAACACAACCAAACAATTCAGGAGCAGACACAACCATTAGTGACAAAAAAATGAAAATGAAAAATTACCAACTATGAGCATAAGCCCAGCCCCCAAGGGCATGAACAGGGATACACGCAGGTACTGACCAGCGGTGTCCAAAAACATAAATAAGGATACACACAGGCATTAACCAGCAGCGCCCGAAGGCTTGAACAGCAGCACCCGAAGGCTTGAACAGCAGCACCCGAAGGCTAAAACAGCAGCCCAGAGGCTCAGACAGCAATGCACACAAGCATCAAACAGCAGCGCCCGAAAGCAGAGAACGTCAGCGCCCAAAGGCATAGGCAGCAGCACCCGAAGGCATAAGACAGCGGTGCCCGAAGGCGAAACAGCAATATGTATTCTTAACATGGGAAGTACAGCAGGAATGAAACACAGAAGGAGGAGTGACGACTGAGAACATATGAAATATGCGGCAGGATAATTGGGAAGGCATTGAAAGGGAAATGTTCACGAAGGGGATGCGGTCTGGGGAGGATAAATGAGAAAACTAAGGCGGAAGACACAGCTACCCTTCAAAATCGGGCCAGTCCATCGGGTCCTGTCCTTGACTTCTGAAAACATCTGCAGGAGCATACTCACCGGAGAGCTCGTCGAGAAGTCTGGAGACCTCACTGTTGAGCTGATCTACCCGACCCGCGCGTCTTTGTTCCGAAGACTTGTCACAAGCCTGATCGAGGTTCCTAAAGTAGATCTCCGGGTTGAAGGCAAATGGACGAGCGTGATACTTGCACCGTTCATCGATATCGAACTGCAACAAGGTATCAAAACATTCCTCCAGGGACTCTAGTGCAGCAAGCCTAGCGAAGTGCTGTCTCCAACGCTCACATATGGGAGCATCGGCGACGGAGCCCAGAAAGGCGATGTAGTTTGGGAACGCTACCTTCCAATCCTGCAACGACATCTCGTCCTCCCGACCAAAGGCGGACGTGTCTAGCAGATATAAAGAGCGCTGACCGATGGTGCATTTCTTCCGGTAGGCGGAGGCGTCGTATTGTAGGGTGCGAAGGGCCTTTTTGGTGAAGAGAGTGAGGGGAGTGCGGATGCCGACATCGAAAAGGGTGGAGATTTCGGGGTGGATGGGGTAGTCCTCCTCAAAGCTGGCCTTATGAACCTCGGCAGATACTTCGTAGAGGAGAGTGGGCGGAGCAGCGGCCACGATGGGGACGCCCGTACTGACATTTAAGTCATTTGCGGCACCGTGTGCCTGTTTGAGCTGCTCTAGCTCCTTGGAGGCGAGCTCCTTCGCCAAGAGTTTGACCAAGGCCTGTTGCGCGGGAGGCAACAAGGCCACAGTCGCCAGAGCATCGGTGGTTGTATCACGGCCTGGGTAGAGAGAGGAGCGAAAGCGTGAGCGCGAACGTGAAGACGAGGCGTCGTGGCTGAGAGAAGTTTCAGCGGCACCGTTGAGACCAAGACCACCAAGACCGAAGGGAGTGTTGCCGTGCATGTGGAAAAAGGAGATTAAACTGAGATAATGTAGACACTGAAAAAAACAACTGGGCGAGACAGCCCTTGGTCTCTCCTTGAGCGTGAAATGGTGGGAGAGGAAAGGCTTGAAGTTTTCCTCGCCACTCGCGCTCGCTCTGTTCGCGCTCACGGCGTTTGCCGTCACTCCGACGAACCCGCTTACTTAGCTCACGTAAGAGCTATTTGCCTCGTTCCTCGGCATGGCTCTTACACCCACAGCGTATGCACGAAAATTCAACACGAACTCTTATGTTCAGGAGATATATGACATGATCCGTACATATCAGGCTAGTCTAATTTCCATCCACACAGAAAAACATTATATTTGAAAGTCCGGGGTACCTATGCTAGTAAGTTACGAAGCTTGTCGAAGTCAGGAGTACCAAGACCCTGTGCGATACCAGTAGTCAGATGCATTCGGATAAAAAGGGATGAAACAAGCACACCGTCACAGCATCCCAAGCTGGCCGGGTCATGAATCCATCAGTACCGCAACCAGGGTTCGATCCATTGACGATATCACTGTGCCATGCAGTAGATATACATCAGCATTAAACATATAAACTTACATCTAAAGACGAGACGGCACTCACCTCAGTCCTGTAATGTGGTACGTCGATGATGTCGTTCAAGGGAAGGTATTTTTAGAGCGTGATGAGATGGCAGGATAAGCCGGATAGGATACTGCAGTAGCTCACCTTGCAGGCCAGTAGCGTACAGCCATGGATTAGCAAATCCGAGCGGCGATTTCCCCTGGGAGATGAGGTAGTCGTTCAACAATGCGATGACAGCGGCAGCAACGGGAGTGCTGGCGCTCGTCCCGGACTCGGCAAATTCCTGCCCATCTTCGATAGTGAGAAGCCTTCAGAAACCGATCATGAGTATAAGTCGATCAGAGCCACAAGGATCGAAAAGCCGCGGAGAGAAAGGAACGGAAAGGTAAGGGGGAATGGCAAAACGTGAATTTACCCATCACCAATAGCAGCAATGTCGGGATATCCCCGTCCACTAGGATTGAAAAGCCCTGAGTTCCTGTCTCCCAATGCTTCGAGGTAAGTCGAAACAGCGGAATCTTGGTACGAAGGTCGTGCAAAGTACTACAGCAGTGGGAACGATGTGATCAGCACAAGGTTGAACATGATGATTCATGGCCGTAATTATCAAAAGGTAGTCAACGTACGTTACTGAACCCTCCACCAGTAGTGAATGCCGCATTGTCCCCTGCCGCGACTTCGGGATACTGTACTTTTTCGCGCACAAGTTCACGCCACCGCCCCTCGGCCGTTGCCGAGATGACATAATCCATTCGTGTCCCGGTTCGCAAGCAGACCGGGACAAGGGACAATGTTCGTGAACATCGACGCTTTTGCAGGGAGACGACCTTTCGTACCCGTTCAACAGGCATTTACCCTCTGAATTTGGGTGGAAGAGCTCACCCAGTAGCAAAATCTAGCCCAAAGTGTGTCTCGGAGGCCTTCCTGACAACTTCCTGAGGTCAATTTAGGAGCCTAAAATATATTCACATTTTCGTCAAATTTGGGTCAAATTTTGGTTTGTCCTACTTACAAGTTCCGTGCACGTCAATGGGGTGGGACTGTCCCGCGGCACAAGTTCGTTCGCGGCCCCCATGGGACACGGGACACGAACTTGTGCGCGAAAAACTACAGTACCTTGAGACAGAAGGTTAGATAGGTAGATCATAGTCCCAGAAGAAACACCTACCCTGTCGTGCCACCGACGGTGGTGACTACCGAGATATGTCAGCTTATGTGAGCACATTATTTGAAAGAGATGAGCTTTCATACCATAAGGGCTGCGTTGAAATCCAAAAATCAGAAATCAGCACGGTGAATAAATAAGTGGACAAAACGACATACCAAGAAGCAGGGAACAAGGGCTGGAACTTGGTTTGATTCGTTCCGTCATTTGTCAAACAGTCGCCACCACCTACGCCAGCATCGCCAGAGCCGAAGAGAAGGCTATGTTTCCCCTAAGTCAACGATTGTCTTATAGACAGGGATAGTGAAGGAAGAAGGGGGATATACCTAACACCACGGGCTCCCAGCTGTGCGAATGAGTTACAGACGCGTACGGCGTAGTCTCTTGGAACGGTTTGCTCATCATCTGTACTAAAGTGATGAGCGGGTCCATGACAGAGTGAGTAGACTCATGGTCATCGTGAGGCTCACCAGCGTAGCTCGTAGTGAAGGTCTGAGGCGGGTTTGTCTGATTGAGGACGTATTGTACCCATTCTAGATACCTGCGGCGTCATTGGTACACTTCATACACGAGCAGAATAGGCAAACAAGACTTACGGCTCATTCGTGTTACCTGGTGTAATTGAATCGGGTGTAAATGGCGGTTCTCCACCTATGATCGCGGTGCGTTCAGTAGTCGACAAAAGGCAACCTATGATCGTTCACTTACCAACAGCGTAAACTATGGTCGATGTCGGGTATGACATCCCCATCGCGTACTGTGCAACAAACTGCTTAGCGCCTCCAAAAGCCTGTTACTCAAGAAGTCAACGAACCTCGACGTCCAACGTCCCTTCGCCCTCACACTCAGTTCCATATGTTCCGTTATTAACCGTCAAGACATCGAAGTCCTCCCCTACCGCCTCAGGCCTATATTTCTGGAAGACATTTTGCAGATCCGTCTTGTTCTGGCAGTCTCCTGCATAGCTCACGACACCGAGCTTGTTTTCTGAGGTTGCTTGGGCCGTGTAGTTGGCCATGTTGTAAAGGGCGAGAAGGCATGGGGGCGTCCAGCCTGTAGTGGCACAAGCGGTTATACTGACGTCGGAAGAGGAACTGGTTGATATAGATGCGCGGGAACGAAGAGAGTTAGATATAGAACGTCGGGTCAAAGGCTCGGGGGTCTGCCTGTGCAATGATAGATACATGAGTCCAGTGAAGGAACTGCGGGAAATTATATTACGAGCAACTCGAACATACCCGAACCCGAAGTAAGTCGTGGGTTGAATCGTGTCGATGTGCCCAACCAATGGACGAGGAAGGCTATACTCTAACGTGCGAACCGCCTGCTTCCCGGACCCGGTATGTTCGTAGACGTGGAACTCGCATCCGAGCATAGACTCCGCGACGGAGACTGGCACAGATAGTGTGGCCCAGTCCGCCGCAGCTGTGCGTGAGACGGAAGTAGGGTCGACGGAGTGCGCGTCCAGCCATTCGTTGAAGATGGTAAGGGAACTGTGATGCGGTTTGACGAGCTCGTCGGCTTCCCTGGGGACAATGTCGGAGAAGTTAGGATCTTCTGCGAGAGTTCTTGAATGACGGGACGAGAGAACTCACTCTTTGGACAGATGACGGCCGTAATCACTGTGGCTCGGATCACTGATCTGATCCAGACGATGCACTGGTGAAACATGAGCATGATACAACTTTCATGAAGATGAAAAAACAGGACTCACCCAGTTCGTCAAACCTGCCTTGCTTCAGTCCAACCCTCAGAGTAAGAACATGATCTTGAGGAGCTTTCGTTATTCGTTCCCACCCCCGAGGAATGTATGAAAGAGCCTCCGTATCCCGTCTCACAAGATCTCCAGCCCATCTTGGATGGAGAGACAGCGTTGCAAGGGTTGGACCAGCACTCGCCAGACAGGCAAGGAGGAACGAAGTGAGAACAAGCATGGTGACGATCAGGTCCTTGGGGAAGCAGAGAGCTAGTGGGTAGGACAGTCTGGTTTTATATATTGAATAGCTAAGGCGAAGGCAGTGCGCTTTACATGTGGGATATCAAGTGTTCACTGTCCATACAGTGTAGGCCGTAGTTGCGGGCGTTCGTCGCCGTGTCCTTCGATCTTTGATGGTCATATATATGCAGTGCGTTCGAAAGACGCTGGATGCGGATCACAATGAGATGAGTCGTGACCGCCCGTCAGCTCCAGAATGTAACTGGTCGGACGTCCGTCGTGGGTTCGGCCTACTCTACTTGTGGGGAACTGTCGGGAAAGACTTGCTGGATGCGCTTCTGACTTAGTCCTGGAACAGCGTTAGGGAGATTCCTTTCTTAAATGGAATTTATAAGAGGTGATTGTGTAGCTAGAAGGTAAGAGGGTCGGAGACGATCGGTAGAATAAGCAGTGTCCTCGACAAACTTCTAAAAGTTTACCGGTTAGTCTGCAAACGGACTCGCAGACTGGTACATGAGCCTTGCCCCGGGAACTGACCTACCTAGCATTTCTGAGTCATTACGACAATTTCGAAGGATGTGTTAACGTTGACAGATCGTCGCGGAAAGCAGTCCAAGTTGGTGTTTGCCGTTTCCTCAACTTGGTAGATGATATCCAGAGAATCTGCAGGGAAATTACATAGCGAACGTATTACCTTCAAGGATTGGTGCAGCTCTTGCAAGGTCGTGAAATGGAAACCCGAGAGCTCAGAGGTTTTATCTCATGGTGGTGATAAAGCTCAGAAAATCAACGGTAATGCTTGGCGCGTGAACAAGCCTCGTGGCTTTGAATTTCCAAATCAACGCGAGCGGACAGGGAATTCGCGTCGGATAATCGAGCTGAGCCATACTTATCCCCAACAGCCACCTTTCTTCTCTACTTCTTCCCTAATGCCCCCAAAGACACTCACCCTCAAGCAACGGCTAGCAGCACTAACACAATCCCCGACTTCACCTGCGCCGCAATATGGACCAGAGCCCTCAACACCGCGTTCACCAGGTAAACGGAGGTTTAGTGCGCCTTGGCGAAGGGGGTCTATCCAGGATGGGTACGGAATGCAGAGTGAGGAGGATAAATTGCAGGAGGTGATGGGGAGGATGATATATCAGGCCGGCGTTGACTATGAGTGCGTAGTGTTCTTGTTGCTGATGGTCAAGTCCTTCGCTAATACGGAAGGGAATTGGGGTGTGGGTTAGGACACGGCCAATGTGAGTACACTTTTGCTCAATGCCGGCTTCAGGTTCAAGTTTCTATCTACCACACGAGAGACCTGGAGTCATCCATAAATCTTGGGCACCCGTCTACGGTTACCCTTTGATTATTGTAAGGTCAAAGATGCTCTGTATCTCCTGTGTGGCGACGACGCTCCTTGGCCTTGGCCTACTTAGGAGTCGTACCAATGTTTTCCACGAAGGTGGCTTGAGCAACTGGGATCACGTATTTCTACAAAGCTCCCGTTCTGGATACAGTTTGGGACGATGTTCAATCACAATGCACAAGTTTATGCCGTCGCCACACAAGAATAGCATGCCTCCACGAGACTCGTTGGTATGAGAATGGCCCACATTATTATTGTATCTTCGAGAATACTTCAATCGCTGCCATGGGGCTTGCCCCCAGCCCTGGTGTGCTTTCTCAGGTGCCCACAACGGGTGAATAGCAATCTATATTCTATATATAGGGTGCACACCTTTAGATGCTACTGCGCCATCCAGTCCTTCCCTATCTATACTTATTATTACTATACTAATCATTGGGATTTTATCCGCAGGGTCATCATGAATGCGTCCGCCATGCCCGACGCTCGAGATGTAAATTATGACATGTTACTATCGTGCGTCCCCTCGTCCCACCCTTAATTTCCCATGGATTCGCCCTGAAAGTTACTGACCCCGCCCGAATACTTGGTCCTTGTACTTACACAGACGAATACTATCCTACTTGGATCTCTATGGTACCCTAGTTCACCTCCGCTCCAGATGACAGTATTGAGGTTGATCCCTTTGGTCCGGTACGTAGTGGAATCGGACTATACCGTCGTTTTCTTTGCGGCTGGGAACAAGAACACTCCAGGCTGGAACTGGATGTGGAAGGCTTATCGGAGTCTGAGTCGGAAGTTCAGGAAGAACTTGAAGAGACTGGTATGTTCTAATTTCAGTGTGTGGCGACGATAGTTCTGACCGCAGAGGGTCATCTATTATAATTGCCCTAGTTTATCGTACATTCCAACTTCTTCTCGAAAAGTACGCGTTCTTACCTTGATCACTTCTGCAGCACATCCCTACCCCAATATTGTGACCATGTCTGACCTTTCTTGAAACAGTGCTTTTCTCCTTGGCCGGTGCCTTCATCAGGTCAGTTTCTCAATAGCCTTCAAATGTTCTGCCTAGGCATGAGAACTGACGTGGTGACTTACCAGCCCAAAGTTCTTTCGCAAAATTTCATACGTTGATACCCTCTCCGAACTTGCCTGCTCGGTACCTCTAACTCAGATCGACGTGCCACCAGCTGTGTACCAGTGCGTAGACTATCTCCCGATTTCATTACCGTGTAAATGGTCAATCAAAGAATAATCCTAACACCATTTGCTACTCCAGAGAGAACTTGAAGCACGAAAGACAGATCATACTACCGATGCCGTCACATGCGAGTCTGTTCGGTGTGCCACTCGAGGATCTTATGGGTTTCGACGGCGAAAAGGGTGGAATACCGAGGGTCGTGAAAGATTGTATACAATATATACGGGAGAGTGGTGAGTTCTTTTGATAGATCCGTTTATAGGATATCGCTTGACCATTACATGGGATAGGCATGATGGAGGAGGGACTATTCAGACGATCACCCAACTCAGTATTATTGAGACAGGTGCAGGAAGCCTACGACCGAGGTTAGTCCCCATATCGTCACTATCCCACCTCACCATACAACATGGTAGCTGACAAGCTCGCATTGATCGCAGGTCATGTCGTCTCGCTGGATACATTCGGCGACCCTCACCTCGCCGCCGTCCTCCTCAAGAAATATCTGCGTGACCTCCCCGAGCCACTTTTCCCCGAAGCCCTATACCCCATCATCCAGCGCTGTCCCACACCGACAGACGACCCAACCGACTGGTCGGCTTTGCTGTACATAAGAGATACCCTACTTCCAGAACTGCCGCGGTGCAGTTATATTTTATTGAGCCATGTTTTGCGTGAGTGTCTCACATGCTCTCATCCATCTCACTTCGGTAAAACATAGGCTGACCCACCACTTGTCTCGCACTGCAGATTTGATGCACGAAGTTTCGCTACGATCGTCCACAAATCTCATGGACGCACGTAACCTCACCGTCGTCCTCTGCCCCAACCTCGTCCAATCTCCCTCTCCCGCTCGCGATGTCATGATGTGCGCCGTTCCCGGCGCACCCTCCTTTTCCACCCACTCCCCATCCCCAGCCTCGCCTTCCCCCTCAGCCAACCTCAACTCCCCAAATTCACCGTTACCACCTCCACCGCATTCGCCCGTCACACCATCGTTGTCCCAGTCTGCTGCCGCCTCGGCACCGCGACCGCCACAGCCGACGACGTTAGGGATGATCATCAAGCTTTGTATAATGCGTTACTATGAAGTTTTCGATGAGGTGTTGGATAGGAGCGAGGCGTTACCGGCTTCGAGGGTGCATCATGAGGATGAAGGGCAGAGTACGTCGGGGGCCTCGGGCTCGAGGTCGAGGTCTAGTAGTGGACGGTTTAGGGGCGGTGTTGTGGGCGGGAATGGGAGCATGGGAAGTGGCAGTGGTAATGGAGTGAGCGTGGCCACGAAGAGGGCGTCGGTGCTTTCGAATGGGAGTGCGAAGAGGGATAGTAGGGCTTTGGACGACGACGAGGATATTGACGATGCGATGTTGGTAATGCCCATTGGGCCTGATGCTGGACCGCATGAGAATAGGAATGGCGGTAGGAACGGAAATGGGTGCATCGAGGGTAACGAGAACGGTGTGGCACCGTCAATGTCGACTCCTCCGGCCCAATTTTCGTACCCGTATCGTGCCCGTCAAAGGCCCTCGCCGCTTCAAAACTCCAATTCAAACACATATTCACCCCGGCACCCGCCACCATCCGCCACCCGTTCCCTTCACACCGTCATCTCCACCTCTGGTCCTCCTTCATCCTACTCCCCTTCTTCACCCTCACCACATTCTGCGTTCGGAGGCTCGGCTTCGAGGGCGAAGTCGACAATTAGTATCGAGAAGGGGGAGAAACATGGTGGGACGTGGAGGAAGGGGAGTATCTCGATTGGAAGGGCGGGGAGTACGATCGGGAAGAGCAAGAGTGTTGGCGCGGGGGTGGAGGCGCATGGGATTACGGCGAGTGGGTTCTTCACGCCGCCGCCTGTGCCGCCGTTGCCGAAGTTTGATGGTGAGAGGAAGGATTAGGTGAAGGGGATGTGGGTTTGGAGAGGCAGATGTTGGGTGAGAGAGAGTGAGTGAGGCGCGGACGTGATGACGATGCTGTACATTTTTTGTATATGCCGTATTCTTTGCTGATCCACTCATGGCTGCCTAGTGCTCTATCTGTTGATCTTCGTTGTCCATTTTCCTGCTTATTTGTTGCTCATGGTTGGATGTCATCTTCTATTCAGTCTATCATAGCCTGTTTTCTCTGCTACATATACTACAACGCCCTCTATCTCTTGCTTTCATCGCTGCGCTGCATCCTTCCATGTTTGGACGGCCTGTCCAATGATTGAGGTTGTTCTCATGTTCAGAAGCTAAACTCATATCGAACGACTACACCGGTGCCGTTCTGCGTAAGTACGAGGTCAAAAATAATACACCTACAGTCTATTTTCGCCGATTCTAAGGATAGCGCATCGTACGACCTGCCTAGCTTGGTCGGTTTTGTACCAGACATAGACCGTACATGAGAACCTCTCCATTGTTTCTTGGACGTGGCACCCCGGAACGCCACACGGGCCTCGGAAAGTCTCGCGACCTCCACATCGACGGTCTTCCTTACCATCAACCGCAGAACGCGTTCCTGTTATCGATGCGCGCTTACTCTCACCTCCACAATCTCTTTCATTTCAACCAATCATTCGACCTTCTCGAGAACATATCTGAACATGCCTGACTTGTTTAGAACGCTCCACCCCACGCCTCGAGGACGCTACGCAATATTGTGGGGCCCCGGATGATTGGCGACAATGAACTTCTGGATAAAACGCCGGACGAACGGAACTTGCCCCTCATTTCAGTGACACCCCTTCCCGCTTTGAGCCTTCTCAACGCAAGTCACTGTGCGCCGCCGTGTCAAGTCACAGGTTCGCATCAGTGTGTCGCTTGCGTTCCCGAAGCCGGACACTACATATAAAGGCGAGCGAAGAAAGGGTTCGGTTCGACCTCCGTCTCTCTTTCTGGACACACCACCACATCGCTACCGCAAGCCACAGTCTATTAACAGTATTCGACGACGCAGACATACATCACGATTATCCACGATCCGTTCGAAGATATTGGTGGAATATAGGGAAGGATGCCGGAGTTTTCGAATCAGGTCATTAGCCTGTTTCATACGGTTCAGAGACGAGAGGCCCCTGATCAGGTGCGTTGGCTTCGTTATCCTCTTTGCATGATGCAGTCACTGGACAAATGTCAAAAGGCTAATTAGGTGGTGGCTCTGGTTGACAGGGAGGGTTATTGACGGGGAAGGATCCAACAGCATTCAACACGGCGGATCCTCTTCGGTTATGGATCATCCAAGTTGGTGAGTGTTCTGTGTCTGTTCAACTCTCCACGTCGGGGATGAGCTATGGCTAATATTAGATCTTTGGATAATCTTGCGCACATAGGAATCATCATATGCACGACACAACTCCTCGGACTTTTGCTTCGCAAATTGCGGCAGCCAAGAGTCATCGCTGAGGTACTGGGTGGTATTCTTCTCGGTGAGTTCCCTGAACCCTAGCCCATAACAAAACCACTGAACAACACGCCCCTCCGCTCATCCAACAGGACCCACCGCATTTGGACGTATTCCCGGTTTCTCAGATCACATATTCCCCGAAGACTCGCAGCCCTATCTCTCTCTAGTAGCCAACATCGGTCTCTGTCTCTTCCTCTTTCTCGTCGGTCTCGAAATAGACATGGATGTCATCAAACGCAACGCCCGCCTCTCTGCCACCGTCGCCCTCGCCGGCATCTCAATACCATTCGGCTTGGGCGCAGCGCTTTCCGTCCCGCTGTACAAAAACTTCATAGACTCGAGCACTGTCAAGTTTACAAATTTCATGCTTTTTACTTGTGTGGCGTATTCGATTACGGCGTTTCCGGTGCTGTGCCGTATCTTGACTGAGTTGAAGCTGCTGGACACTACGGTGAGTCGGGATCCGTCCTGTCCTATTTAGTGTGATGTCCGTTGAACTGACTTGCTATAGGTCGGCATCGTCGTGCTCTCCGCCGGAGTAGGAAACGACATCATCGGCTGGGTCCTGCTCGCACTCAGTGTCGCCCTCGCCAACGCCTCCACCGGCCTCACAGCCCTCTACATCCTCCTCATCTGCGTAGCATGGACCATTTTCCTCCTGTTTCCCGTGCGCAAGGCCTTCTTGGTCATTGCGAGACGCACAGGATCCACCGAGAACGGGCCGACGATCTTGTTCATGACTATCGCCATTCTAGTGCTGTTCGGGAGTGCGTTCTTTACAGACGTTATCGGGGTGCATGCGATTTTTGGAGCGTTTTTGGCTGGTTTGATCGTGCCAAGAGAGGGAGGACTAGCTATCCACCTTACGGAGAAGCTGGAGGATACGGTCTCTATTATTTTCTTGCCTCTTGTATGTCCTCTATCTGTTTTTTCCGCCACGAGGTTTGCTTACTCATTGGCCCCACACAGTACTTCACGCTTTCGGGACTTTCAACCGATCTAGGCCTTCTTAACACTGGTAAGGACACTTCCTACCGCCATACAATGCTGAACTCATCTGTGGGTTTAATTTTCCTTTCAGGCAAGATATGGGGCTTTACCATTGCCATCTGTGCTCTTGCGTATTCTGGTAAATTTGGCGGTTGTACGATAGCGGCCAGGTTCGCTGGATTCAAGTGGCGAGAGGCTAGCACAATCGGGTCTTTGATGAGTTGCAAAGGGTCAGCCCGTCATCTTTTCTAAATCTCGTGACTGTCCTCATACTAGACCTTCTGATCCGTAGACTTATCGAGCTGATCGTGCTGAATGTCGGACTTTCCGCTGGGATCCTAACCCGGGTAAGAAACCCTCTTTTCGCCTCATCTATAATTCAGGCAGTTATTCACGCTACTGTTTACTTCTCTCGATAGCTCGTCTTCTCCATGTTCGTCCTCGAAGCCCTCCTCCTTACCTTCATGACCACACCCGCAGTCACCTTCCTCTACCCACCCGAACTGCGCACCCGTGCCACAGCTACCGGCCCCAACTTCGCGAACGTCCCAGGCACCGACGTTCTCACCGACCAAGAACACCAGTTCGACGACACTCACAAAGATGACCAAGATGGACAATGGAGGAGCAGGTTCCTCGTCGTATTGGACAAAATCGAGCATGTGCCGGGAATGATGGCTTTAGCGCAACTTCTTCAACCTCCGCCGCCACAGTACTCCGAACGGGATCCCCTCGTTCAGGCTGGCTCGGCCTCGCCTGGGAGTAGCGGGGCCAGAAGTACGGACCAAAAACCTCTGCGTGGTTCTGACGCTGGCATTCAAATCGAAGCTCTGCGCCTCATCGAACTCGAAGACCGTACCTCCGCCGTTATGAAATCCTCCGTTGCCGATTCGCTCATCCATTCTGATCCCGTCCTTGGGATATTTAGGACATTCGGGGAGTTGAACGACATGGAGGTCAGTCCGAGTCTGGAGATCGTGCCGTATGAACAGATGGCGGGGAGTGTGGCGGAGCATACGAAGAGATGTGGGGCGCAGTTGGTGCTTATACCCTGGTTGCCGCCGGTGTTGCCCTCTGGCTCTGAAGGACAGCAGGGTGGACATGGACATGGACAGGACGCACCTGTGACGCCGAGGACCCCTGCAATTACAGGACACGAGAATTGGAATCCTTTCGAGGCGCTGTTCAGGACGAATTTGCATGGAGGCGAACGGTCCGCCTCGGTCCTTCATTCTCAGTTCATACGCGGGGTCTTCGCACAGGCGTCGACGGACGTCGCATTATTCGTGGACCGTGGGCTCACTCGTTTTCCCGGTGCCGGTTTGGGTTTGAGGGCCGGAAGCAGGAGACAACAACATCTGTACTTGCCGTTCTTTGGAGGACCGGATGATCGGCTGGCTCTGGAGTTTGTGGTGCAGGTTTGTGCGAGGGAGGGAGTACGGGCGACGGTTGTTCGGGTTCGGAAGAGGGAAGGTGGGTTTGGGGAGGGTGCGTCGACGGCGGCGGCGGGCTTGTTACATCCTGATGCGGCGAGGCTTGTGGATGAGAAGGTTCCTGATATGGCCTTGGAGAATGCGAACGTGAGGGCGAATCAGTTGACGGTCGCTTCGGTGAGTTTCTACTTGCAAGTTGATTCTATGGCCATGTCGCTCACTAGAGGGTTTCTTTTTGCTGTTTAGATCACTGGTATCCCTGATACTGTCTACGGTAATGCTACGACGCAGACGCGGTTGCAGTCCGAGACGGCGGATAGTGTTGCATGGGGGAAGTACAACTCTCCTGCCGCACGCGACACAAAGGACGCTACGCTATCAGCTGCGCTCTCTCGGATCTCGTTTGAAGAACTATCCACGCCTTTACCCCTTCACGCCGTCACCGAACAAGTCAAGGAACTCTGCAACCCTAGTGTAAGTGTGGTTGGTGCACCAGCTGCGGGGGCAGGGAGATTACTTGTTGTGCTAGGAAGGTCGAGGAGATTGGCGGTCGAGAACCATCATAAGGAGTTGAAGGAGCTCGCGGAGGAGTATGGAACAGTGGGGAACGAGGTGAAGAAGACGGTGGGCGATGTGGCGACTGCGTTTGTGCTCAGTGGATGTTCGGTCGGTTTAGTCGTTATGCAGGCAGCTAGTGCTGCTGCGGCTGATTGAATGAGGGTGGCTATACAGCGGGATGGCAGAGGGTGCCATCGTTCATGACGACCCGTTACGATTATCTGTTCACGTTAGTTTCTTACCTCTTTTGCATCTCTCCATGGATTTAAGCCCGCATACCCATTTTTTCTGGGACCACTGCCGTGTACATGTCACCTGCAGACTTGCTATCCCTCAACCATCTTGTACTTTTATCTGACTGCTCAGTTCGTGCTCATGGTACATATCATCCTTGGGTCCAATGTGGCCATTCGAGCGTCCCATTTCGCTGCCTCCAACACATATCGTGAACAACCTGATACCGCATCAGAAGTGATAGTGCTCAACCACCCTCCATAGCACCATCCCCCGCCGGCTCTCCATCTCCTTGAGTACCGTACGCCGCGTCCTTCTTCTCTCTTCTCTTCTTCTCCATTATCAGGAACGTGAGCACTATTGAATCAAGATCAAGGCTAGCTTCGGGTCTGATCTCGAGGAATGTGTCGGCTTGGGCGACGTGGGAGCACCGCACGGTGAATGTTGGTTCGGGGTTGTAGCTCGCTTGTACGATGCCAGTACGTGCATGGGTGAGCTATGTGAAAATCAGTGAGCATGGGATGGAGGGAGGATGGGGACGAATGTGTATGGCATGGGTATGAGCATGAGCAGAATGATATAATGTACCTCTAAATCACCGTCGCGAACGTATTTCCATTTATAGGTCTCGTTGTTTTTATCGCTGAAGTAGCGGGTGCTGTGGCGAACGCATATGTCGATACAGCGTTATTAATAAATATCGGCTGCTGAGGAAACCATTCCAGGCTTGGTACACATACATACCTCGAGAACATCACTTTCTTCCACAACAAATCCTTGAACCCCACATTCCTCTCCACCCCATCCTTCTCAAACGCTGCCGTCCTCACCCTTCCGCCTCCAAGACACTGCCAAGTCACAAATGCGATATGTTTACCCTCTTCCCCAGCTTTGGCTGGTCCCCTCTGCGAATCCGTGTAAACACTGTCCCGACGGGTATGAAGCGATTTATCGCCCTGGACGTGTAGGCGGGACACGGAAGACCGATGCAGAGAAGAGTCTGAGATGACTTTGTAATAGGTGCGTCCGGAGGGTGCAGTGAGCTCTGTGTGTGAAGGGTCGTCTGGTTTGAGATAAAGTCTCATAACGATAAATGATAGACTGAAGGTTCAGATGCGGGTAAGATGACAAGATCTGAGAGCATAGAAGAACAAGTAAGGCGAGTCGAGCGGCGTCGTGCCAGTCAGCAAGCAGAGGAATGTGTTACATGTTGGTCTGGCGGTATGACCGCGGAGTCCAAGGAGCTCTTCAAGTGAGTCTCGATACCCAATCGGTACCATTCAATGGAGTACACTCAATTGGGCCAGAATATCAGACGGAGGCTAAGACGGTTGAAGGTCCAGATATGGTACTGGGATTTCCTAGATATACTGCCGCGGAGACGAAGCGGAGACTGGCTCCGGTTTTGGGCGGAGCGGCGTTTCGTTCTGTTTCGGAATAAGCTCACAGTCCGAGTTCCATGGCATGTGGTCAGGATATGGGTATAGAATGAAATCCAAGGGAGTGTGTGAGCGTAGTATCTTACAAATCGATGTAGAATGTGTACTCGTCCCAGTCCGCTACTAGTCTGTCACTGTCAGATGGCCAAAATCAAGAAGACGGACGATAATACCACCGTCATAGCGAATGAAACTCCCTTCACCCAGTTTGTTTTCCTGGTCGCACTGCGGGATCACCAGCACCGGGTTGAATTTGAGAAACGCGGGAGAATCATTATACATAAAGAACTCACCTCGAAGTGCTTCCAGAAGCAGAAGAGGACGCAGACGTACTAGTGCTAGTACCAGCACCAGCTGTGGAGTTAGTACTAGACGCAGTTGCCTCTGGATTGCCGACCTGACCGCTCGCGTTGAACGCTCTGGTCAGGTTGGAATCCAGTGCCCAAGTGATACCACCCATGACGTGGGCCATGAACGTAGAATCCTGAGGGATGTGTATCATTTAGATTGCCGTCTGCAGATCAGCAATGTTGAACCGGAGAACTAACCGCCCATGTTTCGTTCAAGTGTCCTAAGCTAGTGTAGAAGCTTCGACCAGCGGTTCCATTGCCTTGCACGCCTGCACCATGTTCTTGATACCAAGCTAGGGAAAAGGGTAAATCCATGTCGACGATCACGGATAGGTTGACATACCTGTAGGATGGGGCGTTCCTTGGTCAAAGTTCCGGGTCCCAGTATCTGTAGACGGAATAAACAAAGTCAAACATAATCAAGATGCTATGTTCTTCGATAACTAACCAGTATAGGAGGATTCATTGGCGGAGAGTAGGACAACGGCACCAATGGATCGAGGGTCAGACTTGAAGTTATACCTAGACAAATGCGCCATGAGAAGGATACAGAGACGGGTGCTTCCAGCAAACCACGTACATCTCGTCCTGTACGTGCCATTCGGTGGGCAGCATACTTGTGCTGGGATGCGATGAGTCGATCACGTCTACCGTCTATCAGGTAAAATGAGCACGCTTAAGTGACGCCAGGATGAGTATAAGTCGATATCACTCACCGCGTTCTGTAGCTCTGGGTGGTAGTCAAAGTATGCTCCTGACAAGAAAGTCAGGACTTGTAGAGTAAGCGGGTTTCGATGTACTGGACTCACCAACCTCATTACCATAGAACGTCGTGTTCCGAAGAGCATCAGAAGCAGAATGAATCCCAACAAAGTTGCCGCCGAGGTCAAGGTACTTCTGCAATGCCGCTTTACCGTTCTCGTCGAGGACTGCTCACACAAACCGTGACATCGGGGGTGGAGGTCAGTACGAATGCATCGCCGTTCGCCTTCATCGAACGGGTGGATTTACCTTCTCCGGTATTCATGAGGAACACTAACGCATCGTAAACGGACAACCCATCATCCGTGAACGTTCCCTGATCCTCCGTTGCGTCGAACTGGATATTCGCGGTCGAGCCTTGCGCAATAAGAGCGTCTCGCGCTGTTGGAATGGAATCATGCCGGAAGTCGGCGGTGGCAGAGTAAATAAGAACCCTAGCAGGCGTAGATGCTGATTGTGCTATCGTGGCCATGAATAAAAGACTAGAAAATAGAGCTAGAAATGTGGTTGATGTGGACAGAGATGTTTGAGAAAGAGAGGCGTGAGCCTGAGCCCTACACTCGCGAAGTCGTCACATTTCCCCCCCGCCGCCGGACTGTAGAGGCTCGATCACCAGTCTTGGCGTGAGCGGCGTGGAGAGCCCGGTGAAACCTATAAAACAGGAGGGTGGCGTATTGGTATCGAGGTTCGATCCTTATGCGTACAGTTTCGGTGGCAAATGCGACGTGAGGTCTGATCCTGTGAGTACACAACTGGCCTGGATTTGGCTCTTGGTCCGATCCCTTGAACTGCCCTTGTGCGTACGGAAAGCTAGCAGGACTGCCTAGGTCCGATCACTATGCATACAATTTCGTTGTATGTGTTTAGGCTTGGCTGCTAACTGCTACTCTCTAACACTGTACGCCACCGCACAGACCATTCTGTGTCAAATTGACAGTGTTTTAGGCGTTCGTCTAAGAGAAGGTCCAATCCCTCGTGAGTACGGAAGGTGCCCTTATTTGGACTACCCGATCCACCAAAGTACAGAAATCCTCCCAAACTTTGAGTACAGAACCGCCCAAAATTTGGGTTTTGGGATCGGACCTCGATACCAATACGCCACCCTCCTTATAAAACCCTCGCTTGGTGGGATGGAAGGGGTTTGTGGCGACGGGTGGCGTCGACGAGCACAGCCACTGATCCTACGCAGAGTACTCGCGCCAGCCGTCACTCTCACCCACGCGTAGCAAACCTGGTCACCAGTCTACACTGATCCTCGAACAAAGGTAAAGTTCGAAACGGCAGTGACTTGTCACCGAAGTTTTCGTTACCTGACTGGCCGAGTCAAAGCCTATCCCCAAGTGCACTCCCTACTTCATATTCTCGGGCGCCTCTTCTGGCCGTCAAAGAACACCACAGGGCTTTCCCTGGATGCTACCATCCACGGGTTTTGACGGATGTGAATCCGTGAGAACGCATCCGGCATCCGTCGGATGCCATCCGCGCTGAACTGTGCGGATGATGGGCTTCTCGGAGATGGCGGGGTCGTGATCCGTCCAAAAGGCGGACGTGACTTTGACGCGTCGAGAACGCGTCGCGAATTGGTGGCGCGTCGGTGGCGCGTGTTTTGCTCCTGACCGCTTTGTACCTGTATAGCACGCATACCACTGTAACTTAGCTTCATCATAACTCGCTCTTCATGCTTTCATGCTACCCTCGTCTAGCCAACAAGCTGCCTCCCTCAGTAATTCCCTTAGCTCTGCTCAACCAAACACAAACTCTTCTGTCCCTTCCGGGCAAGTCTTGACTAGAAGTGCTAGCGATACCAATGCACCGGCACCATCATCCAGGG